AAACGAGTGCATAAAAGATTCCAAAGAGTGTGTTTTACAAGACCCCTACTTTTCCCAGATGCTCAAAAAGTAACAAAATTTCTGGGATTGTACAACTGTAATGTGGAAAACATTTTAAGTTTATTAGGCTGCAAAATTGACAAAAATAGAAAAATCTGTGAAGCCAAAATGCGAGGTTTGGAAGCAATCTGCAACCTCTGCGGCTTGTAAGTTATTTCGTTGCTCATGGTGACACCACCATCCCCCCTCCCAACTATAACTAGAAGAATAGCTTACCTCAATCATCTGTGTTCTAGTGAGGGGTGAGATACTGGGTTTAGTCTCAACCCCAGTCAGAGCTGACTCTGGTTTATGCTGGGGCTCTGTAGGGGAGTTCTCCAAGGAACTGAACACCTAGAGAAGGGTAGATAGATAAATAGATAGCAGAGATGACTCTGGCTTATGCTGGGGCTCTGTAGGAGAGTTCTCCAAGGAACTGAACACCTAGAGAAGGATAGATAGATAGATAGATAGCATCACTGACATTGTTTATGCTGGGGTTCTATAAGAGAGTTCTCCAAGGAACTGAACAGCTAGAGAAGGGTAAGTAGATAGATAGATAGCATCACTGACATTGTTTATGCTGGGGTTCTATAAGAGAGTTCTCCAAGGAACTGAACAGCTAGAGAAGGAAAGATAGATAGATAGATAGCAGGGCTGACTCTGGCTTATGCTGGGGCTCTGTAGGAGAGTTCTACAAGGAACTAAACACCTAGAGAAGGGTAAGTAGATAGATAGATAGCAGAGCTGACTGTGGTTTATGCTGGGGTTCTGCAGGAGAGGTCTCCAAGGAACTGGACACCTAGAGAAGAATTTTGATATGCAGATCCGGATCCTGGATTCGCACTGGAAAAAAGGGATCCGGATCCTGGATTCGCACTGGAAAAAAAGGGATCCGGATCCTGGATTCGCACTGGAAAAAAAGGGATCCGGATCCTGGATTCGCACTGAAAAAAAGGGATCCGGATTCTGGATTCGCACTAGAAAAAAGGGATCCGGATCTGGGTCATGAACATTTCTTCAAAAATTTAAATAAAGTGTAAATATTTAATAATACAGCTTTAACTAGAATAAAAAGGAATGAAAGTTTTCATCATTGAATCTCTTAATTAGAAACGTAGTTGAATATGTGCCCTGAGCTAGATACATATAATCCCGATCCCCCGTGGCCGTGGGTACTTTTGATTTTAGGATCATTGCTCAATCCCTTTTTCAATTATACTGCGGATATCGAATAAAGATTAAATCTGCAGATTAACAAAAGATCAAACTCAAGCATTGATCTCGATATCCAACTCTGAACATTATCAGAGAAAAAAAAAAGATTTTTATTCCTCCGGTTTACACTGGTTGTGATGTAAAAACTATAATAAAGAGTTTAGGTGATTTACATGAGGTGAAAGAAGAGTATGTCCATCTCCATGTTCTCCACGTAGTAGGTTCAGAACAGATCCGTCCTTGCCCTTAACATTCAAAATACATTTTAAAGGGATTGTTCTTGACATTAGGCATAGATCTGTACCAGTTTAACTTAATATTATTTCTCGGTTCAGATAGAGTTGTATGCAGTGAGTTCTTTAACGTGTAAATATACTCTATTTAAAACAAGACGTATTAGACTAATTTTTGGTTGTTTCCTTCAAAAGAATTTGACCTTAAAAAAACTAATCTCTCTACAAAACCCAATAATTTGGAGTTCTAACTAAATATTCTTTCTTATTCATTATTAGGATTTTAATTCTGAACACTTATCTTTAAAGGGAGTGTTCGCGAAAAATGAAAGGGGGTATAGGCTTAATGCGATAAAAAAGCGCTTTTGATCGCTACTAATCTTACTTCTATCTGTTGCGTCTATAAGGAGAAAATTGTTAAAAACGACTAATACCGAAGAACGTAGCGTCCATACAAATGCAGAAAGTTGCAACATACCCCCTTTCATTTTTCGCGAACACTCCCCTTAAAGGAGTGCCATAGAAATGTATTCAAAGGCACTGAAGTGACTGAAGACATAATTTCAAGTAATCCTACATTTACAGAGCGGCATGGCGATTGTTGAATTTCTAGCTGTAAATGTAATGCCTTTGTTAACATATGACGTCATTCGCACGGAGTATTAAGTGTACACTGTACTGTACATTCAATAAACAGACAAAGGTTTTTCTCTCGTAAAAATTTATTTTTTTTCAATTGTGGTTTTTTTCAAGATAAAAAAATGATTTCTTCTACATTCTTTATCCGAAAAAGGTTTAAGGGTAACAAATTGTAAATCGAACATGCCAATCCTCTCTGTAATTGGAGGGTCATTTAAAATTCCATCTACAGTCCCTTAAAGCAGATCTGCATGAACTCGAGTTTAAGCTCTATTTCCTACCGTAAGGGAGGGACTAGATTTAGATCCAACATGAAGTTGTTGTTTCAGCCTAAAGGATAGATCTCCAATACTTCCCTCTACACTACTAGTATTCTAAAATAAGGTTTAACATTAGGTTTTAGGATTTAGATCCAACATGAAGTTGTTGTTTCAGCCTAGAGGAGACATCTCCAATACTTCCCTCTACACTACTAGTATTCTAAAATAAGGTTTAATTTATATTAGTTAAGATTTAGATCCAACATGATACATGTACACTAATAGTACTCTAATATCAGGTTAAACGATATTGTATAGGATTTGGATCCAAAAAAATAAAGTAAAATTTTGACTTACGTTCGTTCAATCGACCATTAGTTCAAATAATATGACATCACAAATGAGGAAAAATCAAAAACCGGTTTTTCAAAAGTTAAAGAGCGCATCTGTAATCTCTAGAAATTAATCTTGAGATTAGCAAAAAGAGAGGACCATGCATTGATCATGATATCCACTATTCTAAAGTTTTCAGCTCTGATTTATGTTTTGAGAGCAAATTCTTTTTAAAGCAGGTCGGTAGCTTCCGTTTTTTAATTATTGTAACAGTTGGCAAGAAAACAAAATTTAGTGTGCGACCACGAAAAAATACCAAAAAATCCCTACCTTAACAGGACTCTTTTTCACTGGGTCGGGATGCATTTTCCTAAATAGTTTTCATCAATTATCGTGACAAGAATTTTAATTCGTTAAAATCGTTCATTTATATTAATTATCTACATTTGCTTTAATAATTCTGGCCAATAAGTGATTTGATTTGATTCCTACAGTGATGACCAGAAAACTCTGAAAAATAAGACAACTTTTGGAATCAATTTATATCTTAAAAAAGAACATTAGACACAGCAATTGTGTAGTGTAAACAGACCCATTTCACTAGATTTGTGATTATATTAATGTCTAGTAAAACTATTTGCATCAAATACACTTAAGTATTGCTATAATGCCGTCTTACTTTACCACTGTTTTCTGGTTAGCACTGTACATCAGTCTATCGTTCAATGTAAAATATTTGATTTAAATAGCCCAACAAAAATACCAGAAGCGCATAACTTTTTTCATAGACCGAAATTATTTCTGTGGAAGAAAAAGAAAAAATTGAGATATCTAATTTTGGAATAAACTGTCTGTTGGTTGGTTCGGGTTGGATGAGGGGGGGGGGGACTGGAAGGTGTTACAAACTTTCCAAAAGGCGAATTCTCAAGTAATATTTTTAGGTGGCAACTTCCCAAAAGTGAAATTTCACAAGGGTAAGTAAGCCCTTCTAAGGCGACGCAGGATGAAATGGGACCGAGCGCTGCGGCTGTAAAAGGCAAGGGAAGTTGTCGCTTGGGAAATTTTACATTTGGGAAGTTGCCACTTTGGAACATATCCTTGAGAAGTTGCCACTTGGGAAAAGGCCTTTGGAAAAGTACCTAACATCGACTGGAAGGGGGTAATTCGCTTTTTACAACTCCTCCCCACCCCTCCCTCACCTCTGCTGAAGGAGTTGGGGAGAACTAGACTTCCTCTGCTCCTCCTCAATTCTGTCCACGGTCAAAGCTCCTAGAATAACAAATTCAATCTATTTGATCAATTTAATCAAATAAATCAAATTTGATGAATTCGATGAATTTAATCAAGTTGATCTCTTTAGTTCAATAATTTCTTGTCGATCATATCAANTCAATTTCATCAATTTCATCAATTTCATCAATTTCATCAATTTCATCAATTTCATCAATTTCATCAATTTCATCAATTTCATCAATTTCATCAATTTCATCAATTTCATCAATTTCATCAATTTCATCAATTTCATCAATTTCATCAATTTCATGAAGTATATTCAAATTATTAAAATTTAATCAATTTAACTAATTCAACCAATTTAACCAATTTAGCCAATTTAACCAATTCAATCAACTTAATCCATTTTATCCTGAATTATATTAATTATATCACAAATAATGAAATCATCAAGGAAACGGGATTATTTTATCTTCATTTTCTATTTTTCATCGAGTTTGATGAAAATATTTCCTAAAATCCTAACCTGGGCTACGAAGGAGATTGTGTAACTGTGGAACGGAACCGGCTCCTGCGTACGGAGAAAACCCGGTTACAGGGACAGCTCCCATCGCCAGACCTACGCAAAATAATACAATACATGCGTCACAAGATATATACTGTATAGAGCAGACAATATAAGAAGACTGATCATGACTAGTATGGAATTATGATAGTGACTGAAACATTTTGAACTGGACATAAGGAGAATTGGTCAAACCCATGCGATATTGTTGGTCCGACTTTGTGACTTCATAGCTACTCCAGTTTTAATCTTATGCAAAAGTATAAGAAAAGCAAATTTGTTTGTACATTAGAAATTCAAAAAAAAATTTCCTTCTCTGTCCCTCTTATAAATAAAATATAATTTATATAAGAAGATGAATGAATTAATAATGAACCTTGACTGATTTCATTAGTCTGACGTAGCCCGTGGGTAGGGCTTATTAATATAAATATAATATAATTTATATAAGAATGATGAATTATTTATGAACCTTGACTGATTTTATTAGTTTGACGTAGCCCGTGGGTACTGGGTAGGCCTTATAAATGTAAATAAAATATAATTTATATAAGAATGATGAATTATTAATGAACCTTGACTGATGGGCAGAGCTTGTATTACTGGGGGTCCACCAAACAGAACAGGCTGGAAGTTCGTCATAGGAGGACCAAACCCAACTTAACAAAGTTTAAATGATTAAGAAAAATAATGATAATTTTGACAGTTTTACAGCTTGCGTTACTAAATCAATTTACTTCAGCTGTCTTATTGTAGTCATTACAACCCCCCCCCCCCCCCCAAAAATGCAAAAATTCTTAGGGAAACCAAATATTTTACCCGCGCAGGGGGGGGGGGGCTGAGACCCCACTAACCAACCCCCCTGTATACGCTTTTACCCCCCTTGTTCAAAAGTCATATTTATTGGGATTAGAAAGCTAAAAATAATCCCTATAGGGGGTGGGGGGCGTGAAAACATATCAAATCAAATCAACCCCGACAGAAATTAAAATAATCAATGTCCATCTGGCCTAGTACAGTGTGTCCCAAGAAACTTTATAGTAAAAAGACGACTTGAAGGTCGTCATAGAACTTCTTAGAATATCTCCGGTAATATTGAATGCACAAAAAGGCATTTTGGAATACCAAGCCAACACTAGGCCAGGGTTATATTTCGTTAACTGTAAAATTAAAATGCCGCGAATATTTTTAAAGATATAAGACGACCTTCAAGTTAGCTTGCTTCTGTCATGTTTCGTGAGACACCTGTATATAATTAGAAATAAATAGAAGAACCTGGAGCAGTATGAGCTGGAATCCCTGACACGGGTATAGAGAATCCATTTAGTCCTACAAAAATACTTTAATATTTAGAAATCAAAATGGGGTAGACATTTTATTGAATATTTTCGCTCCTTTGGGACCAAATTAAACGTATTTGAATCGCCATTTCAATTTCTTCCTTATTCTTAAACTTTGACTCGGATGTTCAAATTTATAAGTTGCAATACCTGAATCTGAGAGCTGTGGAGTAGCACGGTTTAATTGTGTTGTACTGGCCAGAGCAAAGAAATCCTTGACACTAGCACTGGTTGGCTCCTTCATAAAAAATAAATGAATGAAACAGTACAACAGCAAGGTCAGTAGCAGGGGCTTATACAGGGGGGNGGCTAAGTCCTGTAAAGGTGAATAAGTTTTAGTCCCCTGTAAGAGTTCCTATATACAATATACATTATAAACAGACAAAATATTAGTTTACTAAGAGAAATGGGAACTTGATAAATGCAGAAAAATAGGCAATATTTTCAACAATAACCAAGCAGGGAAAACATAGAATAATTTAAACCAATGACTTAGCTAGGTGCTTACTGCTCAAATTCAGAATGAATGACCATAGAAACCAGAAGAACTGTTTAAAACCATAATTAAATAGATTGATAATTAAAAATCTACCTCTGCCATGAGTTCATGAAAGAATACTATCTACCTCTGCTACGGGTTGATGAAAGATTAACTATCTACCTCTGCTACGGGTTGATGAAAGATTAACTATCTACCTCTCCTACTGGTTGATGAAAGATTAACTATATACCTCTGCTACTGGTTGATGAAATATTAACTATCTACCTCTGCAACGGGTAGACGAAAGAATACTATCTACCTCTACTACGGGTTGAAGAAAGATTAACTATCTACCTCTGCTACTGGTTGATGAAAGATTAACTATCTACTTCTGCTACTGGTTGATGAAATATTAACTATCTACCTGTGCAACGGGTAGACGAAAGAATACTATCTACCTCTACTACGGGTTGAAGAAAGATTAACTATCTACTCTGCTAAGGGTTGAAGAAAGATTAACTATCTAACTCTGCTACTGGTTGATGAAGATTAACTATCTATCTCTGCTACTGGTTGATGACAAATTAACTATCTACTTCTGCTACTAGTTGATGAAATATTAACTATCTACCTGTGCAACGGGTAGACGAAAGATTAACTATCTACCTCTGTTACGGGTTGATTAAAGGATAACTATTTAACTCTGCTACGGGTTGAAGAAAGATTAACTATCTACCACTGTTACAGGTTGATGAAAGATTAACTATCTACCTCTGCTACAGGTTGATAAAAGATTAACTATCTACCTCTGTTACAGGTTGATGAAAGATTAACTATCTACCTCTGCTACGGGTTGATGAAAGATTAACTATCTACCTCTTTTACAGGTTGATGAAAGATTAACTATCTACCTCTGCTACAGGTTGATGAAAGATTAACTATCTACCTCTGTTACGGGTTGATGAAGGTGCTGCTGGGAGATATGATGAGTTTTCCCCTCAGGTTGACTTAGTAATCTACATTAGAAATATAGTTAAATGGCTTTTTTTTTAGATATTTACCTATCCTTCATTCTAGCATTAATTTTACATACAACATAAATAATATTTTCATTCTCACAAAAATGATCTTATATGTTCTTAAAATCTATGGGCTGACATTTTTTGTAGACACTCATGGGTAGCCTGGGGGTGACTTAGGCTAGTTTTCTTCCCCACTCATAAGACATAAGACCAATTTAGGCTGGCTATTCGAAATTTGTCAAAAAAAAAGGTTTTGAATCTATTCTCTGTCCCTACTCCTGATCTGATCCTTATTTTTAAACATTATGAACATTGTTTTAAGAGTTGAGAAAAATTTACCAATAATGAGCCTTAGAAATATTAATTTATGAAATATTTCTCATCATGAATTCAAATTAGTATTATCCCAACATATTTAAAAAATAAATTTTAAGGTGTGAGTGTTTTCTTTCCACAAATTATTGACGTGTTACCTGAGCAGATTTTTTCCTTCATCAGGACGAACCTCGACAGTTTCAGACTGCTTCTTCTTCTCCGCATTCTGCATCAAATAATAATTAAAGAGATTCTTCACTTAAAAATCGGCATTTAAAGTTTGTAAATCTGTCCGATATTAGGTAAAAGTTCATCTAAGAAACAAAAAAATATTGTGAAATATCGCTCGAGCAAACATGTAAATTTCATATTTAAAGGGTTGAGAATAATAAAATTAATGAATAATGTCGCCTATTTATGCATAATTGTTCCATATTTTTGAAATACCATATCTTCGAAAATTTTCCATAGAAAAAACTACACCATTAAGATTAGTGTATAATGTATATCTTTGTAAAAAAAAAGTCAGTGTTCCATTTCATGCCCAAAAGCTACTTCAAAATAAGAAAAAAAACCACCATTAATTTTGGATAGTTTAGTCAATTAAAGTAAGTATTTCTTAAAGTTTAATGCAAAAATTACAAAATAATGTGTTGCAGGAGAAAATATTCAAAAACTCCAAAAATAGAGGTGGGAAGAAAACACCATTCACCAAGACACATGGAAAAGAAAATTTTGGATAATCTTGTCAATTAAAGAAGGTGAATAATCTAATTCAAAGTACAAATGGTGTTACAGGAGGAAATATTTAAAAACTTGCAAAAAAGGCGGGAGTATTTTCCCCCAAATTCTAGCAAATTAAAGTCACATTTAATCTAACAATTTGAATGAATGGTTAACCTGGAGCAACTGGGAAAGATTTCCACCGCCTCCTTTTCCTCCTCCTCCGTTCTTCTTTCTCTCTTTTTCTTCCCTCTCTTCCTCTACTTCCTAAAGAAAATCAAGAATTAATTTATCTAAATATATATATATTATATATATATGGTAGAGTGTATATATATATACATCTCTTGTTTCTTTCTTCAGCGTATGCTATTTGTTTCAACATAATTCATATCGGGTTGCAAAGATAAAGGGATGAAAATAAATCTGAGTTCGTGGCAAGAATGAATGAATGAATAAACAAGTAATGATAAAGCAGTAAAAGAATAACTCCATGTAAGAAGAAATAAAAAAATAAATAAATAAATGAATTCATTAATAAATGAATAAAGGAATTAATAAACAAATGAGATGAAAGTTATAAATGAACAAATAAATAACCGATTTATTAAATAAATGAATAAAGGAATGAATGAGTAAATAAATGAACGAATTAATGAATACATGAATTTATTCGAAGAATGAATAAATGAATATTATAAAAGATTAATGAACGAATAAATAAATGAATTTACTAGCGTTGGAGTATATTCTGGAAGAGTCGTGGCATATTTGCGCCAGTAACGCATTCAAGAAAGGATAAATGAATGAATTAATGAATGACTAAATGAATGAATAAAAATACATCTGAATTTACTAGGATTGGAGCGTATTTTGGATAAGCCCTGGCATATATGCGCTAGTAATGCAGTTACTGGAGAAGGACTTTGAAGGGGGGAGAGCGGCTTACAGGTGAAAGGGGTTATGTTAGGGGGGGAGGAGGAGGGAAAATATTGAAACCATATCTGTATCTGTATCTGTATCTGTATCTGTATCTGTATCTGTATCTGTATCTGTATCTGTATCTGTATCTGTATCTGTATCTGTATCTGTATCTATATCTATATATATCTCTATATCTATATTTAGGCCAGATGAAGGATGGATTGGACGGTAAAAGATGAAAAGAAAAATATATTTAAACTATGGATTATATTTTCATCATTATTCTAATGTTTACAGTAATTTTTTATAATATTTGATTTAGATCTAAAAATCATCGTTGACTATTCTTTTTCAACATTGTAAAATAATTGATGTTGTATAATGGTAGTGTTCTAGAATATTCTAGAAAATACATCTACAAGTCTCCGCCGCAATATCTCTCGACCAATGAGAGGCCAACTCTACTCCAACGACCAATAAGAGAAGAGCAAATATTCTAGAAAATTCTTCACGGGCAGTTCATGCACTAGGAGTATTTGATAATATACTAGAAAATTCTTCTTGAGTATATACAGACAAGACCTTACTGCACGATCAGTTAAAATTCAAAACTTGCGATAAGAACACAAGGCACTTTAACACTACAACTCAAATTCAAAATGGTGAAACACGCTGCTATTGGAATTGATCTTGGTACTACCTACTCCTGTGTAGGTGTTTTCCAACATGGAAAGGTGGAAATCATAGCTAATGATCAGGGGAACAGAACTACTCCAAGCTATGTAGCATTTACTGACACAGAGAGGTTGATTGGTGATGCTGCTAAAAATCAGGTTGCCATGAACCCTAACAATACCATCTTTGATGCCAAGAGGTTAATTGGCAGGAAGTTTGATGATGACACTGTTAAAGCTGATATCAAGCACTGGCCCTTCAAGGTTGTGAACAGTGGAGGTAAGCCTAAGCTTGAGGTGGAATATAAGAATGAAAACAAACAGTTTACCCCTGAGGAAGTGAGCGCTATGGTTCTAGTGAAGATGAAGGAGACTGCTGAAGCATATCTGGGTTATCAAGTCAAGGATGCTGTTGTTACTGTTCCAGCATACTTTAATGATTCACAACGACAAGCAACCAAAGATGCTGGAGTTATTGCTGGATTAAACATTACTAGGATTATCAATGAACCCACTGCAGCAGCTATTGCTTATGGTTTGGACAAGAAGAGCAGCTCTAAGGGTGAGAAGAATATTCTTATCTTTGATCTAGGTGGAGGAACCTTTGATGTTTCCATCCTTTCAATAGATGATGGGATATTTGAGGTTAAAGCTACTGCTGGAGATACTCATCTAGGAGGAGAAGACTTTGACAATAGGATGGTTGAGCACTTTATCCAGGAGTTCAAGAGAAAGCATAAGAAGGATATTTCTGGAAACAAGAGAGCACTCCGAAGATTGAGAACTGCTTGTGAAAGAGCCAAGAGAACCTTGAGTTCAGCTGCTCAAGCAAATATAGAAATTGATTCTCTTGCTGAGGGAATTGATTTCTACACATCAATCACTAGAGCAAGGTTTGAAGAGCTCTGCTCTGACCTGTTCAAGGGAACCTTGGAACCTGTGGAGAAGGCACTGAGAGACTCCAAGCTTGACAAATCCTCCATTGATGAGATGGTTCTTGTAGGAGGTAGTACCAGAATACCCAAAGTTCAGAAACTCCTTCAGGATTTCTTTAATGGTAAGGAGCTTAACAAATCCATCAATCCTGATGAAGCTGTTGCATATGGAGCAGCTGTGCAAGCTGCTATTCTGAATGGGGATGAGAGCAGTGAAGTTGGGGATTTGTTGCTTCTTGATGTAGCTCCTCTGTCAATGGGTATTGAAACTGCTGGTGGAGTTATGACTGCTCTGATCAAGAGAAATACAACCATTCCAACAAAACAGAGTCAAATCTTCACAACATACAGTGATAATCAACCAGCTGTGACAATACAGGTTTATGAGGGAGAAAGAACAATGACCAAGGATAATCATCTCCTGGGTAAGTTTGATCTGACCGGTATTCCACCAGCTCCCCGGGGAACTCCACAGATTGAGGTTACCTTTGATATTGATGCTAATGGTATCCTAAATGTATCTGCTGCTGAAAAAGGAAGTGGGAAGCAGGAGAAGATCACAATCACCAATGACAAGGGAAGACTATCCAAGGAGGAGATAGAAAGGATGGTCAATGATGCTGAAAAGTTCAAGGATGAAGATGAAGCACAGAAGAAGAGGGTTGCTGCTAAGAACAGCCTTGAAGCATACATTTTCAACATGAAAGCCAGCTTAGACCAAGACGAAGTGAAAACCAAGCTTTCTGCATCAGATATCTCTGAAGCCAAGAACCAATTGGACTCCACCCTGGCCTGGCTAGACAGGAACCAGCTTGGAGAGAAGGAGGAGTACACAGAGAAGCAGAAGGAGCTAGAGAATAGTCTGAAGATGATTGTATCTAAGCTGTATGAACAGGGGGGTGCAGGGGGAGTAGGAGCTGAGAGTTGTGGAGCTCAAGCCAGACAAGGAACTAAAGAACCAACTATAGAGGAAGTGGATTAAATTACTGTATTTAAAGATCTCACTATATAATACCATTAAATTTATGTGCTATTAATGTATTCTGTAAGTCAAATTTTATTCTAAATAAATGTTAAAAAACTATTCATTATTTTTGTCTTTTAATTGAAAAGCTTTCGTAAATTAAAATAAAAAATCTAAATCACAAAACATAACAATAGCTGCTAGTTTAATTACATAGCCTGAATTTACAGTTAAAAACAAAATTGGTATAGATTTTTGAATATTTCTTATCGAGTGCATTGAAAATAGTGTACAAAGAATTTATAAGAGTATTCACAAGTAAATTAATATAATTTCACTGATAAATTATTCATAAAAAAAAAATATTTCTTCACATTAAAATTTACACAAGCATAAAAAATAAAACAATAAGAAAATTTAAAAGGTTAAATAATTTATAAGGGCCTAAAGTAAATTAACACTGACAAACCTTTACAGGTCTTGGAGGCCATTGTCTAGGTGGGTTTCCTCTCTATTCTACTTATCCTTTATGGTTAAAGGAACTGTAAGCGTAATTTTAAGTTGGCAATGCCCAGCTTACATGCAAAGGTGCAAAGGATTAAAAAAGTAGAAAATAACGTCACTTTCTGACTAAACTGTGTAAAGTTCTGATAATGTGCATGACTTTTGCAAAGAACCCACAAATAAAAATAAACAACTTATACTTTGCTTGTCTGTCTATTTTTTAAACCGATAAGAGTCAAAACGGCTGAACTGATTGGGCCCAAATTTTTTATGGGACCTCACATGATCCCAAGAAAGGTTCCAGGATAAAATCTAAAATAAATCCGCGAACAGACTAGAGCTTTTTAAGGTACAGTTGTGAATAGGATATGCCCTACAAAAACACCAAATCTGTACCTTTACAAGCAACTGAATCTTTTTCCCAACTGATTCACATTCATTCTTGGAGAAGAACCAGATTCCTCGGATATCTGCTGCACTGTTCCTGATCAGAGAATCAATTATTTGATTAAATAAATAAATATCATTGAAAAAGCTTATGATTATTGATTATGAGGGGGCAAATTAATATTTAGGAAATAGGTATAAAAAAGGGTAAACAGCTTGTTATTTAAATGAAATACCATTTTTGATTTTCTCCTAAATCCCATCTTTATAAATTATAATCAAAAAATAAGCTAACAAAAAAGATACAGTTCGCAAACTTGTCTAAGTCTAGCTTTCCTCCTTGCCATTTAAGCAACCTTACATTTATAAAGAGACATGTACGATTGACAAGGGTACCACTAATTTATGAGTTCTCCTTCTTTCTTAAAATTGACCGGTTTCGGTTCTCTATGAAAGTGAAGAGTGCATTTTTTCCAGCAGACAAAAATAAAGAAACTTGTCAGAATTTATCTGCTGAAATAAAGGGTCACCGGTGTGAATCAGACAGATCACTTGAAATTACGCCTACAGTCCCTTTCAACAAACTTAGTACTTACTTGTAGAGTAGAAAGGGTGGCTGTATCTGGAAATCTAGCTTACCGGTCACTGGTTCGACATGGTTCTCAGGATTCAACCTTAAACAACACAATATTAAGGAACATCGTAATTACCCGAGGTTGCCCGTGACAACCAGTCTTCAGTCTGTTAGGCTGCCCTTTATTTTTCAGTTTATGTTGCTGTTTTCCCCCCTGATATTTCTGTTTTTCACTCGGCAGAAGACTACCCCCTGTGGCTGTGTCTCCACTGTTGATCTTAGGGATGAGCCATCTTTAATCTTTAATATCCAACATCTATTTAAGTGTTCCGACAAATTGAATTTAATTAAGAAAACAAACTGATTACGTTTAAGTAATTAAATTCAGTAAAATTACTACAACTAGATTAATTTAGTCTACTCATTCTGTGCTTCATTATTGGTTCAATGTTTATTTTGCATAAACCAAAAAATAAAAGTAAATTTTTTCCATATCGAATTTTACATATTTACTTGTTCTTTTCGCAGATTTCAATGTGTGATTTTGCAGAGTTCAATGAGGGAACATTGTGCAGCCGGGAATCATGAAATAAAGATAACAACCTGTTCATAATTGTGAAGCAATATTTCGGTTCGGCCTCTCGTGTGAACAAAAACAGAGTACCCTCCACCTAGTAAATTAAAATGTTACATTTTTTTCCATTTAGTGCTAAGGTTTTATCTAATCTTGAATCCGTTTCAATTTCAGTTGAATTTTTTTGCTTACTTGTTTAGAGAAAAAATCGTGATCTATAGTAAATATAAAATGGTACAGACTAATAACAATCGAATACTTAATGTAAATAACTATTTTTGAATGAAATGTTATCAAATAAGACCGAATTTGATGGACAGTTTCTGAAATGTTATTAAAGTTATTCTGAATTCTACCTAATGTTACCAAATGTTAAAACAAAAAAATGTTACCGAATTTTAACGTATGTTACCGGTAACCAACTCTTACTTAGTGCTACGGAAATTCTACCATGGATATGTGTTCTACCGAATTTTTCCGAAATTCTATCAAGTATTACGGAAATACTACCTCAGTTTTCTCCCACTCTGATCTTTCTGAGTTGAAATTGTAGAGTGCAACATTACTGCAGCTTGTCTCTATACTCTTGATGTATGGGTCAACCTGTACACAAACATTATCATTAAAATATCAATCATTGAAGAGTTTACCTATTTTAAAATGTAAATTGGGAAATTTTAGTTATAATCCCCCTCTCTATCAAATACGACTTTCATTCTAGAAGAACAACGGCCGAAAAATGTTTCCTAACAATGAAAATAAAATTTCCTGACCAGTTATAAAAAAAAAATAGAACTGCAGTTTATCTATTTAGAAAACTAGGATTCCAGGGTGCTTCGCGCGTATCTTAGATTTCGACTTCAATTTGTTGCTCTTTTACTGAATATTTTTCATAGAGTTAAATAAGGCAAATTTGTAAAGTTCTGATCCTCCATAACCTTCCCTAGGGTCAGCTGATTTTCCCCCAAGAAAATTTAACCCAAACGGTTCAGAAAATAGGGAAATTGTAAGAAATTAACACTACTAAGTTAGAAAAACAACGACTTCTCTCACAAGTACTGAAATAAAAGTTAAATGGGTTCCGTTGTGACATGACTGGAGGGTTACTCAAAATTGAATCTGCAGTCAATAATAAAATGAGAAAAAATGGTATCTAAAGTGCTTTAATTAGTTAATATCTTTATTGTACAAAACTGCAAGGGGACTGCCACTTTGACCAGTTCAATTCCAGTGTGGGAGCATTTTATGAGCATTCTAATTTGTGTTTTAACTTACTTTCCCGTGATTTTATAAAGGGTTTTAGATCACTATCTCTCTAATTTAATCATAGTTTCCCACCTCGTTAATACTGAATTCATAATAAAAAAATCTTTTGCACGTAAACCCCAATTGTTTTTCTTTGTTGAACTAAAGCATTTTTCAAATTTCCTCCCGTTTCCCATGTTTTTATTCAGCTTTGAATGATTCCTGAACAAGTTTTATCTTACAATTTTACAAATCCAGTATTACAGGGGAAACTAGTTCCAAAACTAACACTTGGCCCATTTCTACCACTGTTAGAAATGGGCCAAACCTGCAAAGTTATCTTAAAATCCAAGCCGAGTTAAACAAAACTACACCATACATTTATTAATATTGGCTTAAATTAATTATTAAGACAAGCAATGTCAACTTTTATAACTAATAATAAGGTGTAAGAAATAGTTATTGATTATATTGATTTCCATTTTCGAACAAATCCCTATTTAGAAACAATTAACGATAATTTAGAAGTAATTTAGTCTTCATAAGATAATTTTTCCTTGCAGTGATTTAATTTGTAAGTTGTGAGAGTGAATTTTGTTGCTAATTGTGAATTATACTCAAGAACGAGAAAGTGGGTTTTGTCTCGAAAACGCGACAATGATACAAATTCAGGATTTGTTCGAAAATAGAAAACCTGAAATTGTCATGAAAACGTTCTAGGGTTTTAATATAAAAAACTCCTTTTATAATTTTATTGAAATTGGACTGTGATCCTAAAAACCCAAGTCATTCTAACTCAGTGTTAGAAATGGGCCAAGTGTTAGTTTTGGAACTAATTTCCCGTGTATTAGTGATATAAACCTACCTTTTTTAATGCTTTCAAGTTGATTTCAACTTCTGTCGACATTTTATACTCTGAAAAAACATTTTTTATCAGTTGCACTGAATGTCCATAAAAACATTAAATTGTTCAAATATTTTGATTCATCGATTTAACGAGTAAGGTTAACAGATAAATTTAAGTTTTATTCGTTAAATGCTGAAAATTTACAATACTAGAAAATAAAGAAGCGGAATAGTCAACTTAACGTCCAAAAACTTAGATAATGCCTTAATCCGGAAACAGGAGAAAATAATGTGAACATCAACAGAAAACAGAGGGGCGAGAACAGGGGTGTGGATGATCTCTTAGCTGGGTGGAGGGGGTGGTGGAGGGCCGCCTAGAAGCCCGCTCAGATTACTGTTGCCGCCGCCCTGCCATTGGTTGCCGCCGCTGTTGGGGGCTGCCCAGAAAGGCATGGGATTGTTACGAGGCGGAGGAGGGACAGGAGCAGGGGTACCGTTACCCCAGCTGGGAGGTCCACCCCAGTTCCCCTGAGGTCCACCTTTCCCCCCTGGAGGAGGTGGGGGTGGAGGTCCACCATATTGTCCCTGGTTGTGGAAATTCTGTTGTTGCTGTTGGCCACCGTGGTTCCAGCCCATACCTGGTGGGGGGCCACGCTGCTGAGGTGGTCCGTTCCAGTTGGGTCCAGGACCACCAGGACCTCCATGACCACCTGGACCTCCATGTCCTCCTGGACCTCCATGTCCTCCTGGACCTCCAGGACCACCTGGTCCGCGAGGTCCCCAGTTACCAGGAGGTCCCTGACCCCAAGGTGGTTGTTGTTGTCCCATGGGGGGTCCATTGTTCCAACGGTCGTTATCAGGTCGGTTGTTCATTCCTCCGCCCATAGGTCCTGGTCCAAGCATCCCACCAGGACCACCAGGCCCACCTGGTCCATGCATACCCGGTCCTCCAGGACCACCCGGTCCATGCATACCTGGTCCCCCTGGTCCTCCAGGTCCCATGAGCTGAGGCCGCTGATCAAACTTGCTAGGACGCCCTCCGCCACCACCCATAGGCATGTCATTACCAGAGGGCGGAGGAGGCGGAGGTCCCTCACCCAGTTCCGCCATGAGAGACATATACTCTCTATCTATCTTACTTCCAGGTTTCGCATCCGTGTTGGGTCGCATCCCAGGCCTGGTCTGCTTACAATCGCTTGAGATATGACCCACCCCACCACAGGCTGTGCAGGTCACCTGGTTCGTGACATTCGCCTTGTCCTGGCACTGCCACGCCTTGTGGTTATCCGCCCCGCAGTTGGTACACCTGGAAGCAAATACATATCTATATATAAATTTGGCTTGTCTGTTTGTCTGTTTGTGTCCAATAAACGTCAAAACGGCAGAACCGATTGGGCCCAATTTTTTTGTGGGACATCTAGGGACCCCAGGGAAGGTTTATGAATGATCAAAATTTTGAATATTTGTCTCCATCAAAATTCGATCGTTATTAAATTTTTAAAAATTTTGAAAATCCACGAAATTTTTTGTGAAAATCCGCGAATTATTTTGTTTTGTTTTACGATGTACACAAAGAGAACATGTTCACAATTAATTTAGAAGATGGGCGCGAAGCGCCCTCTAAGGCTAGTATATATATAAAGTTGTAATCTCTGTTTGTCAAGTTAGTTTGTCCAATCATATCTCAGAAACCCATTGACCGATTTGTCTCAAATTTTGGTTGGGGAACTCGGGAGAACCACCGGAATGTTCTCATTTTGGCTTTAAGAATCCAAGTTTGGTGTGTTTACTTATAAGGAAAAGGAGCTAAAATCGTAATTTACGACAAAGCGATAATAAACGGCGGGACTACCTATGACAACCCTTGGCAACGCTGGGTTTCCAAATTAGTAAATTCTAAAACTAAAACTGATAATTGGACAAGACTCATGAAACATTTTGTTTCTAAAAATACAAATTCAAACATCTAAGATGTAAAGAAAAGGTAACAAATATTTATTCTAGTGTTTTAATCGTTTTCTCCAATTTTGACATTTTTTGTATCTAAAATGAAGTCAACTATGTTTGAAAATATACTTCCATCTACGTTAGATATTTATATCATCAATTGGACAGACCTGCGAAAAAAGCAGCTCATAAGGGCTAAGAAGGGCAAATAATTTTAACGTCTCGACGGCTGAACCGATCGGGCCCCCCGGGAGAGAGAAACCCCCGGACGCCATGAGCCCCGCTATGCAGACACGAGCCTCCCGGATTTGTTAGGCAGACCGAGCCTTCACTATGTAGACTTTGCCTCCGCTATGCAGACAATGCCTCCACTATCCAGTAAACGAGCCTTCACCATACAGCACAGCTTTTTTTAAACCATTGTTTTATGTGTAATGAAAAATTCCAACAATTTTTTTTGACGTAGTGGCACAAGAATTTTGCTAAAGATTAGAGTTATTTATTGTTAATATGATTAAAAACATATATGGACTCATAAAGTGGTTTATAAGATTTATACTAAAAGTTTAAACATTTCTTACGCAGAAAAGAAGATATTTGGAGAAATATTTCTTGAGTAAATTTAGTTTGTTTGTTGTAATCTTTCATTTAACCAATACCTTTCCCTTAAAAAATGTTAAGATTTAAATAAATGATAAAAATTTTCTTTATTTAATTTGACCTACAAAAAAGGTGTCGCTTAAATCAAAGATTATAAAAGATGACATGAAATTCAGTTTAATTTTTTCCTCTCAATACTTTTCTTTTCATGTAAAAAAATGTTTAAAGTTTTATATACCACTTTATTTGTCACAATTAGGCACTATTTGTGATAATTGATAAATAATTCTCTCCTTTGAACAACCTCTCTTGCCACTGTGTTGAAAAATTTTTAAAAATCTTTTATTTAAACTTAAAACACAAGTTTAAAAAACCTCCTGTATTACACAGACACAATTCTATGTATTGCGCATGCTCATTTCTGCATAGTGGAGGCTCGGTCTGCCTAGAAATCTGGGAGGCTTGTGTCCGCATATAGGAGGCTCATGGCGTCCGGGATTTCCCTTCCTCCTCCAGGAAAGGATAATTTATGAACAAAATGTCAATTCGATTGTTATTAAGTTTTGAACATCCACGAAAACATTTTTAGTGAATTTTTTTATTGTTTTACAATGTTTACAATTTACAAAGAGAAAATGTTCACAATTGAAATAGAAGATAGCCTAGTATATGATTAAAATGTATAAATGTGTTTCTTACCTGATTTGTCCATCCTCCCGCAGAGTACCGTTCAGTAATGCGAGTTCTCTCAGTTGAATCTTTCGAAGTTCATTGGATCCCTCGGGACGTTCAATCCCTTCTTGGATTATCTGGTCAAAAAAAAGGATTGTTAAAAATACAATAAAAGAATACAGCATTATTTGGGACAATGCAAATCCTTTTTTTTCTCTGACCAAAATTAATATTATGTATAATTTTAAGGCACTTATTTATTCAAAAATTACATGTTCGTTTAATAAATCTGTCACATGACTATTAAAATAAGAAGTCCCTAATAATTGACAAATTTTGGGAACCCAATTCTAATTGAACATTGATGATTTATTTTTTGAAAATGGTAAATTTGGTTGACAACATGTAAATACTAAAAAGAATAACTGATAATTATAAAATTTTAAATTCGGATTAGTTTGATACATATTTCTTTCATTAGCAATTGTACCCCACCGTTGAAAATCATTGCCCCCCCATNGTGTTATTTTCCCAAGGAATGACATTACCTGCATTACCCTCTTTACAGCACGTTTCACGCATTCTGGATCTGTGGAAGTAACATAACTAGAAACAAAACAAAGAATTAATTTCAAATAGAACAATATTAAACAATCGTAATTAGTAGTTCTTAAAATTGTGAAATTATCCTTGTGAGCTCTTACAATCTAAAAAAAAAGGGTCATGAGAGGAGCGCCGACCTCTACCTCATGGTTAAATAACAAAAAAGATACTACTAATAATGACGATAATGATGATAATACTAATATCATTAGATAAGAAAATACTAACGCATGAAGAGGTTCGTTCTCCCCTGGGAGAGGTTGTCCGTTGTTTCTTCCCACCTTTCCTTCTTTTACACTTCCTTTACCGCGGATTATTATCTAAACAATTATTGATTGAAGACATTTATTTCAAAACTATGTTGCTAGGGAACCAAGCGTTGTCCAGGTTACTCATAGTTACTACAGCCGTTTACCCGCACTTGGTTGTTAAATACGATTTGAGGTATTTTTTAGTAAGTAAGTAAGTACGTAAGTATCTAATCTTGAATTCGATGGGCCACCAGTCAGTCAATCAATCAATCAATCAATCAATCAATCAATCAATCAATCAATCAATCAATCAACCAATCACCAACCAACAGTAAAACAAAATAATCTTTTTTTGAAAATTTTTTATTTATTAACTTAACGAAAATGAATTTGTTTCCTTTCCTTAATTCAATACGAGGTTAACCTCTAATTCGAGTTCAGTTTAGATGTCGCCTTTTTCTACTTGATTATCAGCCCGTTTTAAAGGGAATGTAAGCGTGATTTCAAGTGTCCTTCCATATATAAAGGGGCGTGCCCGATTCACAACGTTACCCTTCAAACCTTTGTCCAAACAACGATGAGGTAAAAACCCTCATTTGTACAGCTGAAGCTTGAATGCCGGGAAACTCGAGGTTACAGTGTACACTGTAATTTCCGCAATGTAAATAATAATATCTACAAAATCCTTGATCAAGCAAAGGTTTATAGGGTATCGCTGTAAATCAGACATGGCACTCAATAAATGGAAAGTTACTTGGAATTACGCTTACAGTCTCTTTATGGATGACTTATTTACCTTAGCCCCTGTTTCCTTCTCTAGAGACTTGAGTGTGTTTCCCCTGGGTCCGATGATCAGCCCCATGAAATTGATCTCTGGATGACCGTCCTGAGGGATCATCACCTTGTCCGACACCTTGATCATCGGTGCCCTGGAATACACCATTAGTATTAGTATTCAGGGGTACATTTCGAAGAGAATTGAGGTGGTGGAGGGCCGGAGGGGGGACGTAAAGTTTTTTTTCATGGGTTTATACTTGATTTGAAGCCTAAAAATAACGTATTTTCACAAATTCAGCAAAATCAAATGTAAGGTTGGAATCTTTTCTAAATCTATTTTTTTTTGAGAAGGGACTGAGGGGGGCGCACGTTTTAGCAACTTTAAATAAAGGATATCTCTTTAAGACCTATATTTTACAGCCAAGCTGCAAAATATTTACATTTATCAACTAGCCAACTTCCCAGGTAAAACAAGCTCCAAGCCACGCATTTCGATCTCTAAGCTCCGAAATGTGCGGCTACTGACGACCTCCCCGCCCCCCTCAGAACTCGGTGTAAAATCTACCTGTAATCCATGGGAGCCTTGAACTCAGGATTGAGCAGCATCATCTTCTGTATAGCTTCATGTCTACGAAACACACAGATATAAAGGAACACAATTTAATATCCAATTTACAACATGTATCTAATAAAAGATGTGGAAGATACCGTCTTATTCAAGCTTGATAAGTATTTAGCTCTAAAAATCTTCCTTACAGCTTTTGTAGCATAAATCCAACAGAGCAAAAACAGTTAAAAATAATTCGTCTAAAAGAGAAAAAAATTGGATATTTCATTTATTTTTGGTCAGAAAAATTTTATAAGGGTTGCAAATAGAAGACTCCACTCCAAAATCTCTGTGATTTCACATTTATAAATAAATACATTTGAAAAATCAATCAATCAATCAATAAACCTTCTACCTCGACTCCTCCAGCTCCTTCCGCTTCCTGTACTCCCTCGTGTTCATCCTCTTCCCGTCAGAGGAGTAGACGGGCTCCGGACTGGGGGACCTAGACATCCATAACAGTTAGTTAGGGAATATACAGGGGTATATATTTCATTGATTAAGTAAACCCCCCCCCCCCGAGTTCACTAAAACCAATTTATGGGTATGATACATTTTTTATTGAGTAAGCAGTATCCAGGCGGGGGAAATCTTGCCCGTTGATGTTTTATCTTTTATTTTTCCCTCAAATCTTCAGGAAGGGGGAGGGGGGGTAATTCTGCGAAATATATACCCCCGGATAGGCAAAGATTAGGTCACTGGTACTCATCAACCAGAGTAGAACTAAGAGGAGGAGGAGGAGGAGGACATTAATATTGATTAGAACCGGTTCATTTTTTACTACTCAGGAATACCGGGCCTTGTGTTCACAGTAAAACTAATTCCTAAGCTGTCTTAATACGTCAAAGTAAACTGTAAATAAGCCCCCCGCCCCCTCCCCATCCTTAGTTCTACTTTTCTTGGTTTGACATTTATCATGGAGTAGTTGTGGATAGAGAAGGTTATATTCATGTTGTGCTGTCTCCAAGGACCCTATCTCAGGGACGGAACGATTTATAAGGCTGCCTTTTTTTTCTTTGAATTTTATAATTAAATTACATGTATTAAATGTATTTTTTAATGATTTTTTTTCTATTCTTTTAGGAAATGCTAGCAAAATTGAAATGGGTATAGGAACCATAATAATAAGCATGTTGAATGGTTCTACATTTGCCTATATCCGATTTATCTGCAAACATGCAGTGTATTCCTTCATGATTCAATTAAGGTTTATCGATTTCATTTTCACTAATCCAACTTAAGATCTTATTCCCAATGACATGAGGTAACTCCATTTGATTGGGAAAACAAAAATTTACAAGACTAAAACAGGGATATTTAAAAAAAAATTGTTTAAGAAAAAAATATTTCTAAATAAACCAAAAAAAAATGAGTAATGTTAATACAGTACCAGTGCCTAATCAATGTAAATAAAGATAAATATTAGGATGTCTCAAAACATGAATTAAGAATTTTTTTTTTTTTATTGTAATAAATATTTCATAAATAATGTGGGAATAAAATCTAAATAAAAATAATATTATTGAAATTAAGACACCCTTTTATAATTGGCTTAATTCAATAATACTATATTACTTATTGATATTGATTTAACTATATAAAGTGTTGTAAAAATAATAACTGTGTTGAAATTCCGAGTCTGAAAAGAAAATTCAGATTAAGAACAATATTATTTTATACAATAACATGCTGAAGACATTATTTTGAAATTATTTAACATGAGATAGATGATATATACTGTATTAGTTTAAGGTTGATTAAAAGGTCAACTAATAGGTCAAAAAATGCTAATTTTAGCTCTTCGGTATGATAAGCTATTTCAAGTCTTGTTTGCCTTTGGCTTTATGTTAACCACTCTATAAGTCATTTCCCTATGTTTTAATTTCACGTTGTGTTTGAAAACCTGCCCCCCCCCCCCTTCCACTTTCAACCTTGATTCAAATACAGATATCGTTCAAGGTCAAATTAATGTTTTGGGTGTAGGTCAAGGATGCGATGTGTATCCCTACACATTATTTAGAAGTTCTCCGTCATCGTCTCATTCAGAAAATAATCAATATATCAATAATTCTCCTCCCAGCGTAAATAAAAAATATTATTAATTAATATTATTAATAAAAAGCTCAACATGAAATCAATTCTTTCAGAAATAATATTGGTATAATTATAGTAATTAATATATCAATATATTGAATTATTATAAATAGATAATATGATGATATAAAGCTACAGAAGATTCACATTTAAAATAATAATTCGTTGATTTGTCAAGAAATTAATGGAATGATCAGATAAAAGAATATACAACGAACAGAGAAGTTTACAAACAGATGTAAAAAGTTTACAGATATACAAAGAAGATATGACTATATAATAGCGATAGAAAAATAATAATAAAGATAAAAATACAAAACTATTATGAAGTTAAAACATAATATGATCGATATCCATTATCCAATATCCAGTTACGTGCAATATGGAGGTATTAATAAACATTAATTTTCTATTATAATATATATAAATATCTTAAAACAACAATTTTGAAGGAATATTATCATTTTTGAGCTTTTTATGGATACTTATATCCTCGGACCTATCCTCCGGGTTTGGTGGTATCCCGAGGTCGCCTGACCTCAACTTCCGGCTCGCATCCTCTATTAGCAACTGCACTGAAATAGAGGTTACGGGCACAGAGGCCCAGTAACACGTTAATTCGGAAGAACTAGAAGGAGTTAAAAATAAAGTATCACAGGGAGAAAAAAAAAAGTGGAGAGGAACTTTGGGACAATGAATCTCATGTAAAAAAATATTATTAAAAAAAGAAAGTGAAAAAAGAATTAAAACAGGAGGAAAATGTGTGTAAAACTGAAGGTTTAGGGATGGAAAAAAGATGTGGTAAAGGGGAGGAGACTCAACAGATGGAAGAAAAAAGTGAAAAATTTCAAGACTGAGAATCTCAAGTAAAAGAATATTCAATAAAAAAGTGAGAATTAAAACAGGAGGAAAATGTGTAGACAACTAAAGGTTTAGGAGAGAACAAGAGTTGTTTTTAAAGAATTTAATGTAAAAATGTTTAAAACTTGCGGGGACATTGACGATATTAAGCGTTTAGGACAATTCCTGAAACTGTCCCTAAAAAAAGGTTAAAAAAGATTAATTTAATTAATCCTGAAATTATTTGATTAAAACCTAAAAGTCAAATTAAGACCTGAAATTTTATTATTTTACGTTAAATCCTGAAAAAATTTAGATTAGGATTAGTAAGACGAGCGTTGAGAGGGAAAAGGGGAGGGGATTAATATGCGGATTAACGGAATTATACTTACAGAGATATGCCTCTTCCTGCTGCTTGGTCAATCCCGCCGGGATCATGGTTGGTAATCCAGGAATACAGGTCTTAGACGCCTCATTCTCCCACCTGGACTTACGCTTCTTCTTCCTAATACATTTAAACGATGTTTATTTTCAAAATAGTTTTTTGAAAATATGCTGGGAAAACGGAAAATTGGACATCAAAAGACAAGTTTGTTCTTCATCCTNCAGTTTGTTAAGAACTTGAGATTAAACTACATTCTTCAAGACTATCCAAGGTATAATACATTCAGTTTGTTAAGAACTTGAGATTTAACTACATTCTTCAATTAAAACCATTGAAAACGCTACCTTTCTTCCCGGCCTTCATCTTTATTCTCTGGTCTACCCTCTCTAGTCTCGACAGTTCGCTTCCGGTCACCTTTTTAATATTTTTTTTATTTTAAATATTGAATTTTCAATCAACATACAACAGTTTTGAAGGACCAAGAACAGAAGTTTTCTACGGTTAACACTCTATTTCAAAAGTTTCAATGAAAAAAAGACCTGTAGAAATAGATTTGAAGGTATACTATGTAGTTTATTTGAAATTTACTTTGTGTTAGCAAACTTCGAGAAATGCAATTTTACATTTCTAAAATCAGTTTGAGTAAAATTATAATAAAATGAAAATGGCAAAGATTATGAGTGCAATATTATATATTACTGACTGAAGGGCCCGGCGTTGCCCGTGGAAATTTTTAACAACATATCTAATTTTACTAAGCCTATAACACCCCCGACCACCCATGAGTGCCCCAAAAAAATTTCAGCCTAATCTGTCCAGCCGTTTGGCCGGCTATACACAACACATATATGCATGTCTTTCTATATTATATAGATAGAAGATATACATATATATTTCCTGTTGTTAACAGCTCTTATACAAAATAATTACTTCTAAATTTAATGAAAATATACAAGTTCTCATGTTGTACATGTATTATAATTAATAGTATAGTGTGAAAAGCAACTAGTGCGTACCCTAATATAATTTATTCTTTTAAATTGAATATTACTTTTTAAAATTCAAAGAAGTATGAAGAATTGACATGAAGAACCAAACACATAAAGATTTAAGTAACAAGAATTAAATTTGAGAAAAGATTGTTTAATCAATGTAGAACAGAAAAAAAACATTAATCTACCAGAATCCTCTCCACCCTTAGAGGCCATGTAACTAGGGTTGAGGAGAGAGCCCCCTAAAGCCCCGCCGCCACCAAGGGGCCGACGCACCGATCCTAAGGGTGCTGTGTTTGCTGAGCCTGACATGTCTCTTGGCATTTCCCGTTGGCCGACTTTTTAAGCGCCTGAAAATTGCAAAAAGATGAGGAAGATTAGTACACATTGGTTTGACCAATTTAGGTACAATTGGGATTGAGAATCCTTAAGCTGAGAAAAAACACAGAAAAAGGGGAAAGGTGGGAAAAATTATATAAGTAAACAATTTGTTTTTGTTTTACTAAAAACTGACACAAATGATGCCCATTTGCATATTTCATTCAGATTCCCAATTGTATTTAAATTAGTCAAACTGACCTTCCCATATGCGTTATTTTTAAAGAACGATTTTTGAACCCCTCCTCCTATCAATTATGTACGCATTTCCTTACAGCAGCAGCGCTCGGCCCATAAATTGTCTTAACCTAACCTGAACCTAAAATGATAAAAATTTAAATAATAATTTTGCTGAAAATTAGTGGTCATGTACAAAATTGACAGGAGGACTGGAAATAATGTAAATTTATCGTTTTAACAATTCCACTCTGCTGGCTGCCAGTGCAACGGTAGGAGAATCACATCACTTGCGCAAGCATCAGAAGAATGCTCCGTACATTTTGAAAATAATGATTCATCAACCAAACCATGTTACATCATGGCAGATTTTCTAAACTTTAAAATTCTTTCGATATTGAACGACTGAAATCCTTTTAAGGATGAATTAAAAATAATTTTCCTTCATCTTAAAAAAGAATGTATGTTAATTTTCTTAAATATCAATGGGCGGATAAATTGTAGTTCTATTGATAAACTATCCTTAAAAGCAAAGACGATTTCTTAGTTTAAACCGGTTTTTATCAAAATTGTCAACAGCTGATCTAAATAAAGGGGCAGCATTATTGAAAAGAAAACAGTTTGGAATTTTTAATGATGAAATACGTTATTTGGCGGATTGACAGTCTATTTTATTCTTTCCTGAATATGATTTGAATATTAATTGTTATAAAATTATTTCGGCAGAATGTCATGTTTCTCTTTACATTTCAATTTTTTAATTTTTTCTACAAGTTTACCCTTAAATCCGGAAAATTTGTTAAAATATTTCTTTTGTAGAAAATATTTGAACATGTTAGCTTAATGGCAGAAACAAGTTTTTCTGTCTTGCATTAATATAGCTGCTAAAATGGAGGTAAGTCAAAATAATGTTAAATTTCTTAGACAGATTTTTGGAGGACTCTCGGGTCTGTCCTAGTATACGATTTTTGGACCCCCCCCCCCCCCCCCCCCTCCTATCAATTTTGCACATGGATCTCACATGGAACACATGGAGATGATTGGTCATGTCGCCGCAGCGCCCTGCTCCCTATCCTGTCCTAGTCGAGGCGCTCGGTCCCCTAGCCTGTCCTAGCCGCAGCGCTCGGCTTAAATATTGTCTTAATCTAACCTTCACCTAACACTAAAATAATAATAAAAAATTAAATAATAATAATTTTGATATAATAAAGTGGTCATTTTCAAAATTGATAAAGGAGGGGAGGGGAGTCCAAAAATCGTGCTCTAGGACAGACCCAAATTATGACTTGAGTCCTTGTCGCGCGGCGCTCGGCCCCCTAGCCTGTCTTAGCTACGGCGCTCGGCCCAGAAATTGTCCTAACCTAACCATGGAGTAATACTAAATATATTTCATGCACATTTTTATATGAAGGGGGATAGGTTGGTGGTTTATAAATCTGTTTTTACTTTTTAGGATTGAATTAAATATCTATATTTTTTAAGAACTTTGGATCAAGTAGTTCTGATTTTAAATTTATTTGTGTAATTCATTCGTCAACCTAATTTTACAAGAATAAATCTTGAACAAATTTAATCAGAAATTAACCCTAAACCTAGATTTCAAAAATGTGGTCTGCAATATTATGGTATTCAAAATTACCGTAGATACGAAAACTTTCGTTTAGATTTATGAAATTTTGGTTTGTTTCATAAATTTACATTAAATACCATAGTCGTCTCTTAACTGCCAATTTATTGTGTAAATTAAAAAAATTAAATCTTTGCATTGTGAACAATACTGTTTTGTTATAGGAGATGTGTACTATTTGTGGAGAAGAGAGACAGAGTAAACATGACTACATTCAGTTTGTCAAGAACTTGAGATTTAACTACATTCTTCAAGACTATCCAAGGTATAATACATTCAGTTTGTTAAGAACTTGAGATTAAAGTACATTCTTCAAGACTAACCAAGGTATCACACTACATTCAGTTTGTTAAGAACTTTAGATTAAACTACATTCTTCAAGACTATCCAAGGTATCACACTACATTCAGTTTGTTAAGAACTTGAGATTAAACTACATTCTTCAAGACTAACCAAGGTATCACACTACATTCAATTTGTTAAGAACTTGAGATTAATCTACATTCTTCAAGACTATCCAAGGTATAATATATTCAGTTTGTTAAGAACTTGAGATTAAACTACATTCTTCAAGACTATCCAAGGTATAATATATTCAGTTTGTTAAGAACTTGAGATTAAACTACATTCTTCAAGACTATCAAAGGTATAACATGTTCAGTTTGTTAAGAACTTGAGATTAAACTACATTTTTCAAGACTATCCAAGGTAGCAATATATTTGGTTTTTCAAGACAAAAAGTATCTCAAGACAACTCCGTAAATTTAAAGATGGCTAAAGTATAGACTATGATGCGAATAAATTCTAATTGAAACCGAACGCATCTAGTTCTGCTTAGTCTAGGATAATATATACATAAAGAACAGGTTTATCCTCAAAGGATAAGACTTTAATGAAGACCTAAATCTCTCATAAATGAAGGATATTAAATAATTTTGAAGTGTCTTTCTTTTTAAGTAGAGTGGAATATACATAGCAAATGTGGAAACGCCGTTTTATTTGTATTTGCACATTCTCAACTCTCTTCATTTCATATTAATAAAATTGTGAGGAAAATTAATTAAATTGATGTTTTATATGGATACTAAACAAGGAACATAGCAAAACGTAAAATCATGCTGCTTTTGACAAAGATAAAAAATAAAAATAAATTTAAATTTAAAATATGTTTTTTCATCTTCAAACATATAAATGCTTTCTGATATATAAATAATTTAATCTCTGCGCAACCCTTTTTCAGTTAATTTTTCGTTTTATCCAATAAAGATGTATACAATAATAATTTGGATAAAGATTGTTTTTATTTAATTCACCAATTTTTCAGTTTGCATGAAACTTGGAAAATTCTGCAAGGAATAGTTTACTACCGAGAATACAGAGGAATTGGAGGCAAATCAAGGGTAGGTCATTTTTATACAACATTCGTTCATTTTTTCACATTCAGGATTATTTCATTTCTTATTTTTTACATTCATCATTTATTATTTATAATTAATTGTTGATTATTTATCATTCATAACTACTTTTTCTTCATTATTCATCATTGGTAACTAATTGTTTATCATTTATCATTCAATATAGTATGAAAGGGTCGCCAGATAAAAAGTTAAATAGAAAGAAAATCGTAGTTATTTATTATCAGTGCCTTTTTATTACTTTATAATTGTTTATTTTTCATTCATTCTTTCAGTATTTTCCTTCCTATTTATCTTTTATTCTTTTATTTATTTATTCTTTTATAAATCCTTTTTTCATTCATTCTTTATTCCTTTTATTTATTTAGTCTTTCATTCTTTCGTACTTTTATTCATTTATCCTGTTATTCTTTCACCATCTTTTTATTATTTCATTCTTTCATCCTGTTATTCTTTCATTCTTTTATCATGTTGATGTAGAGGAAGAAATCCCCGAACGAGGAATATGAAATCCGAATATCAGTAGTATTGGATCTTGGAACTAGAGAAGAACTACTCATCTTTCTCTCCTTTATTACACTTGTTATTTATCAAGTATTTATATCTAGAAGAAATAAATGTATTTCTAAAGTGGTGACCCCCGACAGCTCAAGAATGGGACGAGGATAACAATCTCAAGCTTTAAATTTTTTATCCACAAATTCACTATTCCTTCATCCTACAATCAGCTACACCTGGATCTAATAAGCTAAACCTTAGCTACTCCTGGAGCTAATAAGCCAAACCTCAGCTACTCTTAGAGCTAATAAGCAGAACCTCAGTTACTCCTGGAGCTAATAAGCTAAATATCAGCTACTACTGGAGCTTATAAGCTGAACCTCGGCTACTTCTGTAGCTAATAATCTAAACCCCAGCTACTTCTGGAGTTAATAAGATGAATCTCGGCTACTCATGGGGCTAATAAGATAAACCTTAGCTTCTCCTGGGGCTAATGAGCTAAACTTCATTTCTTCAGAAGCTGATCAGCTACACTGCTAGCTACTCCTGGAGCTAATTGGTTACACAGATACTCCCTCTCTTCCTCTCCTTTATTACACTAATAAATGTACTTCTAAAATGACATCCTTTCATTCATTTATTCATCAGTTAATTAAATTATTCTTTTCAGTCTATGGATGAGGACCCCATGCCGTGTAGTTTTTGCCTTTTAAAACTTGTAAATCTTTCAAAGGTAAACTTTTTCTTTAATTACAAGAAAAAAGTTTGAAAATGGCATTTGGGTTAAAAATGTTGGTTTTATTACGTTTTTTGATTGTTAGTTTGTAATAAATACGTCAAATATTTCAAACAAAATTTATGATAATTTTTCCCATTATTATTATTAACAATCAACCTACAGACAAAGTACAACGACCTGTAGGTTGAAATACAAACAAAATTTATGATAATCCCTGAATATTTAAAATATATAAGAAAGGGGTGAATATTCTCTCGGAAAATAGTTTTTTCCCCAGATGTTATGTACGTTTTTAGGTTTTTTTTTCGCTAGATTGTATAAAATAAATGATCTTCTGTGGGAAATAAATGAATTTTTGGGTCAAAAGTATCAAAAAGAATGGAAAAAACCTGTTTTTTACGTCCCATCTAGTCCCCAAAAATGTTTAGGCAGTCTTTGAGCTGACTAGTGCTCTGGAGAATTCTATAGTTCCTCCTGATTCTACGGTTAATGGAGTTGGAGTAATCACCGCTGTTAAGAAATCAGTTAGTCCAGTCAAGAAAGCAGTTAGTCCAGTCAAGAAAGCAGTTAGTCCAGTTAAGAAAGCTTTAACCCCATTCAAGCAAAATAGCACTCCAGTTAAGGAAGTAACTAACTCAGTCAAGAAAAGTAGTATTACAAACAAGGTAAGCTTTTTCAAGTTAAATCCAGAAATGATGATAATTTAAAGCAAGTAAGATGTGCCAACAAATGCGGAATAAGTAGTGAAATGATAAATGTGAAATAAATCTAAGGAAAATGAGACCGAATTTAATAAATTGGAGTCAGGTTGCTGAACAACCTACGCTGGTTCAAATCTTGAATCACCAATTTAAAGTTTCAGAGGATTCAAAATTTAATGATTACAAATTTGAACCGTCGGTAGGTAGTTCAGCTATCTCTCCAATTTATTCATTTCAGTCCCTGGCTACTTATTGTCCATCTCCAATTTATGTTTAGAAGGTCGATCAACCTAGAGTTTTAAACGAGGATGTTCCACCTTCTAACCTCAACACGTCCCGGAGGAAGAGCTCTAGAACCAGGGCATCCCTAGATCCTTCAGCCTCGGCAAGGGTTCCCCAAGAACCCTCTAAATCTGTCAAGGAGACCCAATCTGCTGCTAGGCGGCTGAATGGAACTCCTCCATACTTTAAAAGAGAAAGGTGATACTAGATGAAGTTTTAGTGAAATTTTTTATAGTTTTTAAAGATAGGACAAAAGTTTCTGAGAATTCCTTCTGTTAGAATAAATTCACCTTAATTTGCAGATTTTAATCTCTAATTTTAATTTTGTCGGGATAATTGTTGTTCTTGAAGTTTGCGATTTCTTAAATTTTTCAGTGGTAAACTGCACATTGTACATTGTACATTGCACGATCCTCAATTTGTTCAGAAAACAGCGCTTTGTAGATAATAAATTAAATTACCTTTCCCATTTTAAATATTTGTTTTAAACAAATATTTTTTTAACAGGCGGGGTAGTCTTCCGAATCCTACTGCTGTTACTCAGAGGCTGATGGAAGAGCAAGAGGATGACCCCGAGGATGTCACGGGAGACGAGGATATTCGCGAGGATGCCTCTGGATACGAGGCTACGCCTAGCTTCTCTGCTAGTGAAGGAAGACCGAAACGATCCGGAGGAAGAAGTTTGACAGGAATTCAAATTTGATTATTTTTTATTTAATTTATTTGTTAGCCCTGAATACAAAAAAAAATTTCGGTGCTATCATACAGTCATACACGGATATCCAATTTTTATTCCCTCCCCACCCCATAATATACATTATTCCCCCTGGCAATCAATTATATGGCTAAAAATTATTTTCTTATTTTCTAGGTTTATTTGTTAAATATATTTGTTTGAATTGTAAAGAGAAATTCAGATTTTGTTGATATTCCAACATAGATATCCTATTTTTATGGCAACCCCTCCCATGTTATAAAATGCATACCTACCCCTGGACATCAATTGAATTGCTGAAAGTTAGTAACTTATTTTCTTGGTTTATTTGTTAGATATATTTGTTTGAATTGTAGAGAGAAATCCGGACTTTGTCGATATTCCACAAGCTCTTCAGAATAGTTCTTCTAAACAAAGGTATAAAAAGTGAGAAAAGACGTCAGATTTAGCAATTTATATTTGACTAGCTGAAGGGCCCAGCGTGGCCCGTGAAACTTTTAAAGATAGAAATTTGTAAAAAATTAGATTTTTTAAATTAAAATAACATTTTTGAAAAAAAAGTAAAATTTTTGAGTAAAAAAGGGAAATTTTTGTTCGCCTTTGTTATCCTAAAGTATTTTAGGGGTTCTCTCAACTTCGCCTCCCCTCTTCTAACTCCTCCGCCATATAAATCAACAATTCTACTGATTTCTGACACCAGGCGTGCTCTGAATAAATTAAATTCCGCTGTCGGAACCAGCGCTGGCGGAACTACCGCTGTCGGAGCTACAGCTGGCGGAACTACAGCTTCTATTAAACGAAAGAGTTCAGTTGAAGACAACAGTTCTCTGGAGCTATCAAGCAAACGAAACAGGAATCATTAATAAATGTTGACTAAATATTGTTAATTTCTGAATTGATGATTTAGAAAAATGTTTTCGATGTAACTCACAAAGAGATCAATTCTGTTAACATAATGATGGACCTGTTTGATTGATTGAAAGATCTTTCAAATTATTCATTGTTTGTTTGATTAATTAATGTTAATGGTGCTGGTGTAGAACCCTGAGCGCGAAAGTTCTGGAATCTCTAGAGTCTAACGCTTCTAAAAACTGGTGGACCAGAATGTCAGGTAAATCAAGGTTAAATATTTTCTGTAAAAATAGTTAAATCAAGGGTATATATTTTCAGTAAAAAATCTTTCTATCTCTCCCTGAAAGCTAATTTTTTCACTTTAACATATTTGAAAATCATGCTCAAAAAGATAAACAGTTTTTAAAAAATAAATTTTATTTATCGAATTGAAAAGTCGTTAGTGGAAGTGAAGAGAAGATAAGTGTAATTATATTTTTATGTTCTCCCCCAAAACAAATTTAAAGTCGCTGAACTTAAATCAATATTTTCTAGACTTGAAAGTAGTTCCAAATTCTCAGAAGCAGGGAAATAAAGTTGGAACCCTAGCCAAAAAAGAGGAACAGGGTTATAAAGATGGAACCCCTTCGAAAAAAGATGATTTAATCATTATTTCTCAAGGTAATCCAAGTTAAAAAGTTGAAATCATTTTATTACTCTTATAGATAAAAATTCACAATAAAAAGCATAAAAATTCTGTCATCATTTTATTTTACAGCAAAGTCAGCTGTTTCCCTGACTGCGGAAGTAGGAAAGATGTTTAAACCAACAGCTGTTGTGGCAGCCCGGACAGCTGAAGGTCAGCAGCAGGACTGGCAACTTGACAGCTTCCGGTCGGATCAGCTGATGCAGCTGGATAAAGCGTTGGCGAAGGCAGGCTGGAAAGTCGGGTAAGACAGTTAATAACTAAACATTACCGGGAGGACATTCTTCAAGATTGAGATTTAGAAATTGTTTTAGCATTCTGTTTTCTCTTAACTTTCTGCATCTTTAGTCGTTTTCAACGGTATTTTTTTAGCAAAAATTAGTTTATTTTACAATGTTTAAGAGCCTTTTAAAGACTTTCTAATTTTATGAAACTCGGAATGTTTAGTAAATATGAGACAAACTTGAGAAATTATTTCTTTCATACAAAGGATTGTCTTTTATTTCATTTCATAATTTTACAACACATGTAATTCATTTCATTATTTATTCACTGTGCCCTTTTCTCGATTTTCATTCCGTTTTGTAACTGTGTTTAGAAGCGGGAAGAACATGGAAAAGGAGGTGTTTAAAAATGCTAAGTCGAAAACAGATTATATAGCCGGCATCAAGCGTTTAGGAAATTAGATTTTTTAGAATTTTCCAAAATTATTTTTAGAAAGAACTGAACTAAGAGGCAATCAGTGCTTAGGCTCCATTTTATTTTATGTGGATCCGGATCCAGGTTATGAAGAGTTTTTTAAGATTTAATTATCTTTAAATAGAAAAAGGGATTTAAGATTTTTTTCACTTATTTTTATGCTAAATCTTGATGGAACTTTTTTAATCTCTTTTTTCACAGTTCCGATTTAGGATTTGAGAGCAAACGATTATTTTTTTTGCAGCTTTTTGTCGATACTTTGACCCTTGGATCCGGATCCGTGGATTCGCATATTTTTGCGGATCCAGATCCAGGAAGCCAAAATGTTGCGGATCCTAAGCACTGCGCGCAATAAAACATAATTTTTTAAAAAATCTAAAAATGGGTTTTTATTACCATTAGTGTCACATTTTGGAGTTGATCCTAGTATAGAAAGTGAAGGAAAGGAGGAAATCATAATCCTGGAAAAATCCGAAAATAACGTTTTATCACACGGAAAGGTCGTGAAAAGTGTGTCAACATGTCCCCCTGTCAGGTTACCAGAGAAACAAAGGAAGATGATCAGAAAACCGAAGAAAATTCTGAAGAAAAAGAGTGCACTCAACAAACCATGTAAGACAGCATTGTTTATACACGACCTTGCACAGGAATCTAGTCTTGATTTGACATATTTAGATCTGAAGTCGATGTATGATTGTTAATTTTTTCAGAAAGAGCTAAGTTTCTTGTCCGACAGATTAAGTTTATAATATTTATCAAGGTTTCGAACAATCAGAGCTGGGAACTTTTGAATGGTGGATATCGAGATTAATGCTTGATCTCCTCTTTTTCTTAATCTCCAGATTAAATAACGCTTGTTCTCTTGTGATTAATCTCCAGATTAATTAACCGATCGGGATTAAGCGTATCCAATTCTAAAGTTTTCAGCTCAGGAGTGACTAAATTTCTGCTCTCGACCAATTTTCACTGAAAAAATAATCTCTTTTCTTGAAGTTGAAAGTTTCTGTAGTGCTTGTAGATTAGCAATAACTCGTACAAGTGTTGACCTTTGGGCTCTGGCAGTGCTTAGGATCCAGATCCATTGGATCCATAACATTTTGCCTCTTGGATCCTGATTCTAATCCTAGTCAATATTTACTTATAGTATTCATACAAAATATGCGTATCCACGGATCCGGATCCAAGGGCAAAATATCAACCAAAAACTTTTTTAAAAATCTTTTGCTCTCTAAACTCAACTCGTTCCTTATATCTGAATGGTTCATCAAGTTGTTGCTTAAAATCAGTGAAAAAAAAATACGGAAAAAAGCAGGATTCGCATGAAAAATCATGGTTCCTAAGCACTGACCTCCAGTATCCTCTCTAATTTCGATTGATTTTGAACTCTTGAATAATTATGATTACTTGTTTACGTTTCAGCAAGTTTTGGAGTTACCAAGAGGATTGGGAATTCTCGGATTTGGGGGAAGGATCGAAAGAATTGTCCAGTGTGTGGAATACTCCAGGTATCTATCTCTCTATCTCATGGTAATCAAATTACCAAACTTTATTTTTAATTTGTCAAGAAAATGTCGTCTGCTTTAATTAAGTTATTATTGTTATTGTCTATTATTTCCTAAAATAAGAATCAAGAACTTGTTTTTTAATCTATTCAACATATCATAACCTGGCAGAAGCCCAAAGGAGTTACGCGCGCATGCCGCATTGAATTTTAAGTTTGAGAGAGAGAGTCTGTTCTTGTCGCAGCGCTCGGCCCCTAGCCTGTCCTAGTTGCAGCGCTTGGCCCGGAAAGTGTCTTAACTTAACCTAATCAGTTTTAGTCTTTTTTTACTCTTCTTAACCATTAGTGCCAATACAGTTTCCATACTTGTTTTTTTTCACTTTTCTGTTCAAATAATGGACTTTTTAATTAATCTCCTATAATTAAAAGTGATACCTTTTTCTGAAGTAATCCCGCAAATTTGACAAATTAATATTCAAAATAATACCAGCTGTAAGTATATGGTACAAATCTGATTCTTATTATGCTTTGATTCAGGGTTGTAATGATTTGCTGTACCACCTGCGTACAGTACACGGAGATAAAGCATGTTCTGAGTGTACTGCTTCATGTTATACACAGGACAATCTGGTGAAACATATACAGGTAAACAACTAACAAGTCATAATTGATCAGTTGATTGATTGGTTGGTTGGTAGATTGATGGGTTGTTTTATTGGTTGATTTGTTGGTAGATTGGTAGATCGGTAGGTTTTTTTTATTATTGGTCAATTAGTTGATTTGTTTATTTTTTGGTTGGTTTTTTTTATTGATGATTGATTTATCGATTGGTTAATTTTGTAAGATTGATAGATTATTTGGTAAATTGTGTGTTTACTTGATTGTTTGATTGATTAATCGTTTAGTTGAATGATCGATTGATTTATTGGTTTTATATGATTGATAGATTGTTAGTTTAATTGATTGATTTATTGAATAGTCTATTGCTTCAGTATTGTTCAATTGAAAATAAAAAATAGCGTACAAACCCTTCTCTTAAGCTTATCGCCATTCAAAATAATAATAATAATAATAATAATGCATTGCAGTTTCAAACATATTACATATATTAGTGGTGTAGTTTAAATTTGTTTTGTTTAAATATGCTATATAGGAATGATATTAAACATTTTTGATAATTAATCATTTTCAGGAGTAAATTCATTACACTTGAATATGTGGATTCAGGAAAAATATAGTAAGAATAAAATTGTAAGCAATGTTTAGAACAAGTCGGCTCATAACTGAAACACATTCTAACTGCATATAGACATTTTTAGCATATCGAAGGGTGTAAATACATTCTTGATGTTTCTATCCTTCTAGCGAGGTTAATTATACATGTCCATTGTCCATAGTTATTATGTTCATCATGGATGCTGGGCTGATGCCCTTGGAGCATCATCGCTAGTTCCCATGTTTACTTTCAAGACCTGGTGATGTTGCAGAAAAATAATACCCTGTCTGCAGTAGCAGGAAAAAGTGATTCTGTATATGTGGTTTTAAAATGAAACAAGAATAACTGAACAATAAGATACAGATATATATATTCCACTCTTAAAAATAAAGAGCTCTGTAGCACTGATAGATTCGCAAAACTCTTCCGAACTAAACAAAAGTTGGGTTAAACATGCATTTAAAAGTTTACAGCCATAAGGGTCCCATAAAAGGTCCAATAGTTACAGCTTTAAAGAAGCTAAAGTTAAGCTTATGATTCATAAGTTTAAAGCTTAAACCATGGTATTAACCAAAACTAAATTGTTTAATTTAATTGGAATGCAATAATGGTGCTAATCAATGAATTATTATGGCTATTAAACCATTTTATTAGCAATAACTAATGCTCTGGGGACTCGGTAATTATGAGGACCAATGTACTTTTAAAAGTAATACTTTTATGAGAAAAAACTGGGTAATTATGAAGACCACTGTATCTGTCAAATTAAAACCATGTAATAAATTGCATGGTAAACTTGGCATAATAAATGCAATGAATAAAATTGGCGAACTTAAAGCATTTTGCCAATAATTTCAATGTAAGAAAGTTGCAAAAATAAGAAAGGTTGCAATAACGTTGCAAAAATTAAAGATATCGCTGCAAAAGTTGCAATAACGTTGCAAAATATGGCAAAACGTTGCGAAATGGAATGAATTGCTGAAACTTCCAAGAAGGCAAATTTCATGAGTTGCAAAAAGAATTGAGTTGCAGAAACTTCCGAAAAGGCAAATTTGATGGGTTGCGGAAACTTCCAAAAAAAAAGGCAAATTTCAAGTAAACTTAAAGAAAGGTTTATGCTTACTTTTCCGGGCAGAACCACAGATGAAGAGACGAGTTTGCAATAAAGATGCAATTAAGGAACAGGCTCCAAACCAGGATGTCCCGACTATCCAAGTCTCAGTTTCAGTTCAATTTCAGTTCAATTCAATTCAATTGTCGCTAAATATAAAAATCATTAGCTTTAAGTAAAAAACGTAATTCTTAAAACTGTATCTAGCTCAAACAAATTATTAAAAATGTTAAATTTAAGAAAATCAAGAAATAAGGATTCTAAGGATTCTATTTAAGAGAATCAAATGTTTTAAACCTCAATTATCTTCAACAATTTAAAGAAATAAAGATTCTAAGGATTCTATTTAAGAGAATCAAACTTTTTAAATCTCAATAATCTCCGACAATCCACAAAGATAGAAATAAAGATTCTAATCAGAGATAATAGCATTTTACGACTTTTCACGTGAAACATTAAAGTTTTGGCTCATTAAAGTTTAAGGCTCATTTTCACGCCAAGAATAAAAGAAGTAAACATGTTTATACCGACCTCTAAGCTCCGGATTCACAACACAACTGGCGTGTTTGTTTACATTTCCATTCATCAACAATTAATATTTGTAAACAAACATAAATCGAAAAATATTCTGTTGACAATTATTAACCATTCAAAATTTTCATACAACAGGTGAACAGGAAATGGGAGGTAATCTTGAGAGAGGATTTGTCCTCCATCTTGAAGGACTTTGAGGACCCTTGAACCATCCAGGTTCAGGCCTGGACCAGGATGGTGGGGTTATCTTCTGTGATTGGTTTCACAAGAAGGTAGGGTGAAACCACTTTGCAACAACTCTCAAGGGTTCAGGACTCTTAAACAGCTTCAGAGCGGGTGATGTCGGGCAATAGATGTTCAGGGGGAGTTAAGGGCCAACGTAGTGAAGACCATGTGATATTTCAGTGCCCATTTGTGAGCCATGTTAGGTGGGCTAAGGGATAGAGGCCTATCATAATCTCTATGTGGCTCTACATCAGGTCCCATAACTTGTTATGCGGGACTTTCTTGGGGGATTGGGCTGAGCCTTTAACAATGATGGGCAGAGCTCAGGTCTTTAAATGTATGATGGACAACTGGCTTATGCAGGGCTTGTTGGCTTATTGAGGTAGGTCATGAACTGTCCTGTTCCCGCAGAAGTGTCCCATTGTTGGCTGTGGTAGAGTATACCTCTGGACTTCATTTAGCCTGCCCCCTGGTGGTACCTCATCTGTGGATGGCCGGGGGGACCCGGTGTCCACCCGATGATGGTCTGGGTTCTCCATCCTGGGGGGGCTTTCAGATCTCTTTCCTGATACTCCTGAGTAGACTTGACATCAACATTAATTGATTTATACGTCTACAATTCCCCACAAATCATAAGTAATCATTAAAAGAAAACAATTGTCTTTAAAAATTCACAACATTGGATTAACCTTTAAAGGAACCAAAGACGTAATCTGAAGTCCTTAATCTTTAAATTTATTAAATTCTGCAAAGTTCCTTCTTACAATTTTAATATAGGAAACATGATGGGACTTCCTTCTGGAAGTCCCATCATGTTTACTTATACAAGGGTTTACGGAAAAGCCGTTAATGGGACCTGCCACTATATATATTGAGGGTCACAGTTAAAATAAAACGTGTAGAGTCTCTTTAAACCCAAATTGATATCAAACGCCGATATATTTCTCAGTTTAAGATTTAAAGAACTCACCAGTTCTGGAACTTGCAACTCGACAATTACAAGGTTACCAGAAAAAAAAAATTCTATTTCCAAATTAGTCGAACATGATGGAAGATGCACGAATATGAAGAAAATGTGAAACAACAAAAACAGAAATATTAAAAGATTCACAGCGGCCACCATCTAATAATTTAGAATTTTGTTAAAATTGGAAATAGAAAAAACATAAAAAACAAGATTTAAAGGACACATGGATCTGAATTGCTACAACCATCCTTTAATGTTATTATGTGAGGTGTATTCAAAATTCTGAGTACAGTCCCTTTAACATGATTACTATTTAGGAAGCTCACAAGATAACATTGGAAGGAACTAATGGAGCTGTTGAGCAAGGTACAAGATAAATTTAAGATATTTTATCAACTTCCTCTTCCTTTTCCCTTTCTGTAATGNGTTAGCTGCATTTGGGAAAAATATTAATTATAGTGAATAAAATCAAAAAGAGGGATAAACTTGTGAGTTGAAGTCAAATTTTAATTTTCCCTCAAACCTCCAAAAATCCTTCTATCGGGTGTTTATTCTAGGATTTGATAACATGGACTCCAGTTCATTAGGAGCAGGAGAAGGGGATAGTGTTCAGCTGAAGAGTAAGGTGAAGTATATTTTAGTGTTTTGGTTCAATGTTTATTAAAGTTGAAAAGGGAGTATATAAAATGTTTTCTTATTTCTCCCTAGTATTTTTTTCCCCATGTGGATATCGAGTCTGCCAACCTAGGCCCTAAAATATGTAGTTTTACCGATTTTTGTATATGTTCTTTACTCCGATTTCAACATTAATAAACAGTCTTTTAAATGATTTAATATTAAGTTTTTTAGAAGAAAGTTCTGCTCAAACAGCAGTTTATTGTGAAAAAGTCTAAAAGTGGGAAGAAAGGAAAAAAGTATCTAGATTCATCTTCAGGTAACAAATCTATCCAGTACTCATGATATTAACCGTCCTATCGTTTTTGGGGAAAGTGAAAACTGTAATTATAAAATAGTCAGGATGAACTATAGTAAACTATTTGTGAATAAACAAATATAGAATAGAATGCGTATTTAATATATGTCAATTAATAAGTTCTAACTTTTAATGTTTTAACATTGCTTTCTATGTCTAACATTGTGTTAAATTTCTGGTTTACGAAATGGAAACTGAAAATTTTACGGTTTACGTTACGGACCAATTTCCGGTTTACGAAATAGAAACTTGAAAGTTTACGATTTCCATTCCGTAAACCGATAACATTTCCGGTTTAAGTAACGTAAACCGTAAACATTCCGGTTTCCATTTGATCCGGCATTATCCCGGAATTCCGGTTTACTCAACAAATTTCCGGATCATTCCATTTCCAAAATGGAATTTTTTTCCGGAAAAATGGAAACCCTAGACTAACAAATCTATGCAGTATTCATGAAATTAACCGTCCTATCGTTTTTTGTTCATCTTTGCCATTTTCTCACAGCTTCAAAATTAGGCATAGTGAAAGAAAAGCAAATGTTTTGAATAAATAATTTTGAAAATTGTAGAACTTTCCAGAGTTTTGTGGAACCTCTTAAAAGTCCAAGAAAACGAACCAAGCTATGTCCCATTACTAATTTTGTCATTGTACATTAAAAAAAATTAATTTTTTTGATGATTTTTTTAATTATTGATTTCTTGAAACCTGTCGAATATTTCCTATCTGGAAGATGGAGATGCTGTAGGGGGGTTCATTACAGGATCCTTTTCAGATTTATTTTCTTGATAGTTCTTAATATCCTTCTGCCCCTTCTTCCACTAAAGAGTTTAAATAGTGTCAACTTTTTAGATTTCGAGTCTGTTATAAAGGGAAAAGAAATAATTCCTGGTGGATCAGTTTCTGAACAGAACAAGCTGACCGCTCCTAGTCTTAGCACTTCAAGTCAATCAGTCAAGGTGAAAAAGATAGATTTAATTTATTACTAACTGAAGTGCCCGGCGTTGCCCGTGGACTTCTTTAAAATCAAATTTTGAAAGAAAAAAATTTGGTTTTTGAAGAAAAAATTCGACCTTTGAAAAAAAAATGGCTTTGTTACTCCCAAAGGGTACTTAAGTATCTCTAAAACCTTAAACTGATCAAAAATGTAAAATGCTTTATTAGCAGGTAATGCGTAGTAGCGCAATACACTTTCGCAGAGAAACCGCAAATGAAAATAAACAGTATATAGAAACAAAAACATGGATATCTAATTCATATTTGATCAGACAAAGCTTTCAAGGGTACTGTTTAAAATCGGACATTGCCATCTTTGCATGTAGGGTCACTTTAAATTACGCTTACAGTCCTTTTTATGCAGGGTTATTTATAAAGCGTAAACCTTGATGACCTTAACGCTGAAGGTTAAACTGTGTTTTCTGCCTTTGAATAATGTTTCAATGATTTACAAGTGCAAGTTTACAGTTGAGTGGAATAAAGAAAAAGACTGTACAAAGGTCATTCAGTCGTCTCTCAATTCTCATTCTTTGTGGGTAACTCTGTCGGTAACGTGGTGTAAATAAATCATTTTGTTCTAAACATAGTTGAGATGCACATGGAAGAAGTCGATTTTAATAAATATTTCTCAATGGCTACCGCTAACCGGTCGCATTTAAGTGGGTAACTTTAAGTTATGGTAACTGGGGTATTCTTCACCCAACTCAGATTCAATATTGACGGGGGCGTTTTTCTTTAGGTCGCTGAGATTGATTCTACATCCAACAGTCGACCACAGGTATGCAAATACAAAAAAATACGAAAAACGAAAGAAAAATAACGAATTACGAGTGACGAATGACGAATGACGACCATTGGATAAGGATAAGGAATTGGATGGAGTATTTATGAGGGAAAATGATTTACAAAATATTATAAAATAAAGGAAATTTTCTTCCTGTTTTAAAATCCGATCTTGAGGGTTTCTAAAAAAACGTTAACAATCCCTTTAATTTAAATATTTTTATGTTTTAGAGGACTACTCGTTCCATAGAGGAAAGAAACCCTGATTTTGTTGTGGAAACATTTTCTAGAAAATCGGCCGAAATCGACGATTCTTTAGAAACCGGTGAGCCTATCCTTAAGATGGCAAAATCAAAATCGAAGAAAGTTTCCATTCCGAGTTCTCAAGACTTAAGTTTCGAAGAAAACGATTTGAGGATTGACGAAAAATCTCCTTTCGTCGACGAATCTAACTTCTCTCCCTTCGTTGACGAATCTCTGAAGGAGCCGGAGGTGGAGAATGTTGCGAAGAGTTGGTTTGATATTAACCAAGGATGATCAATTTTGCGGAGTGACCTGAATCGTCGCTTAGACGAATTTTAAGTTGTCCATTCATAAACATTCACTAATTATATTTTATGCATTTTTTCTCCAATTAATATCAAATTCATTGGTCACAAAATAAAACCTGAAAAAGGTTGATTTTAGTTTTGTTGATTCATTGTTTGAAATATTAAGAAAACCGTCAGAAAACTTGATAGTAAAAGTTTTTTTTTGGTCAATGTTTTATTAGTCCTTGTTTACATATAATATATATACATAAATTATATTTCCTTTACTCAGTATTATTCTTTTTTTTGCATTTCAGATTAAATCCTTTAAAATCAGGACACAATGGCAGACAAAGATTATGCGCCATTAAGGAAGAATTTTAATTTTAATAGATAATTCCCATATTTTTTAACATTTGATATCATAAATAATTTTCAATCAATATCCGGTGAAAATCTATTTTAAATTTACAATAGAGTAATATTAACATATATTTCCCCCTTTTTGCAAATATGTTTTACTAGCTGAAGTGCCCGGCGTTGCCCGTGAAAAAAGAATTGAAAAAAAATTCGAATTTTGTTTAGCCTTTAACACCTCCAGCCACTCATGAGGGTCCACAAAAAATTCAGCCCAATCGGTCCAACCGTTTGGCCGGCTATACACAACATATTTACGAATGTCCTATTTATTCTTTATATGAGCCAATTTCTGTGTTTTCCTGAGAAATACAAATATCCTTTTCTTTTTTATTTTCTTTTAAATTCCTCTTGTACAGTACTGCATGTGTACGGGCCCTAAATGATCGTATGTACGAGAGAAGAAAAGCAGCAGCGCTTGAAATTGAGAAAATGGTAAACTACCATCACGATTAAGTGTGCTTAACGGTTGGGTTGGGTTGGGGATGTGATCTAATTTGGATTAGTGTGGTTTAAGTTGATTAGAGATTTGGCTGGGTTTGATTTGATTTAATTTCATTTGGGTTGATATGATCTGATTTTGATAATTGATTTTAGATTTGGGTTATTTTCATTTTAATTTAAGTTTTCCATTTTTCTTTATCACTTACTCGTTCTTAATTGGTTTGTACTTAATAACGTTTCACTTTTTCATTGCTGTTATTTGGCTTTTTTGATAAAATGGATAATTTAGGAACTGCTTCTATTATAACATTTTATTATATTTTAGGTTAAAGATTTTGTTACAGTACAGAATATTACACAAATCAAGAAATTGCTGAAGGAAGGAAACTTTAGCTAATTTTCTTATCAAATAATGGATGTCCCAATACACATGGGAAATTAGAAACGACATGAAAGTCGTCTTTGATTTTTCACAATTGATAAATGACAGTGTATTAAAAAAAGACAAAACATTTATGTATCTCCACACTTGATATAATATATTTTATCAATTTTTGTTATTTATTTTTCTTAACCGGAATCCGGATCAATTTCTGATTATATCCGTCAATTTTGATGGTTCCTAAATAGCAGGTTTAGATATCCCGAGTTCAGTTTTGCCGTGTCGTTGCTTAATCATTATGTTTATAGGGACACCCTGTTGAAATAAAATATTTATTGGTCAACATTGTAACAACAACTTTTATTGTTTTCAATATTTTGTTAAAAATATTAAGTTTGATAAAAAATTAAATTTCAATCTTCACATGAACTCATATTTCTGAACACTTCCTTTGAATAAAAACAATAATTTAAATCTATCTTGTCTGTATACTGGAAATATAATACTTCCGGTTCAAGGTGTTGGGCTCTGAATTTGCAAAATCACAAAACCCGCATATGCGCAAAGGCGGACTTATCGGTCTCGCCGCTATGGCAATTGGATTAGGTAAGATAAAACTTTCATTTTATTTTTAGAAAATTTTCCGAGCAATCATATCTTGAATCATTTATGAGAGAAATCATAAGAAATTGCCGTATTTATTATGTTGAAAATTAAACAATTTTGTTCATTCCCCCTTTTTTTAAGCTGCAAAAATCCAAAAATCACTTGCATAGAAAATGAATTAAAAGATATCGCTGTGAATTGGACATGCAAATCTTTCAATAACGGTTCGCTTAAAATTTTTCTTAGGCAGTCCCTTTAAAGGGGGTATTGGCGAAAATTAAAAAGGGGTATAGGCTTACTAAGAAAAATGATCGCTTTTGATCGCTACTAATCAGTAATCTTACTTATATCTGTTGCGTCTAAAAGGAGAAAATTGTTAAACACGACAAGAACGTAGCGTCCAAACAAATTCAGACAGTTGCAGTATACGACTCGGATCGTAAAAAATATCAAAGTAATTTCAAACAAATCATTCAGATATTACAACCTATAGTCTTCGGTTTTTTTATACGCATTTGTGTGTAGTTAATATTTAATATTCGTTATGTAAATGATGCACCTAAAACGCCTAAATAATTGGCCACCAGATGTCTCTGCTCTCGATGCTTTGAATGATAACTCCTAGCGGAAAAAAATAGTTTTAAGTGCATTATGGATCAAAAGCGATTATTTTTCGCCGTAAGCCTATTCCCTTTTACATTTTTCTCGAACACTCCCTTTAATAAATATCGTCTAGGGAAGGATAGCGGAAAATATACAGAGGAGTTGATATCTCCTATTCTTAGTTGTCTAGCAGACTCAGATAGCAGGGTTAGTTCATCTTTATTTAACACCAGGCAAATAACAATCGGCACTGAACTTGGAACTTATGTATTGTGGATATCGAGATCATTGCTTGATCTCGATCTTTTGTTAATCTTCAGATTATGGTAATCTTTATTCGATATCCCGCATGGTCAGTCAGGGGTTGAAGGAAGCTTTGATCAGGGGAGGAATACAGGGGTTGAAGGGAGCTTTGATCAGGGAAGGAATAACTAAGATTAAAATATGAAAAGGTATGTTTTTTTTCAGAACGTCAAATCAAAAGTGCCCACAGTGAATATCGAGATTAAGCAATCGGGTTTATGAGTATCCAACTCAAAGGTTCCTAGCTCTGGTATAACAATGACGACATTCTGCAACATTGTCCGACCAGTTACCATTTGAGCTATTAAATATTTCAATAATTGTTCATGTTACCTACACACATGATTACTTGTGTAGAAGTTTAAATTAAACTTAGACTAAGTAGGCCCCTGAAAATTTAAATTATAATAGAGTTCATTCAAATTACATTTTTGCATAATAACAATGGTTAATAACTTAATAATATATTACAACAAAGCTAATTAGCCAAACAAATGCCAATATGAACAACAGTTCAAAAGATTAAAGGGAGTGTTCGCAAAACATGAAGGAAGGTGTAGATGCAACAGATAGAAGTAAAATTAGTAGCGATTGATATCGAATTTAATTTGAAGACCTATTTCCCCTTTTATTTTTCGCGAACATTCCCTTTTATAGTTCCTACTTGACATTTGTTCAAGTGTTTGACCAATTAGTTAAATTAACCAATAATGGTTAAAATTTTACATTTAAACTTGTAAAGCAGTGACTTAAAAATTTACATCGAGAAAAATGTGTGTGAAAATGTATTTTGAGTTGATTTGTTAAGGAAAGCTACACCAAAAGATTAAATAAATGTTACTTTGAAAAAAAATAACATTTTAATAATATTTTTACTCTGCAGGTTCGATACTATGCCTGTGAGAGTTTATATAACGTTGTAAAGGTGATTTTTTGATAACTTTTTTTTTGTCATGTCAGTGTAAATTTTTATTATCATTATGTATATGAAGTTGTACTCTCTGTTTGTCTGTCTATTTGTTTGTCCAATCATAACTCAGGAACCCCTGGACTGGACCGATTTGCCTCAAATTTTGAACTCGGGAGACCCACGGGAATGTTCTTAGCTATGTTTTTAAAGTATAGTGGGTTCACTTAAAACGGGAAAAATAGTTAAAATCGTAATTTATGACAAGGGGCGGGTAAACGGGTAAACAAGGGACTAACTATGACTATGGGCCACGCTGGGTTCCCAGGCTAGTATATAATATCTTTTTTAGGTTCTTCGTGAGAATATCATTCCACATTTTAACGACATTTTCTCAGCCATCAGGTCAAGTTAAAATTACAGTTGAATTCCAACATCATGATTTTTGGAAACTATTCTTACTAATTTAGATCCCTACTACGGAACTAATCCCCGTATCTTTGCAACCTGTTGTCGAAAACCTTCGATATTTCAAACTATAAATTCTAAGCCAGCGATTAAAAAAATGGGAAAATAAGGCTCAGGTCTAAAGCTCTGTCATTAAACAACTTGCACAGAGATGGGTTTATTAAACCGGTCATAACATTGTATTTGGCGGATTTTCATGGTTTGAATTGGCGGATTCGAGGTATTTGATTAAAATAAGACTCAACAATGAGACTGATTCTCCACTTTGCACTAGACCAACCAAGGTCGGTTTTATTTTCATTGGGAACGTTAAAATCTTATTTTTCATTAAAAAAATGTTAATTTAAAAAAATGTGAAGTTTCTTAAAAATATTTGTGTACTAAACCAGCCGATTAGGTAAAGATACAGTCTAGGAAAGTAACCAATAAACCATGTCTGGAGAAACACCACCGCTTTAATGGTATTATTTTTACTTATTTAAATGTTTAGTAAGCTAGTAGCAGACCCTGATCAAACTGTAAAAAATGGATCAGAGCTCTTGGACAGACTTCTTAAAGGTAAAAAAAAATCGTTTTGATTTTTATATTTAAGAATGATGAAATTCAGGTGTTAAGAATCATTTTTCAACCCACTCAAATTGTTCGTGATAATTATGGAGGTTCACTTGAAATTATGCTTACAGTCCCTTTAAGTCTTGTATTTTCAGATATTGTGACGGAGAAGTCAAGTTTTGAAATAGAAAGTTTTATCCCCGTATTGAGAGAACGTATGTACGCTAAAGACAGGTCAGAATTAATTTTTAATTTTTCTTTAAAATAATATCAGAGTTCAAAATTTTTGAATCCTCTTGGAGACTTGAGACCCTACCGCAGTACTGAATAAAGTTAAGAGATCAAGTATATCAAGGGCTAGCGCAATCAAGCCTTTTAGACAAGCAGTACATCGCTCAAAATGCTAATGACCTCAGGATAAAATGTTTTGGGTTTGAGGACATCCACTCTCTACTAAACCCCACTATTCATTCGGGCAGAGTACTGCGATCACTGCAGTACGCATCGAAAGCTTAGTATGAGGTGCAATTTAAATTTTGTTGAAATATGGTGGAGGTATTCCTGTATACGCCACTGAGCACATCATTCAAAAATAAAAGTTTTTTTTTGCCAATGAACGATCTGGTTAATTCCCCTTTGGAGAGAACGATTTTATTGATTTAAATCAGTTCTCAGCTGAAAACTTAAGAATTGGATTACTTAAATCCAGATCGCTTAATCTGAATATCCAATGTGGATACTTTTAATTTCTTTCTTAATCCGCTCTTGTTCTTTTTTATTGTTTCCCTGCCAGTTTGCCACCAATGAGAGTTCACTAATTAATTGGCGCGCAAAATATCAAATTTCCAGGCTTCTCTAATTGGCTGTTCTGGGCCGCTCTCCAAACCCCACTCGATTGGTTGAGTTTGTTGAAACAAACTTAAGATTAAGTTTATCTTAAAATTAAAAAAGAGAAGATCAAGTATTGATCTAGATATCCAGAATTCTATATTTTTCCGTTCTGATAAACTAAGAATTTTATTTATTTATATTCTCAAAAAATAATTTAATAATGTTTAGATGTCTAAATATCTGCCGGAGTTTTTAGATCCTCTCTTCTCAATACTGGACGATTCAAGGAAAACGGATATATTTTATTAAGTCCGGCAGTGCCCGTGGAATTTTAAAAGCTGTGGAAAAAAAATTTGAAAAACGAATTAAAAAAAAAATAGAATTTTAAGAGGAAAAAAATTGATTTGAAGAAAAAAATCTTTTAAAAGAAAGTGCTGAATTTTGTTTAATGTTAATATTTGTAGGATTAACAAGTTATCTTCACCAACCACATGTTTTACAAATGCCCGATTCACAATAGTACTCTTGAAACCGTTATCTGATCAATAACGTGGAAGATATTGTTGTTTTTATATTTATAAAAGTGTTTAATTCTCTTGCTTTATTTATGTTTTTCTACAATAGAAATGCGGAGGTTACTTTTCTAGAGAAACCAAGATGGAAAATAATAAAGTTGTTAAAATAGGAAAATTGATATCTAATTCATAGTTGATCAGACAAAGCTTTTAAGAGTACTGTTGGGAATCGGGAATTGCCATCTTTGCTTGGAATGTCACTTGACATTACGCTTACAGTCCCTTTAAATAGTTTTTATATCACATACCTTTCAACATGGGCACTTTAAAGGAAGATATTAAAAATCTCTTTGAACTGTAGTCCTCAAGAGAACTCCGTTTATTTTCCTCCCATGAGGTGCAGCACATTTTTTGGGGTGCAACCATATAGCGTGTAATCATTTTGGTATATAAACTATCTAAATATTAATTTTTAACCAGAATTTAGTGTTATTATTGGTAAAATTGTTGTTTTAATTTGAAGCTTGCATAAAAGACGTTGAGGTGTGTAGAAAAAGCGTGCAAGAAAATGGACTTATATTTTCGGTGTCTCGGGACAAATGCACGGAGCTTAAAACGAACACCACACACCTCTTGCGTGATAGTTTCACTTTAAATATGATGAATTCATATCTGTACTTCAGTCCAGAGATTTCAACGATGTGCGAGAATCAGCTCGGCGAGTTCTTGGATAACATTAAAAAGGAACAATTCAATTTAGCAGTAGATAGAAATTGATAGGTGTGAATGCAGGCGCACACAAATGGGTTCAGAGAAGAATAGTAGTAAAACTTCAGTCAGAAAAATAATTCCAAAAAATTCCTAAAAAAATCTTCTTAAGCGCTTACTCTATCTTTTAGCATCAGTTTACCTCAGCAATGAGAAATTTCAAAGATTTTAACATTAATTGACATTTAACTCCCCCCCCCCCCCTTCCCATTCCATCTGCAATCTCGGAATATTTGTTAGTTGCCTAAATTAAATATTACAATGTAGAACCCTGGAAATGTGGATTTCCCTGCAATGATTAACATACTCATTCTTCATTCACAGGTCAGCTATTTCTTTGTTAGAGTCACTTACTTCTATATTATAGGGTGACTCAGTAATTTAGAGTTTATATTTTTAGAGGAGTGTTAAGGTTAATTTTTGTTGTCCAATGCTTTTGTTTAAAACCCTAATTCTCGTTTTTTGGGTCACCTTGACACCTCCAAATATAAAGTAGTAATCTCTATTTGTCTGTTTGTTTGTTTGTTCGAATGTCCGATCATAAATCATGAACCCCTTGACCGATTTGCCTCACATTTTTCGGAAACTCGGAAAAATTTTAAGCTGATTTGATTTGACCTTTTAAGACAAAGTTTAGTTTTCAGGCAAAGCTGGGTTCCTTAGCTAGTCCTTTATAGTTGATTAAAGTCGATTCACAATATTGCCAATATTAATATTAATATTGACTGTAAAGGTACTAAAAGACAAGAAAGGGAGAGTTTAAAGTGTTTTTATTTTGTTTGGAACGTAGCATGGCCCAGGTGTTGGGTTTTGGCCAGGCAAAATAATAAATTGGTTTTTACATTTAGAAAGTTGACAGTTCCAACGAGTAAATCGGCAACAAACAAATTTTATTATTTTATTTCAGCATTATACATTGTTTGTAGGATTTCCTTAAAACTCGGATTTGATTTGATTTTAAGCATTCGGAGGCCGAATTTAAAAAATTTAAACCGCGTCGCTGATCCGCCAAAAACCGGTTCCAATTGAGCGCCGGCTAAAATCTTAAAACACAAAATACAATTCCATGTTTGAAACGCGTCATATATATTTGAGCAACGGCTCAAATTCTTTAAATTCGGCCTAGGATGAAACAGAAGTAGAAATTCAATTTTCATAAATTTTTTTTAATAATAAAACTTTTTTTTTAAAGTCCAACAATGTTCTGCTGCAAATGATGGCAATAACTTGGATACAGGTATCATCAGATTATTATTCATATTTCATATTTCATTTTTCATTTTAATTTTTACTTTTAAATAAATGAATTTTAACATGGGATTGGGTACAAAACTGTTTCTTTTGTGTTACCCATTAAAACGATCAGATTTAAATAAAATTCAATGTAACGTTACATAGATTCAGCCTCCTTATAAACAGTCTCATCAATTTTTAAGACAGGGCTGACTTTGAAGTGTCGCAACGCCCTAAGCTTAGATTTTACCGCTCTAACTCACTTATGCTTTTCTGTAGCCCTTTACATGTACATTTTAGCACTGTAAAGCACTTCTTGTTAAATTTGGTTTTTTAGAAGTAATTGGCAAAATTCTCAACGATTTTTGCTTAAGAGCGTGAGACCATTAAATCGCAGTGAATTAACCCCGGGTAGTTCAACAAGATTCATTTATTACGCAGATTTAACAGATTTTAATTTCGATCACAATTTGACAAGTTAAAACATAGATGGTTCGTTTTTTAACTTTAATATTTTATTATCAGTGGATGCATACTGAATGAAAACTGTTATTGTTGAATTAAAGACCTAAATGCGATTAAATATAACCCGGCCCTGGTTTGTCCAATGTCCATGATAAAAAAAACTATTTTTGATTGTTTTGTTCCAGGAGTTTGTATCTCTAGCAGGGATGGATATGCTTCCCTATACTTCAGGTTAGATGAATTGGTTGGGACAAAACAAAAATATAAAATTTTAAAAATGAGTTTTGATTTTTTGTGTTGTAAATCTTGGGAACAAGCCTTGATCTCCATCTTATGGAGACCTAAGGATTAATTTAATTCCTATCTTATATCACGTGGTGGTCCTACCCTGCAGCGATTACTTAATTGATAGATTATCATGAAGTTTAGAAGTGTCCAGATTGGATATCGAGATCTAGTGTTCCAAATAAATTATTCTCCACACAAAAATCCGACCTTTTTATCCCTTTACACATGAAAATTTCAAAGCTGGAGAAATTTAGTTTAGTTTTCAAAGAGTGTTCTGAAAAGGACTGGTGTAAAGTTTAGACTTAATTCAGAGCTTTACAGGGAATTAGATTAACCAGGGGTCCCAGGGGCCGGCGGACAATTTGGATAATTTATAACTACTAAGCATGAAATAATAACAATGAACTAAATCATTTGACTGTAAATCTGTTCGCGCTTAACCATAACTGGTTGGCCCAATAAAAATAAATATATTGTTACAGGTATATTGAACTCCGTGCTTCCATGTCTCGCTTATGAAACAGAAAACCTTAAAACAGTCAGGTGAAGATCTATAATAACACAAAATAATTCCATTAATTCATTCATTTGTTTAGTTTTATTTTACAGTTAAACTACTTTTGACTGGGTTCATCTATAACAAAATTTTTAATAATATAAGTTTTGCTTGAGGGGTTTTTACTTTTAAGTCTGTTTTCGGTAATTTTAGTTTTTAATGATGTATAAAAAATACAAATCCCATTTTAAGTCTTTCAAGTTTTAAAAATGGTATTTTTCTTGATATTAAAAAAGTTTGATTAAACGCATAGTTGTCACATGCTTCCCAATCAAAGAGAATAGAAGATATATTATAGTGGAATTTTAAAACGGCCATTTTGTTGTACTGTTTCCATACTGCAGGTGTACTTCACATATTTGTGCTGTATAACCTTTTTGGCCCTGGAGCATCATTTTATAGAAAATCTAAAATTAATGTTAAAAGAAAACCAAATTATGAAATAGGCATGATTGACCAATGATCATTTCATATAGACTCTATGCCTTTCACTTTACAAACGATGATTTTCCATTATAACTATAAATCAAATGATTTTTTTATTCACCTCATTTATTTTATAAAGTTTATTCAACAGCTTTAAAAAATTCGAAATTGAAATGGATAGTCTAGGGAACATACTGTATTAATGTACTCTACTGCATATAATTTGTGAACATTCACATGATTTGTACACTTTGAACTCCCTTTCAGGTTGAAAGGGACTGACAAAATTCAAATTTCTAAATTCCTCTCTAATATATATTCTATTCTCTTTGTTCCCAATTGTTCATCTTATAAAGACTACCATTGTTACAATTTTGTTTCTATAAAATATTGTTTTGGAATTTTAATAAGTATTTTATTTAGAGAAATCTCGCGTGGTGTGAATGAAAATCTGATGAAGCTTATTGAAAAACCGTCCAAAAATCAGGTTAATAGTTAGAACCGAAGGTTTAAAGCTGGGTTACCTAAACTATCTTTAAACATATAATCCTTGATTTTGGTTGAGTCAACAACAAAAACTATCCTTGAATATATAATCCTTGAATAATTTGTAACAAATCTTTGACTACACTTTTCAAATAAATCATTTATTTTTTATATTATTCTTGAACCTAATATATCTGGTCATCTTGACCTTGAAGATACTATTGAAGTTCTAATTATATTATCCTCTAGGTTGAACCTTGTAAATCTGGTCAGCTTGACCTAGAAGATACTATTGGAGTTCTAATTATATTATTCTCTAGGTTGAACCTAGTAAATCTGGTCAACTTGACCTAGAAGAGAGTATTGGAGTTCTAATTATATTATCCTCTAGTTTGAACCTAGTAAATCTGGTCAGCTAGACCTAGAAGATACTATTGGAGTTCTAATTATATTATCCTCTAGGTTGAACCTAGTAAATCCGGTCAGCTTGACCTAGAAGATACTATTGGAGTTCTAATAATAATATCCTCTAGGTTTAAACTAGTAAATCTGGCCAACTTGACCTTGAAGATACTATTGGAGTTCTAATTATATTATCCTCTAGGTTGAACCTAGTAAATCCGGTCAGCTTGACCTAGAAGATACTATTGGAGTTCTAATTAAACAATTGCAGAATAGTTCTCATCAGTCTAAGGTAAGTCTGGGATTTTTTTTTCTATTCAATTTTTGAATTAATTAGATCTTTGTCCTTAACAGCGTTCCTTCAATATTAGCATACTAAGAAATAATATAAAACTTAATAGCCCTTTATTTATATATATTTTTCTTCTTAATATGTCCGGTAAAGAATATAAATCTGCTCTTGGTGTGGAAAAGTTTTCTTCCATGCTTACTAAAATGATCCTATCAAAGTATTATGAGATCTTCTCAAAGTTTTATAAGATTCTCTCAAAATTTTTGTGAGATTCTGCAAAAGTATTAAGAGATGTTATCAATGTTTCAAGAGATTTTGTCAAAAATTTCGTGGTCCTTTGGTTTATATATATATTTTTTTAATTCGATCAAAGTTTTCGATATCTCGAACAAGACGATAAAATACCACTAACTTCTTATTTTGAAGGTTGCTCCCTTAAAATGGTTCTTCCATCTTTTCATTCAGGCAAAATCTTTCTCCAGTTTAGCATTAAAGGGACTGTCGCCGTGATTTAGATATTTAGATCTAATTGAGATACCCTCTTTTAATGTGTGGCATGTCCTTCACATTACGGAACCATTACAACAGCTCTATTTGAGTAATAATGATGTCGTTTTTCTTCTTTACTGTTGATTTCTGGTTGTTTCCTTTATTGTCTTTACAGCATACAACTGCAAGTCACGGAGAAACCACAATGAAAAATAATTAAATTTCAGCCAGAGAAACAAGGATTTCTTATTAATTCTAAACCAAACAAAGATTTAAAGGTTTCGATGTTAATCTGCTAAATGGTGGTTCATTTTATATTTCGCATTCAGTCCCTGTAAAGTAAAAAATATAAATCAGCCATATTCTTAATTTTCGGCGAAGATTTGTCCTGTCCTCAGATTCCTGAACAAATGTTTGATCACGTGAGTCTAGTTACCCCTGTTCTTCTTCAGACATTGTCAGGTTACCAAATCATTCATTTAAAGTAATTTTTATTTAATTTTGTGAAGAAATTATCATGCACCAGAGACCTCCAAAACTTTACGGAGACTTCTCTTTTTAAAGAAGACTCTCAAAATGTTACAGATTCTCTCAAAATATTTCGTCGAGATCCCCCTTTTATTTCAATTTATATGTCAATAAGATTAAATCAGCAATTAAATGTGTATCCCCCCAACCTCCCTGGGCTGTATTTTTACTTATTAACCCCTTTCTATATAAAAAAAAATGCGAGTCCAGCAATAAAAATTTCAGGAAATTAGAATATTTTTAGCTGATGTATTTTATATTTAATATCTCAGTTTTAGACAGTTTTCCTCGAGTTACACATCAAATATTTGATACGTTCAAAATAGAAATTAAAGGGATTGGGGTATCATGACATCTTTGATGAGGAGTAAAATAGTCTTTTTTCCGAAAGTTGTGAATCTATAAATAGTAATCTCTGTATGTTTGTATGTTGGTTTAGGGTTTCCATTCGCAAAACTTCTGCGCAAAAAGCGCAAATTTTTGCTTTCGTTGCGCTACATTTTTGCGCGAAAAAATAGTACTTTGCGCAATCATTTTCAATCTTAATTTTGCACAAAATTGCGCTATTCCGCTTTTGTGTTATTTTGTTTTGCGCGATTTTGTGGAACAAATTCTCACAGAGAAACCTAATTGTAACTTGGGTTTTCTCCAATGATTATTTAATAATTCTTATTTTTATTTTTAATAGATATGCTTGATAATATTAGTTGTAAGTCCGTATTACGTCACAAGAACTCCCACCAATGAGAGTGCAGTAAAGTGGTCACGTGATACATTCGACTGGAAGTAGGCAACATTGGAAATTTTAAAGTTTAACTCCACACAAAGATTCAGACATTTATTAAACCATGCAAAAAAATTTATTTTAAGATTTTTAATTACTGTTTTATTAATTTTTGTCCCTCAATTAGAAGATTTTGTAACTAAAAGTAACCAATGGAGTGTAAAACCATAATTTATTTTTATGTAAATTTTTTAATAAACCTTCAGTTGTCTGATTTTGTGCTGAAACTGTAAATTTTGGTTAATTTGCAACAACATGCTTTGCGTAAACATTTATGTTTTGCGCATTACTTCCGGTTTTGCACATAGTACGCAAAAAAGTCACGAAAACGCGCAAAACATATTTCGCTTAATGCGCAAAAGATACTGAAAAGTTTGCAAAAAAATATTTGCGTTAAAATTACGCTAACTTTTGAGCAAAAAATATGGTCATTACGTGGAAACCCTACAGTGGTCGTAATTTAAGAACCCTTTGACCGATTTGCCTCAAGTTTTGATTTGGGAACTTGGGAGAACGAACCATGGCACTGTTATTGGCTTGAAATTATAAATTGAGAGGTTTACTTTTATAGGAAAATTAAAATCGTAGTTTTTGACCAAGCGCGGGTAAACGGCGGGAGTAAATATGAGTAACCTGGGCAACACTTGGTTCTCAATCTCAAGCTAGTTTTGTAAATTTTAAAATAGGCGAATAATCTCTTAAACAAACAATATTTGCTGAGAGCAGGTTGATTTGGGAGGAGGGGCCTAGTATAAATGAATAAAAAGGTAATCTAACCCCTGGTGGAGATTTTTATGTGTTTATATTTGTTGTAGATCACAGTGATGAAGTTGTAATACTGGATCTTGATGTTCTGGCTAAGGAAACCAAAATATCATAATTCGCTACTTAGAAATTCAGGAATTATTTTTTAAAGAAAAATTCCAATATAACATAATTTGTAATATGATTCATTAATCTTTCTTCAGTTTGAACATATGGATGGATGCAAAAATATGAAGAAAAAAATTTAATACAAAACTTTTTTATTGACCTTATTCGAAACAAATTTGTTGTGCATAAACGATAAAATATCGAAACTTTCATGTAAATTTTTTTCACGTTTTTTTGACAATTTTTTCCAATATTTTTGTGACTCAGATTTCGTCCTACCATGCTGACCCGACCAGTAGCACAACATCCATACATTTTAAACAGGAATATAACAGATCTTATCAGATGTTTATGGTTAAAATGACAACAAAAATCAGATGTTGCAATCGTATCAGAGGGGGGGGGGGGGTGCATGGATTTAAATGGATCAAGAATTTAAAAAAAAGTGTTATTTGTCTTGGTTATTAAGAGTTTAGTAAAGAGGTTTTTTGTCAAGTTTATTAAGAGTCTATTAAAACCGTTTTTTTTTTATCAATTTTACAAAGAGTTTATTAAAACTGTTATTTTTCCAGTTTATCACGAGTTTATTAAAATTATTATTTGTCAAGTTTATCACGAGTTTAATAAAACTGATATTTGTATAGTTTATCAAATGTTGATTAAATCTGTTATTTGTCAAGTTTTTCAAGGGTTAATTAAAACTATGTATTTGTCAAGTTTATTTAGAGTTTATTAAAATAGTTTTTTATCAAGTTTATGAAGAGTTTATTAGACTCTTTATTTGTCTAGTTTATTAAGAGCTTATTAGACTGTTATTTGTCTAGTTTATCAAGAGTTTATTAAAACTATTCAACGCTGACAGAGTTCTGCTAGAAAATAAGGAAATCAAATATACATTATGATTAATGAGTGACAATAACTAAACTAGGGGACCAGTCAGTAAATTATTGTATTACATGTATTTATGTTGATCGTGGATCCTTTTTTCTAATTTATTAAAGAATATTGGTACGTATCAGGGGTCCTATTTGTATATTATTGAGGTATATTTGTCCGTATCAGGGGTCCTATTTTGTATATTGTTGAGATATATTTGTCCGCATCAGGGGTCCTATTTTGTATATTATTGAGATATATTTGTCCGTATCAGGGGTCCTATTTTGTATATTATTGAGGTATATTTGTCCGTATCAGGGGTCCTATTTTGTATATTGTTGAGATATATTTGTCCGCATCAGGGGTCCTATTTTGTATATTATTGAGGTATATTTGTCCGTATCAGGGGTCCTATTTTGTATATTATTGAGGTATATTTGTCCGTATCAGGGGTCCTTCATTATTCGTCAACTTTGTGTGCTACTTAGAGCAGAAGATATCTACAAGGAATTAAACTCTAAATAATCATATTTTATCTCTTTCAACATGTTTTAAGTGGTATTTACTTCCAATTTCAATTCTAAATTTTTCATCAAAATGTATCTCTTTTCCAACATGTTTTTCATTAAAGTGGTATTTATTTTCTCCAATACCAATAGTAAATTAGGCAATTCTTTTTTAAAATATTTTTTCTTTCTTTGATTTTCTTCTAAGCTTTCTATGTGTTTTCATTTTCTTTTTACAAATTTTTTTCTTTTTCTTTGAAAAAAGTATGAATTTTAATTTGCTTTAAAAAAAGACCCAAGGTCAATTATCAGATGGAAAGAAAAATAAATCCTTTTTACAAAGTTCTCAAATCTTGAAGGGATGGTCTGCGTGATTTTACCTGACCCTCTGTTTTGATCATTGTAAATGCTTACATTGAATAATAAAAATATCTTCATTTTTGTTACTTTGATAAAGGACAACGGTTGATACAGTACCATTGTGAATCGAGCATGTAACTCCTCTCTTTCATGTCGGAAGTCCCTTCAAGATATCGTTGTTAATCATTGATGTTACTAACTTGACTATAGAGTTGAATATAGTCCTTGTCTGAGTTGCTAGTGCTGGAAGATAATCTGAAGTTTTCTCGGCTCATGGTAGAAACCCTCTCCACCATTCTTCTTACCTCCAGTGAACTTTTTGATCTCAGGTAATCATTTTTTTAACATTTTTTAGGTCTTAAATACATCTTCTCAAATCACAGATTTGTTGTTTTTAACGTGTTAAAACAATATGAAGTGGCAATTTTTTCATACTTCATAACAATGCAATGCAACAAGGCAGATCCATTTTTTTAAAGTCATTTTTCCATTTCCTCCTTCATTTATCCTTCTTTCATACTGTTCATTTGTTTTTTCAAAAATGCTTCTGTAATTTCACTACTCTTTTTATTCTTCCAATTGTTAATAATTTCATATTTTTAACTTGACAAACGATAAAAAATATTAATAAACCATCCAGTTCAAAAACATTCTAGGATATTTTAGTAATTTTTTATCCTCATATTTACTCTGCTCTCTTTCTGTCTGTCTACCCATCTGTATATTTGTCTTTTTTATCTTTTCAATTTATTTATTTTTCAATCGATATATCCCTCAGTCTATTCATCTATCTAACTTTCTTTTTATTTATCTATCTTTCCGTCTAATTATCTATCTATCTAGTTATCTATCCCTGTTTCTGTTTATATCTGATAAGTAAAACGCAGATTATTTTCCATTTTATTGCTGTACAAACACTCCTCTGCAGCATGAATTAGATTGAAAAACTTTATATTTATATCTATTTATATACATTTCTGTAAATTTGTGTATCTGTATAGTTTTTATCTATGATACAATTTCTAGGACTAATCTAAAGGAGCTGAACTCTAAGGAGAGCTGCCAATTGTTTTGTTGTCTATATCAAACCTGGTCCCATAGTCAGGTAGAAAACCTATGCTGTTTCTTCTCTCATGTTTTTACTTGTTTCCTGTGAATTTTACATTTAAGGTAGATATTCATCATTTTTAAAACATTTTTTTTAATTAAATTCAAATTTTAAGAACATTTTTCAAAAGAGCAGTGAATTTATTCTCTGGCTGTTGTATCTTCTTTTATAGCTGATCATACATCTGTTTTCTGTTCCTCTCTTGTAGATTACGCCATTCATTCAAATACCTTGTAGACAAAAGAAAAATTCATTTTGACACATATTCCTGCTTTTGTTTCTACCTAATATTACGCATATTGGAGGTATTCATCATTAGTTTTAGTACATTTGGGGAAGTTTGATAGTTAATAATGATTATATTTATATAATTGAGATACTAGTTTTCCATTGCATTTGTCATTGCATGTTTTTGTCTGTTCTATTACCAAAGGTGGTCTGAGTTCTTCAACATGGGATTGCCTCTTTACCTAATGACTCCTTTTGTATATTTTATTTTCAGATTGCAACAATCTCTCTGTGCCTTCTTGCTGGTTGTTATTCTCATACAGTTGATCTTATTCATATAGTTGGGGAGCAGGTTAGTCAATTATGGGGGGTCATTAATCCTAACCAAAATTTATCCCCCCCCCCCCCCCCTAAGAATTATGTTTGCGTAAAATTAATTATTTAAAAAGACAAATATTGATTTCTCATCATGACCCCCCCCCCCCCTTCAAAATATTAAAATGTGAACAAAAAATGAAGCACTACCTCCTACTTCAGTATTCTTTATCTGTTTTACTCAGAGGTTTGGAGGAAAAATTTTACATTTTACATTTTAAAATTGTTACAAATCATCCAAAAATTAATCATGTTTCTTAATCTTCAGAACGAATTCTACTGAAGAATTGAAACTCTAACCCAAAAGAAGGATGCCTCAAGCAATCCTTATACAATATGATTTGATTTGATTTGATGATAAATAAGGGCTTTGAAACAAATTCTACTTAAGATAAAAAAGAGATCTAAAATCCAAGCTTGAGATTAGCATAGTCTCTTCGAGTCATAAGAATGAAAATAGGACTTCCCTGATTTGATTTTTTAAGTTTCTTAATAATTTATCTGTAGGAAGTTACGGTGGAGATGCTCTCAGAACTAGATCGTTTAATTCAACTCATAGAATCTCCAATATTTACATTTCTAAGAATGGAGGTAGAATAGAAATTAGAAAGTTTAAGATTTTACTTTTTAAACGCAATATTTGATCTGTTATTCCATATTAGTTGATCATCTACCATATTAGTTAATCATTTACCATATTAGTTAATCATCTACCATATTAGTTAATCATCTTCCATATAAGTGGTTATGGGTTTAACTTGAAATATTTCTTTGTAAGCTAGAAATCGACTATATCATACACATTTTTGATTAGCTAAAGCTTTAAAGATTCTTTTTTGATGTTTACAAAATTTCTTTTTTTTCTTTCTGATTTTTTTGCTTTTAGTTGCTGAGTGGGGACAAAGATTTAATCAGTGCACTGTACGGACTTCTCATGCTTTTACCTCAGAGTGAGGCTTTCAGGCTCATCCAGAACAGGTGGGACTCCTTGCAGCTCACCTTCTCAGTTATTTAAAATTTTCTTTAATACTAATCCTATTGTCTCGAGTGGTATTTGTATCGGAACAATATTGTGTGTTTCTAATTTAGGAAAACTTTATTTTCCCGGCGGACCACTTTATTGTCCTGGCTGACCATTTTATTGTTCCTGCTTACCACTTTACTGTCCCGGCTAACCACAATGTTGTCCCGACTTACCACTTAATTCAAGTTAACTGCTCTGACTAACACTTATTGTGCAAGCTGGCCATTTTATTGTCCCGACTGACCACTTTATTGTTTGCCACTCCAAATGACTGGATTAATATTCTCAAATGCATGAACATCGTCTATGAGAACAGATGGTTTTTTTTACCCCATTTGACTTCGATACTGAAACCAATGTTCCAATGTTTTACATTTTGTTTGACATAATGATATTTTCTAGATTAGCGTGTGTACCTCATATTGAGATCAATGCTGGGAAAATAACACGAGGGCGGAGTACAAAATATATTGATGAAATCGATTTCAATAGTTTGCTTGAACACTTTCAGGTAAAAGAATATTCTTTACTTTTTAGTAGTTTGTTTGAACATTTCCTTTTAAAGATTGTAATTTCTTTTTATTTCAATAGTTTGCTTAAACATTGCAAAGTGAAGAGTTCTACATTAAAATAGTTTGCTTTAAAATTTTTCAAAGAAAGGGTAGGATATTCCTTGCATTTCAATCATTTGTTTGAACATTTTTCATAAAAAGAATTGGATATTCTTAACATATCAATAGTTTGCTTGAACATTTTTCAAAGGAAGGGTAGGATATTCCTTGCATTTCAATCATTTGTTTGAACATNAATTGAATTGAATTGAATTGAATTGAATTGAATTGAATTGAATTGAATTGAATTGAATTGAATTGAATTGAATTGAATTGAATTGAATTGAATTGAATTGAATTGAATTGAATTGAATTGAATTGAATTGAATTGAATTGAATTGAATTGAATTGAATTGAATTAAATTGAAGAGAAAAAAAAATTTAAATTTTTTAGGAGATTAGCATGAAACATCATATGGCGCGAAGGAAAGCTAAAACCTCGAAGCTAATGGCTAAAAGTTCAGCATAAAACTATTCAACAATCTGTATTCTACAATCCTATGTTTTTCAGTTCTATGTAACTTTAAATTTCTGCATTGATTCTTCGTTAGTTGTGGTCAATGTTGAAAATATTAGATTCATAAACACAAGAAGTGTGTTGAAGTTAATGGTAATTCATCAACTACCAGCGCGAAACAATTTTACTAGAACTGAAAGGGGTTAAATCCACTACTGGAGTCTTAGGCCATCCCTAGAACTTATGATTTGATTTGAAAAATGAAAGAAGGGCAAATTTCACCCAAATTAGGAACTTTTGGGTCCATAGCGAAAACTTTTAATTTAAAGTGATCAAGTTTGTAATCTAGGAGAAACAGCCAGTTAATATTTTTTTGATTTCTCATGGGCCCCGCGGAGTTTTTTTTTTGCTTTTGATTGTTCGATGTTTCCTGTAGACAAAGGAATTGACTATTTTTGAAGGGATTAACACCTTAAACGTTGCGACCTCGCTGTGGTATCAATGTGCAGCGTTGTTGTGTTTAATTGGAAAAAATTCACGAAATTAATGATTTATCAATGCAGAATTTTTCTCATTTTTTATTTGTAAAAATAATACATTTGGGATTTTTATTTTATTTTACATTCATTGCTCATTCTTTAGCTTGAAGCAAGAACTATTTTAACATTCTCAAAACTTATTTTAAACATATTTTGTAAAATGGAAAATTTCTACATTATGTATGCATTTAAACCAGTGATTCTCAAATGGAAAAATATTTTGAATACATTGTTTATAAGACAATGTATGCAGATCTGTGATTCTAGTTATTTTGATTAAAGTAATATTCTTTATTATTTTCAAAGGATTTTATTCTTGATATTAATTTGTTCAATATTACAATTTTATATATTTAAGTAAATTATTGAATTTTTTGTTTAAAGTTAAAAATAATTATTTAATATGTTTTGTATTCTACAGAATATGGACTGGATAAAATGTGCTTCCATTAGTTCCAACAGTTGACAGGTACTTAAGTTTAACATGGTAAATTTATGTTCTCTGTTCAATGAACAAGGGTGTACTGTATATCAATCTTTGTAAATATATTTTTTTCTCAGAAATTAAGTATGTTTTTTTGGAGGGTTTTATTTGCTAAATTAATGATTTTTAGGGGAAATTAAAAACATTTCAGTATCCTTTTGATGTCCATTTTTTTGTTTTTGCCTAATTCATCAAAAATAACCAGTTATGTGATTGCTTAAATTTTATACTTCATGCCTTTGATTAAAAACAGTACACCTAATATACGTTTCTAGTGTGGACTGAACACCTTACAGCACTGTTTACAGCACTGTTTACTTGTCACTGTAAACCGAACTGTACACTGTCTTTAAGAAGTATAGTTTTTATTTTTAGAAGGTGTCTTATAAGTAAGATTTTGTTGATTGATGCTTTAGTTTGGTGTAAAACTATTTCGAATGTAAGAGAACAATTAATAATTCTTATCATTCTGTTCAAATCTATACACCAAGAGAAAAAATATGCTTAGACATATAATAACGAATTAAGTAGAGGCCCCAATTTTATGCCATGCTAAAAAGTGCCCATTTCTAAGGTCCATCAAATCTATTCTCAAACAATATTGGTTAGCTGAAGTTAATGGAGAGATATTCAACATAATATTACACCAAATGGAAGGATCTGACAACAAACACTTTCTTAAATCACACCTTCCCTTCTTGTCATTTTGCAGGATTTTTGGTGTTTTAAACGCTAATCCCTGTTTTTGGGCCACCTTGTACTAATTGAAGTAATTAAATTTATGAATACATTCAGGATGTTTATCAACGAGACCCGGTTGTGCGGGCAGGAGGAATTCCATGTTTGGAATAGAACTGCTGAAGATTTTGGAACATGCTTCCAGCATATATTCCTTATTTTTCCAGCACAGGTCAGTAGAAAGGAGTGACTAGTTTTTTAACACATTCATGAGATTTGGTTCAAGGGACCGGATTTGATGAATTTGAACTAGGTCTAGAAAGATGGTTCAACTACATATCTTTAATCTGTGCTTCAGGACTTGTCCTATGCATGTAAACTCAATGGCGGTAGAAAGTTCAATGACCTAGCTCAATATTAATAATCCTTGGTCCTTAATTCCAGATTTTTTTTAAATATTGCTAAGTAGTTTAAATTGAAATAAGTACAACTTCTCTTGTGTGCTGTTGTTTGTTGAAGAGAAGTGGTCTAACTTATTCAGAGGCAGGATATAAAGAATTTTAAACCACGTTGCTGAACCACCAATCACTGGTTTAAATTGCGTCCTGGCTCACATCTCAAAATACTGATTAAAATTTTAACGTCTTGTGTAAAAACTTTAACCGCGTTTAGACGATCAAGTTTAGTTAAGGTGGCAGAACATAAGAAGTTAAAGGATTCATAGCTAGTTAAACTCCTTCTTTCTAGTAATCATAGCTAATATTTCTTTGAGTTTGGGTGTTAAAAAATGGCTATGACCGCGGTTTTATTTCTTCTCTTGTGCCCCCTGGATCAAGGTTGGTTTTGGTGGCAGAAGATAAATGGTTAAAGGATTCATAGCAAGTTAAATGACTGTGGTTTAATTACATCTCTTGTGTCCCCTTGATCAACGTTGGTTTTGGTGGCAGAAGATAAAAGGTTAAAGGATTCATAGCTAGTTAAATGACTGCGGTTTAATTACATCTCTTGCGTCCCCTGGATTAACTTCGGTTTTGGTGGCAGAAGATAAAAGGTTTAACTCCTTTTTACTAGTAATTTTCAGCTTACTTTTCTGAGTTAGGGTGTTTAAACAATTATTTATAATACATACATAATACATAGCCTGTAAATCTAAACTTTTAAAATCTAGGTTTTCCTGGCTGCTACTTCTGCCTACTATTTAGGGTTTCAATCCACACAATGGTTTCTCAGATCAAGGTACAAAGCCCTATTTCAATACCAGCAAAAACCTCAAGTGCAACATATTTTTGAAGACTTACTCCTTGACAAGTACAAGAGATTTAAGCAATACTCTCTTTGAAGTTTGTGTATGATTTTCTAGTTTTTCTTTACTATCTCTGATTCGTATATGTTAATTTTTGCTATGAACTAGTTTTTTTTGTCTTGAAAAGTACCGTATTTAAAAAAAAGCATATTTGTATGAGGCTCTTGTACCTTAGGATACAGAAGCAGACCTTGATTTGTCGATTTCTAGCTGTTCTCTTACTTACCCTCATACCCTTCAGCAGATCTATAGCCTTATACTGCTTGGATAGAACTTCCATGCTTCAGGAAGGGGAAGCAGGGATTCTGTCAGGTAAACCAACCGTCACTTTTGCCCATTGATAAAAAATCCCGTAATTCCTGATATTTTTTATTCAGGAGCTGTTCAAACTTTTTCCTGGTGCCTTCACCTTGTTTACTCTTATCAACTGCGGCATAGAATCAGTCTTTCAGTTCGTGGTCCTCAACCTGTTATATTTGCCTGGTTTCTATGCCTTCTTGTTAATATTATACAGTGTAGAAGTATCATCAGTCAGAGTGATCATTTGGTAGGAAACTCTGACAAGGTCACATTTGCTAGTGCCATTATAAGCTGCATCTGTCAAGGTGTATACCTACTCACGCTTATTCCTGCTGGCGACCAAAGATCAAGTCAATATGAAGAGCTTGGTTCCAGAGATAGACCAGATACGGAACCTCTTCTGTCTGAGCTAGGATTCAGCACTAGCTTTAGACAGAGAGCATTATATGCTGGGAATTATGGAGGTTTCCTTGATGAACATGACCCATACTATCTTGGGGTGGCAAAAGATTCATCTAAGGTGGGTTGGCTAAACAAGCTTCTGTTCTTCTGGGTCAATCCTCTGATTGCCAAGGGGGTCAGAGGCAACCTTAACACTGCAGATGATGTCCATGATCTCCCAGAGTATATGACTGTCCATCAGATTGGCCTCACATTCAAGCAAAAATGGGACTACGCTGAAAGATTGAATCCTGGCTCTGTTAAGTTATTAAAAATTTTATATTCATGTTATGGAAAGACATTTTTTGCCATTGGTTCTCTAAAATTTATCACTGACGTATCTGGCTTTGCTGGACCTATACTTTTGAACCTGTTGGTGACATTTGTAGAAGACAAGAAGAAAGAAATTCCAATTGGTTATGGATATTTGTATGCCATTCTGCTCTCTGGAACTGCTTTCATATCTGCCATATCCAGTTGCCATTTCAATTTCTTCATGAGTGAACTTGGACTCCGAATAAGGGGTGCTGTTAGCTCCTCTGTGTATAGAAAAGTTATAAATGTATCAAAAAGTAAACTCTCTAAGTTTAACAATGGACAGATTATTAACTTCATGTCAACAGATGTTGATAGAATAGTCAATTTTTGCCCCAGTCTTCATGCAGCATGGAGCCTTCCTTTCCAGTTCATAGTTACCCTTATTCTACTTCACCAACAAGTTGGAATATCCTTCCTCACCGGTCTTATCTTCACAATACTGGTGATCCCTGTCAATAAGTGGATTGCGAATAAGATAGGTAACCTCAGCGAGAAGATGATGACTGCAAAAGACTCTCGAGTAAACTTGATGTCTGAGCTTCTCTCTGGTATAAGAGTAATTAAATGCTTTAATTGGCAAAAGTTCTTTTCTGGGAAGGTGAATGAGAAAAGAGGAGATGAGCTTAAATATCTTAAGGGCAGGAAGTATCTAGATGCCCTTTGTGTGTTCCTATGGGCATCCACACCCGTGATAATATCAGTGCTTACATTTATAACCTATGTCCTTCTTGGGAACACTCTAACTGCAGCGAAGGTTTTTACCTCAGTGGCACTATTTGCAATGCTAACAGGTAAGAAAGATTTTTTAACATTTATAATCAGAACTTAGTTTATAATTTTCATTGTTTGGTTGTACAGCCTTTGGATTTCAAATTCTTTTTATTTTATGTTTTTATGCCATTTGTTTTTAGATACATCTCTTTAGAGTACTTTTTTATGTTTTGATATTAAATATTGACTCATAACATGTTACCAATCCAGGACCACTGAATGCTTTCCCATGGGTGTTGAATGGATTAATAGAATCTCTGGTATCACTGCGCCGATTAGACAAGTTCTTTGCTCTTGAAGAGTTCAATCCTGATGCTTACTTCAGCAGGATGTATGATATCGCAAAGATTGAACAGGAATAAAACTTTGGCGGATTTTTTGAAATAACTGACTTAAATTATCTGTTTTCTTTTGTCATTGCAAACCAAAGGAGGCATTTTTAATATTTCAGCCAAAAATGGTGTGAACCTTTGATATTTTAAACTTGAACTATTTGATTTCACAGAATTCAAAGTTTTAAATATCTAAGGTCTACGACATTGGGTTGCAAAGTTAAAGGTAAATGAAAATCAGAGTTTGTGGCAAAGGCACAATTCCTTTAGCATTTACACTAATTTGATGACCTAGGAACGGGATATGAAGTCAAATTTTCATATCCTCAATCAGTCTGGATATATAGGATCGGTACCTTCGATGACTTTGATTATTTATCCCTGGACCTTTTGGACTTACAGAGCTCAAAATCAAAACTCCAACACCGCACCGGCCACCACCATTTTGGGGCTGAGATATTGAAAAAAGTCTAAAACGCAATGACTCCTTACAACAGTACATAAATACAGAATTTATTTTAATTTAAAACTTTTCTCTTTATCAAGAGAAACATAGTTTTTGTATTATATCCCATTCAACGTTTATTTGAAAGGAGGAAAATAGTTCAATTGTGATGCAAAATGCTTCCTTTATCCATCAAAATGAGGAAGATTCACAATTTAGGTAATAGAAAAAATCTGTAGTTTATTATTTGTTTTTCTTCTTATTCTCATGAAATAATATTTTTAGGCTCAATAAGCTGAACCTTTCTGTTCTTGAAGGAGAATTTATTGGCATTATTGGGACTGTTGGTGCAGGTTTGTAATTGGTAGATCAAACAACCTCATCAAGGGACTGTAATTTTTAGTGAACCTCCATGCAAAGATGTCCGGTTTATTTATGTGAGTTTCTCCATTGATTCTGATGAACAGAGAATGCGCAAGTCACTTTCTTCGCAGAGAACCCGCGAATGAAATAAACACCTTGATATGTAATTGAGTAATTCATACTTTGATCAGATGAAGATTTTAAGGATACCATTATTATCGGGCATTGTCATCTCTGCATGGAGGATCACTTGAAATTACGCGTAATGTTCCTTTAAAAAGTGAATATAGCAATAAAAAGCTTTGTCGTGATAGTCCATTTTTTTTATGAAAATGATAAAATTTGCCTAAATTAAAGCCTCAGTGATTTTGCACCTTGCTTAGGGAAATCCAGTTTACTCGAGTTGGTGGTTGGAGAACTGGAAAAGGTGGATGGATGTATTGCTGTTGATAAACCTTCAGAAGGTAGTTTTTATGTTATTTACCCCACCCCCATATACATTTTGTCCAGTATGATGCAAGCTTGGGTTTCAGAGGAATAAAGTCTAATGGGCATCGTTTTTGTGAATGAAAGAAATTTTCGAAAACAAACAAAATTTTCATGAACGATGGTGTCGTTTAGAAAAAAACACAACGGACGGATCGTTCTGAGAAATGAAACGGCTATCGTTTTTAAAAACGGAACGATTCAAACTTGTCCTAACAATCTTGATGGTTCATGATCAATTTCTAAATCACTCGTTCGAATGAACTTGTAACACCGATCGTTTTTTGCTAAACAAACGAAGTTTCTTTACCAAATGAACAATTTTTTTCTAACAAACTTTTTTTACAGAACGATCGTTTAGTGAGAAAACGAATGAAATTGTTGGAAATTATTTGGTTGAAAGTTGTAAAATAATTTAGGTCCTTCTTAAAGCACTGGACTAATGATAAGTATTCTGTCTAGGTATTGGATATGTGACCCAGGATCCCTGGATACAGGAGGGAAATATCAGAGATAATATTCTTTTTGGAACAGCTTACCAGCACACACTCTACTCACAGGTAACCAGGCTATTCATATGTTTAATTTTTAAGTGAGCCTAAATGCAAAGATGGAAATGCCTGATTCACAACACGGTATCCTTGGATCCTTTAATTGATCAATTATGTGGAAGATATTGTTTTTATTCTGGAAGATATTGTTGTAATTCTGGAAGATATTGTTGTTATTCTGGAAGATATTGTTGTTATTCTGGAAGATATTGTTATTTTGGAAGATATTGTTGTAATTCTGGAAGATATTGTTATTCTTCTGGCAGATATCGTTGTTTTTCTGGAAGATATTGCTGTTACTCTGGAAGATATTGTTATTCTGGAAGATATTGTTGTAATTCTGGAAGATATTGTTGTAATTCGGGAAGATATTGTTATTCTTCTGGAAGATATTGTTTTTCTGGAAGATATTGTTGTTATTCAGGAAAATGTTGTTGTTATTCTATGTTTTGTAAGTGTTTCAGTCTGATAAAAACTATATTTTTATATGCAGTAGAAATGCGCAAGTCACTCTTATAGAGAACCCACGAATGAACAGATCAAACAATGATTTTAAGGGAAATGTTATGATCAGGCATTATCTTCCTGACGGTGTTCGTTGTTACTGGGCAACGTCAGGTCTTTCAGAATTGAAATTTTTGATCATTTCATAAAATATAAATTATTTCAGGTGACAGAGGCTTGTGCCCTGGTTGATGATTTTAAAAGTTTAGCTCGAGGAGATATGACAAATGTAGGAGAGAAGGGGAGTAAGCTCTCAGGAGGACAGAAAGCAAGAATATCACTAGGGAAGAACAAACTTAACAAAATTATCAACAACAAAAAACCTCAAACCTGGAATTATCATTTTAGGTACTTTTACCGGAAAGTTCATATCATGAGTTTTGGGAGATTTTTCTTGCCTGGTTCATTGTACCCATGATTTACCAGATTCTTAATTCAATATAGAACTGGGATGTATATGTATAGCATTAACCCGTCCACAGGCTGGTGATGAAGGATTCTTCTAAGGCCAGCTACAAAAGTAGAACCTAACCATTTCAAAATGTATATGGAACTAGGTTGTGAACCCAGCTTTGCATTGAAATCTTAACTTTTAAAGATTTTAAACTGGATTCGTAACAAGTCAGGAGCTGCCGAATATAGCAGCGTTGGTTTGTATGATGAGTTGTTTAGTCCTTTCTAGGATTTGGTCCTAGTTACTATATACATTTAGTATTAACTTAGTAAATCTACATAATTAACCTCGTCTTAACCTTAGCACATTCCATTTACTGATTGTTTAAACAAAATAAGATTTTAAAATGTATTTTTGATAAATAAACTTCTATGCTAAAACTTGATAAATCTTCCATAGATAATAAAATTTAATAATCTTTTTTCAATAGTTGCGATTTTGGTTTAGATACTAAAGTGAATCCCAGATATATGTATACATAACAAGAGTTTTTTAAGATCAAATGCCGCGGAAAAAACGAGTTTTACATATCAATTGCTGTCCTTCATATTTTAGGGCTATTAATATACCTTATTAATTAAAAATAAAAAGCAGTTTCTTACGAATTATCAAAAAACTTGAGACTCTACAATGATATTAAGATATATTTTCATAAATCCTATTCAACCCTTTGAAGCTGTTTTCTTTTGTGCAGACCAATGATGAAGCATTACAGGTGTCAGAAATATTTAAATAGATTTTAAGACGACATTTCATGCTCTCTTGTTATGTATTTATATATGTGAGATTGGCTGTAGACATTTTTTATATAGTTTTTTTTATAGTTTTATCCCTTTGATTTGGATTCGGATTCCAAGCACTGCACCATTGGAAGCAGAAACTTACATAAATGAATTAATAATTTGTTGTTTGTTGATCAGCCCGAGCAGTTTACCAGAACAAGAAGCTGTATCTAATAGATGATATATTCTCAGCTGTAGATGCTCACGTAGCTGCTCATATCTATAGAAAATGTATTATGGGTAAGTTATTAATTGTATAATGCTGCTCCTTAGTATCATTTAATTTTTATAATTATGATTATAATATTTTTTTTATTTAAAAAAAATCATTCTAGATCAAACAGAAAAGCTATTAAGGGTTCCCTTGTGAATCTGATACGCCTCTCTATATCCAGAGTCACTTAAAATTAGCGCACAGTTCCTTCAAAAGGTCTATTTTCAGGTTTGTTGGGACACACTACCCGGCTACTGTGTACTCATCATACCCGGTATTTAACGAGTGCTGATACTGTTGTGTATATGGAGGAAGGATCAATCGTAGACAAGGAACAGTCAAATACATATTATTTTTATTTAGGGAGTGTCCCCGAGAAAAGTTTATCAATTGTGTAAGCCAATCAATATATATATATTATAAATCAGGGATAATTAATAATGCATTGGTTCTTCAACAAACCCCTTTTTTTATAGAATTTTTTTTATAATAAATTGAGCAAATTGATTTTGGTAAACTCGTTAAAATATTTAGTATCTTCTTTATTTAAGACTAGCTTAAAAACCCAGCTTTTACTGAAAACTAAACTTTCACTTTATCAGCAAAAAACAAGATAAAAGTCAGAGAAAAATTTTCATCCAGTAAAGCAGAGATTATTCTAAATAAATAGATACTTTAAATTCTTATTTTGACTTGTACCAGGGCCCCCCTTCATCCATTTTACCAAAAATGTGTCAGAAAGCAGCCGAGGCCAGTATAGCCTTCAGGTACATAATTTGTTACTATTTTATATTCCTAGAGTCAACATTATTATCCTTTTATATCCCGGCTCAGAACCGCTTCTAAATAATTGTTTGGCGAATATGTATTTTTTTGACATTTTTATGTTGTCATAATGAATAAACTCCAAAGTCTGCCTACACAGTTTAGCTTATCTTAAATTATTAACATTCTTAACTTTCAGTGGTTTAATTTGAATATTTCTGATCCTTTATTAGATCTTGACTAATAACTTTGTTTTTATATGAGAGAATGTCAATCTGCGAATAATTCACTTTATTACTTAAATTGGGGAATATAAATATAATGCCAACTGAGCTGGGAACTCTTGTTCTGTGGAAATCAAGATCTTTTGTTAATCTGCAGATTAATTTCATCCCTTTTTGATATCCCGCACGATAATGTTACCCATTCAGGGTTTGAAGGGGGGTTTGATTAGGGGTGAAGTAATCGAAATGAAGAAATTATTTTAATCCGTAAATTAAAAGTACCCACAGTTTATATCGAGATCAAGCTATTGTTATCCGACACAGAAGTTCCCATCATATTCTAAGAATTGAAATATTACAGTATGCTTGGAACTCCATTGGAAACTGGAAGGAATTCTCCAACCCGAGATCAGGAAACTGTCTCCCACCCCAGGAATAGAAATGGGCATGTTCGCTTTTTTTCATGTTATTCGTTAACGACCCATTTCGTTCTTTTTTTTTCAAATGTTTAAAAAATTGATTTTGTTAGTTCTTAAATTATCGTTCATTTTCCATCTATTTTTTTCGTTTTCTCACTGAAAGATCTTTCAGTAAAATCGTTCGTTTAACAAAAAATATGATTTTTTAAAGTCTTTTGGAAAATTCGTTCGTTTAGTTAATAAAACGAGAGTTTTTTAAAGTTAGTTCAATTAATTATAAACCGTTCGTTTTTTGTTTGTTTCTTAAAAACTATAGTTTTGTCATTCGACCATCGTTCACGATAAATTTCATTCGTTCCCAAAATTGTTGTTAGTTCACATAACCGAACCCCATCTCTACCCAGGAATGTCTCCATTGAAGACTCCAATATAGAGACTCAGGAGAAAGGAACTGTTAAGTTTGCCATCTATAAACAATACTGGAAAGCTGTGGGAGTACTCCTATCCCCAACTATTCTCCTGTCCCTGCTAGCCATGCAGATAACTCGTAATCTTACAGGTGTTAGGCATTTTCACAAGGGTGACTTACCAAGTGACAATTTTCCAAGCGGCAACTTCCCAAAGGTTAGGTTAGGCCTGCTAAGGCGCCGCAGGTTGCAAAGTAACCGAGCACTGCGATTAGGATTGAATAGAGGGCCGAGCTCTGCGGCTAGAAAAGGTTAGAGGGTGAGCGCTGCGGCTAGGACAGACTGAAGAAGTTGCCGTTTGGGAAGTTACTACTAGGGAAAATAACCTTGGGAAGTTGCCACATGGGAAAAAGCCTTTGGGAAAGTACCTAACATTATCTTACAGATGTCTGGTTAGCACACTGGGTTAGTCTGGACGAATCGAATTCAACCTCGCCCAACACCTCAAGCTCAGAGCTCCAGTACTACCATGGATATCAATCCGAGGATCATCATGGAGGACCCCACTGGGGGACAGATCTCAATATCAGATATTATCTAACCGTCTATGCCACCATTGCAGCAAGTAATTCTTTCTTCAGCCTTATCCGTGCCTTCCTGTTTGCCTACGGAGGGATTTGTGCTGCTAAATCAATCCATGGAAAACTCTTAAGGAAACCAATAATAAATTCTATCTCGAAACTGATTTATTTGAAAAGTTGGAAATTTCGTTATGAATGCTTTTTGGACCCCCCCCCCTCTTGGCGCTCAATACAGAAATTGTTTTAACTTGACAACCCCGAACTGTTTTTGCAATTAATTACTTTCCTTTCTTTGTTTGTGCTTCTCATCAATATTTATGAAAATCTCATTGAACACTGTTTTAGAAAATTTCTGAATGGAAAGTATTTTTTACTATATATTAAAGTTATTGGCACTTTTCAGGGTTATTCTGAAAGGACGGATAACATTTTTTGACAATACTCCTGTTGGTCGGATACTTAATAGGTTTAGCTCAGATCTTTATACTGTAGATGATAGTCTTCCATTCATCCTCAATATATTCTTAGGTAACGGTCTTAGTAAACATCCTTAGGGAACATTCTTAGTAACATTCTTAGGGAAGATTCATAGGAAACATTTGTAGGAAACATTCGTAGGAAACATTCATTGGAAACATTTGTAGGAAACATTCGTAGAAAACGTTCGTAGGAAACATTCATTGGAAACTTTCGTAGGAAACTTTCGTAGGAAACATTCTTAGGAAACATTCATTGGAAACCTTCATTGGAAAAATTCGTAGGAAACATTCGTAGGAAACGTTCATTAGAAACATTTGTAGAAAACATTCGTAGAAAACATTCGTAGGAAACATTCATTGGAAACATTCATTGGAAACATTCATTGGAAACATTCATTGGAAACTTTCGTAGGAAACATTCGTAGGAAACATTCATTGGAAACATTCATTGGAAACATTCGTAGGAAACATTCGTAGGAAACATTCTTAGGAAACATTCATTGGAAACATTTGTAGAAAACATTCGTAGAAAACGTTTGTAGGAAACATTCATTGGAAACATTCATTGGAAACATTCATTGGAAACATTCGTAGGAAACATTCGTAGGAAACATTCTTAGGAAACATTCATTGGAAACATTTGTAGAAAACATTCGTAGAAAACGTGGAAACATTCATTGGAAACATTCATTGGAAACTTTCATAAGAAACATTTGTAGGAAACATTCATTGGAAACATTCTTTGGAAAAATTCGTAGGAAATATTCGTAGGAAACGTTCGTAGGAAACATTCATAGGAAAATTTGTAGGAAACATTCGTATGAAACATTCGTAGGAAACATTCGTAGGAAACATTCATAGGAAACATTCGTATGAAACATTCGTATGAAACATTCTTAGGAACTATTCGCAGGAAACGTTCGTATGAAACATTCACAGGAAAATTCGTAGGAAACGTTCGTAGGAAACATTCGTAGGAAACATTCGTAGGAAACATTCATAGGAAACATTCGTATGAAACATTTGTAGGAAACATTCGTATGAAACATTTAAAGGAACTTTTCGTAGGAATTATTTGTAGGAAACATTCATAAGAAACATTTGTAGGAACTATTCGTAGGAAACATTCATTGGAAACATTTGTAAGAAACATTCGTAGGAAACATTCGTAGGAAACATTTGTTGGAAACCTTCATAGGAAACATTCGTAAGAAACATTCGTAGGAAACATTCATAGGAAACATTCGTAGGAAACATTCTTAGGGAACATTATTAGGGAACATTATTAGGGAACATTCTTAGGGAACATTCTTAGGGCACATTCTTGAACATTCTTCACATAAGTCTACCAAGCACTGATAACATGACAAGGTTATTTAAAAATTTGTTAAATATCCATTAAATTTGTTTTCTAGCGAATCTGTTTGGAGTGGTTGGACCTGTTTGTGTCACAGTGTACGCTCTACCCTGGATACTCTGTATCCTGGTTCCTCTTACATTCACATACTTGAACATACAGACTAGATACAGGCCAGCCTCCAGGGACCTCAAGAGAATAGGTTAGTATTTTATACAGGATACAGCCTCCAGGGACCACAAGAGAATAGGTTAGTACTAGATACAGGATACAGTCTCTTAGTCTGCAGCCATGCAGTTCTTAATTATATGGGTCACTTGAAATTACAGTTACTTTAAGGTATTGCGTTAAAATGCATATATATAGAAGAAAAAATGATAACGCTGTATTTCAGGAAGTGTTTCTTTGTCTCCAATATATTCACATTTTTCTGAAACCTTGTCCGGAGTATCAACTATTAGAGCAATGAATCAGACTGCCCGCTTTGTCAGGTAAACTTATCAAATTTTAAATCTTGAAATAATAATTAAATTTTTCTCACATAATAATTTAAAAATCAAGTTACCGACAAATGTATAAGCATAAGATCAAATCGCACCTTGATCTCTAATATTACTCAACAGTCAAGGGCTATTTTCCACCTAGTTGCGTAATACTTGTACTGTTAAAAGCAGATTCATACGTATCTGTGAACTCGATATGTTCACAGATACGTATAGTTTAGCAATAAGCTTAATCTTATTTTATCTTATCATATCCTAAAAAAGGATTTTTAACCGTAAAATTGATAAATATATTCACTATACTGGGTTCCCGACCAAGGACAATATTTCAAAACATTTGCAATTTTATTCAAACTTTTTTATTATTATTTTGTCACACCATTTAAAAAAACCATGAAAGGGCCGTATATCAGACAGATAACCTAATTACATTTTTAAATAGATATGTTTTAAGTTTAATGGGGGTGTATTTTCCATGTTGGAGACCCATCTTTGCCTGGAAACTTTGTCCCCATTACCTACCTTCTTTTACTCACCTTGACGCGACACTTCTCACCTAAGCTGAGCTTCGAAAAAACCTCAACTCGTTCTTATCATAAATTAATTAATTTCGATAACCCGAATTTTAAAGAATTTAAGTCGCGACTCAAACATGGTATTGGTTGGTTCTACTTAAAATTGTTTTCAGTGATTAGAGATTTGAGCCGGCGCTCAATTGGAACCGGTTTTTGGCGGTTCAGCGACGCAGTTTAAATTCTTTTAATTCGGCCTCCGTTTTCCGGTCATGGAAATCTACAAATAAGAACGGAGGTGTGAAAACTTCCAATCTCTCCCAATCAAATATTAGAGATTTTATTAGATGAAATGTTTCTGTTTGAAGCTTAGCTCTATTTTAATCAAAATTTAGCAACTCAGAACTATTTTTCCATAAAAAATACCAAGGAAAGAATAAACAGGAAAAAAATACTTTACTTAAGGGAAAATGAAGAACGACTTACATCAAGTATGAGAGCTAGCTATGCTGGTCAGGCTGCAAGCCAATGGCTTGAGCTTCGATTGCAAATGATTGGTTGTGGGATGGTGGCTGGAGTTGCAGTAATAGCTGTTCTTCAACATCATTTAAGCATTGCAAACCCAGGTTCGGATATTTATTATTATTACTAATAAGCATTAAAAGGATTGAAGGCGTAATTTTGATACAGAATGAGTGAAATGAGCATGTTTTCTCAGCTTAAAATTGATAATTCTCGATAAAATTAAAAGTAAATGCGGATTTATGCTACAGCGACAATAATGAAAATTATACCACGTTTTTTACTCAGATAGAGATTTAAATGTAAGATTGTGATTTAGACATGCCCCTCTTTAAATGTAGAATCACTTCAAATGTTGTCTACAATCCCTTTAAATAGATTTTATTAGTATCCTCTATGTTATCATAGTATTAATAGACTATAGCTTTAGTTGGGTTAGCTATCATCTGTCCTCTGGGTATAACAGGAAAGCTATCTGAGCTAGTATATTTATATATTTAAGACTATTCGGGTTAGCTATCCTTGCTAGTATATTTATATATATTTGGGTTAGCTATCGGCTATGCTCTGGGTGTAACTGGAAAGCTATCTGAGCTAATATATTTATATATTTAAGACTATTCGGGTTAGCTATCAGCCATGCTCTGGGTGTAACTGGAAAGCTATCTGAGCTAATATATTTATATATTTAAGACTATTCGGGTTAGCTATCAGCCATGCTCTGGGTGTAACTGGAAAGCTATCTGAGCTAATATATTTATATATTTAAGACTATTCGGTTTGGCTATCAGCCCTGCTCTTGGTATGAAGCTATCTGAGCTAGTATATTTATATATTTAAGACTATTCGGGTTAGCTATCCTTGCTAGTATATTTATATATATTTGGGTTAGCTATCGACTATGCTCTGGGTATAACTGGAAAGCTATCTGGGCTAGTATATCTTATTTTTAGGACTAGTCGGGTTAACTATTAGGAATGCTCTGGGTATAACTGGAAAGCTATCTTTGCTAGTATATCTTATGTTTAGGACTAGTCGGGTTAACTATTAGGAATGCTCTGGGTATAACTGGAAAGCTATCTTTGCTAGTATATCTTATGTTTAGGACTAGTCGGGTTAACTATTAGGAATGCTCTGGGTATAACTGGAAAGCTATCTTTGCTAGTATATCTTATGTTTAGGACTAGTCGGGTTAACTATTAGGAATGCTCTGGGTATAACTGGAAAGCTATCTTTGCTAGTATATCTTATGTTTAGGACTAGTTGGGTTAACTATTAGGAATGCTCTGGGTATAACTGGAAAGCTATCTGGGCTAGTATATCTTATATTTAGGACTAGTTGGGTTAGCTATTAGCTATGCTCTGGGTATAACCGGAAAGCTATCTGGGCTAGTATATCTTATATTTAGGACTAGTTGGGTTAGCTATTAGCTATGCTCTGGGTATAACTGGAAAGCTATCTGGGCTAGTTTCTAGTTTTACCGAGACTGAGAAAGAACTGGTGGCTGTAGAGAGATGTGTTCAGTATATAGATAATATACCAACAGAGAAACTCAAAGGAAAATATTTAAACTTAAAAATGCTTTTCATCAAAAAATTCCTCAACTAGTTTAAAGAACTCTTACGCTAACGAAAACCGGGTTTTATATTTGCACATTTGCCATTTTAAGGCTATGATACTTAGTAAACTCGTTCATTTTTCAAATAAACTGGAATTCAATTTGATTTACATTTTTTACTGATTATTGCCTTATTTTTTTTAATTGTTTTAAGCTTAAATTTTTGTAAAGGATCTTTAACCTCCCCTTACGGTTGGCCTAGCGAGGGAGTCATAAGCTTAAAGAACGTACGCATGAGGTATAAATGAGTAGTCATAATAAGAGCCACAACAACGGTTTCTTAAATTCTTTTGTCAAACCAACCAACCAACTGGAAACTTGCTTCTTATGATAATAATAATAATCATTGTCAATCCTTCAATCTGAGATGTCAGGCTTGAGCTCCCTTCCGTTTAAGTTCCAATGAATTAACCCAGTTAGGAGCCGAGTGTAAATTCAGGGGTGGGAGACACAACATTAGTTCCCTTCAATTCCTATTGGTTGTGTTCCAACATGTGCATTCATATCTGCCATAATTTTATACTTGTAGCCTTCATTCTCGAATCATTTCATTCCCCTTGTATTATTCTCTTTAGGCTTTCATTTCAAGCTTTGATGTCATTATTCTCTTCAGGCATTCATTTCAAGCTTTGATGTCATTATTCGCTGTAATATATGCCGCCAAGTACACAGAGCATATAGCAATGCTATTACCTTTTTTGTATAGGAATCCAGGAATTCAGGAACTGCCAATTTGCGCAAGAAGAAGATAATGTTAAGCACATACCTATTCTTCATTTATAAATTTAAGTTCTTGCCCTGAATGAGGCAAGGTGTGTCTTCCTTGGAACCCCACCCCCTCTCCGGAGGAAATGATGTTTTATGTTCTGAAGGGGGGGGGGGTGCGACTGATCAGTTATCATCAAACAGCAATTTTTTATCTTATTTCATAATTTTTACCCAAAGCTTCAGATTAAAGGTTGCCAGCAATTATTATTATATAAACACTGATCCCACTGACATAGCACTTTGAAAAAAAAAAATGAAAAAAATTCATGTAATTCTACCGAGTTCCTCAAACAAAATTTGGGGCAAATAGGTCTATGGGTTGGAACATACATACATACATACATACAGCTTCTTTATTATTCAATATATTTGTTCAGGTATCAAGATCATCTCCCAGAGGCTCTAAAAGGCGTTACTTTACAAACAAAAGCTTCTGAGAAAGTTGGAATAGGTAAGATAAACCAGGATGGTGCAGGTGGTAGTGACGGAAATTAACATGGTTTGTTATTGACGGTGTGAAAATATAAAATATTAATTTAAAAACTCAATTTCAATAATTTAATACTTGTAGTCAAAAAGAATAAACTAAATGTGTAAATCGAAAGAAATATGCTAGAAATCAAAACAAAGTACAAACTACTAAACTAAATAATAATAAAAGTTCAAAGGTAGAAAATAGTAAAAGCCGGAAAACTTAATAAAGGGCCTGTATGATAAAACAACCTGAGAGTACGGAGCAAAGCTTTAGTTAAAAAGGACTCTTTATACTACATTTCTAGGGGATAAAGTTTATGGCCCATAAAATCATTTTATAGTGTTATTCCTATGCATACCATAAAGCATGGGGAAAAGGGTATTTTTTTAACTGGAAGTGGTCAGAATATTAACATTTTACTTGGGTTATAATTGATTGGTTGTAAAAGCCCGAGAGAATCATAAAAGGGTCATAAAAACTACATATTTACACTTCATAAATCACAATTTCATTTCATCATGTTTGGAAACTGTGAAGCACTTCTATATAAAACATGTCTCAAACTTGTCTAAAACCATTAGTTTTACTCCTCATAGTCTATGATATCAGACTCGCTAACATCAGATTTATCACTATCTTCGAGTGATTCCTCGGATCTTCTGATTAAAAATAATCAGAATCTACATGTACAAGAGGACCACTCCCGGCCTCCCGACAGAATTCGTGGAATAGAAAAAGTTAGAAATTGTGGGTCAGTTTCCCACGGTCCCACAGGTGTTTTTGGGTTTGTTTTTTCCCTTATATTTTCAGTTTGGATAGATATATTGGCTTTTAATAATAGCAAACTTTTACAGAAGACATTTTTGAAATTTTTCAAGTTTTTTTTTAGTTTTTGATTGCGCTGATTTTTTTTTGTTATAAAACTTTGTTTATTTACAGTTGGAAGAACTGGTTCTGGTAAATCTTCAATATTCCAGTGCCTCTATAGGCTTGTAGAAATAGAGAGGTAACAGAATGTGTTATTGTGTTTCATATTGTTCGAAATCTCAACATTTGTTAGAATTTTTGAAAATTAGTCCCTCGCTGCAAATAGAAACTAACTTAAAGTTCTAGGAGAGGTGACCTAGCAAATAGAAACTAGCTTAAAGTTCTAGGAGAGCTGACCTAGCAAATAGAAACTAGCTTAAAGTTCTAGGAGAGCTGACCTAGCAAATAGAAACTAGCTTAAAGTTCTAGTAGAGGTGACCTAGCAAATGCAAGTAGACAGAGTGTTCAGAGCTAATGCTGCATTTATATTTGAGCAAAACAAAAGAAAAAGGAGAGGGGGATATCTATACAATGTAATGGTAATTGTGCACTGTCTTATAATGGAACTTGCGACTCGTAAAAATTGTTTCAAACGCAGTGCCATAAACGGACGGGCAAAGGGAAGCAAGAAAAAGAGAAACTGCGGACGTGCAGATGGAGAAAGGAGAAAAAAGATGAACATTTGAATTTATTAACTATGCCTCCTACCATTTTATTTTATAAAAATGATTAGAAATAAATTATAAAAACATTGTTTAAAAAATAGGAATTAAATGATAAAAGCTGTTTTGTAAATAATAAGCGTTTAAGTTGAAACACCCCAATGTTAGCAAGGACTGAAGGGGTTAAAATCACCATATTTTTCATGTTGAATTAAATTTTGTTTTTGATTTATTTTGATACAGATTTGATTTTAGTTTTAATTTTAACTTTAATCTTGGTCCATGGTTCTAGCTCCTGATCCTGATCCTGATCCTGATCCTGATCCTGATCCTGATCCTGATCCTGATCCTGATCCTGATCCTGATCCTGATCCTGGTCATGATAGTGATAAGGATCCTGATCTTATTCTAAGACACTTATCCTGATCTTGATCATGATTTTTAGAGGAAGTATTCACATTGACAACGTTGATATCTCCCACCTCGACCTGGACGAGCTAAGAGAACATCTGGCGGTCATCCCCCAGCAGCCCTTCCTATTCAGGGATCAACTCTAATATAAGAAAATTGTACCATTGCACAAGTGTATGATAAAAGAATATGTTCTGAAACAATTATTTAAAGCTTTACACTACTGTACACTGCTGCACACGTAAATACACTAGACTAAACACTGTACACTATACACAACATTGCACTACACTATACTTAAAAATGATTTATTACCCTCAATTCAAATTTTGTTGTATATCAATTTAAAGGGATTAAATAATTAGGATTTATAGCGGTTTTTTATCACAACTTTTCCAATTTTCAGGGTTTTTTATAACATTTTATGTAGTTTTACCCATTTTCTTTTGTGTTATCTTTAGAGTTTATTAATTGTGTAGTGGGAGTATCAGGGAGAATCTGGATCCGGATTCATTCTGTTCCGACCGTCAGCTGAAAGAGGCACTCAAGAAGGCTAAACTTGATCGGTTAGTTTTATACTTCCAAGAATTATTCACTTGAGGTCCCAATTTATATATCATTCAAGACATGTCATGGAGATTTAAGTGTAATTTCAAAGGACCCTGCGTGCAAAAAAAAAAGGCAATATCCGATTTACACCGGTACCCTTAAAACTGGTCTATACATGGATGGGTCACTGTATACCTGGATTGTCACTGTATACATTAAGGGTCACTGTATACATGGATGGTCACTGTATACATTGAGGGTCACTGTATACATGGAGGGTCACTGTATACATGGAGGGTCACTGTGTACATGGAGGGTCACTGTATACATGGAGGGTCACTGTATACATGGAGGGTCACTGTATACATGGAGGGTCACTGTATACATGGAGGGTCACTGTATACATGAAGGGTCACTGTATACATAGAGGGTCACTGTATACATAGAGGGTCACTGTATACATGGAGGGTCACTGTATACATGGAGGGTCACTGTATACATGGAGGGTCACTGTATACATGGAGGGTCACTGTATACATAGAGGGTCACTGAATACATGGAGAGTCACTGTATACATGGAGGGTCACTGTATACATGGAGGGTCACTGTATACATGGAAGGTCACTGTATAGATGGAGGGTCACAGTATACATGGAGGGTCACAGTATACATGGAGGGTCACTGTATAGATAAAGGGTCACTGTATACATGGAAGGTCACTGTATAGATAAAGGGTCACTGTATACATGGAGGGTCACTGTATACATGGAAGGTCACTGTATAAATGGAGGGTAACTGTATACATGGAAGGTCACTGTATACATGGAAGGTCACTACACTGTATACATGAAGAGTCAACCTTAGATAATATTTTTTTCTAGATTGGTGGACAGGCTTGGTGGTCTAGATTATCAAATATCAGGTTAGTTCATTTAAATAAATTGATAAATCAATTAGTACATCTAGAGATATTTGAGAATTTAGATGCAAGGGCGTTCTGCAGGCTTATAAGTTAGGTTCAGAAAGATTTATTTTTAATGAATTTGAAAAAGATTTCAAATCAATTATTGAATTTAGGAGTTTAGCTCGTTAGAATTGTAACAAATCATATTATTATAATATCTCTAGCCTTCTTATTGGTAGATTCAATGTCCAATGGGAGATATAAGATGCCGAAAAAGGATTTATACAATTATTTCCTGTTATAAAGGGTTTATTTCCTGTTGTTGCCTCTTAAAATTTCGTTCTGACAGTCCTAAGGAGTGCAACTTTGACTCTCTTTAAAGGATCGACTCAACTATTCAAAGTTTCCGATTCGACTTTGTTGATGGAGGTAGCTTGTTGATAAATGTTTTGGACTTTTCAGAGAAACATTTAACAAATTTGCCAGTTATAAAACTGTATTTTTTAAATTTTGCTTTTAATAAGAAAATGGAAAAGCGATACAAAAAACTAACGTAAAAATGCGTTCGTTTTTTCATCGTTTTGGAGTCGTTTTTGGGTCGTTTTTGCATCGTTTTGGGGTCGTGTTTATAAATATCTTTGGTCAGGGTCAAAATTTAACATGCTAAAAAACTGAAAAACACTATGCCAATTTTTATTCCCGTAACAAATAATAAGAACGAACCAACTGAAGGCACATCACAAGAGGTTTGTTACATAGTATTTTAAATTTTTCATTTTAAGGCGAAGGATCATGTTTCTCGGCCGGACAAAAGCAGCTCTTGTGTTTAGCTAGGTAGAATATTTTTCAAATAAAGATAAATGATAAACATTCTTAAAACACACATTATTAGTAAAACAAACTTTTCCGATTTTTTTGGATTTAGTTTCAAACGTTGTGAAAAAGTATAATCGAATTCCAAGAAAATGCATGAACATTTAAAAATCCCCTGAAAGGACGGTAGATCTATTTTCAGAGTTAAATGTATGATTCACAACGGTAACTCTTCGCTGAGCAGCATTGTTTTGATCCTGAAAAGTGGGTATATCTCTCCTGTTGCAAATATTCAAAGTTAAAGTTTTTTTTTCTCTAATAAAGGTTCTGTTGTGAATCTGACCCCTCCCTCTTTATAAATAGAGGGTTGCCTAAAGTTTCGTTTACAATCTCTTGCTTGAATAGTTCTAAGTAAACTTTTTTATGTTTAGAGCAATCTTATCTCTTGCTTGAATAGTTCTAAATAAACTTATTTATGTTTAGAGCAATCTTATCTCTTGCTTTAATAGTTCTAAATAAACTTATTTCTGTTTAGAGCAATCTTATCTCTTGCTTGAATAGTTCTAAGTAAGCTTATTTCTATTTAGAGCAATCCTATCTCCTGCTCAAATAGTTCCAAATAATGTTATTTATGTTTAGAGCAATCCTATCTCCTGCTCGGATAGTTCTAATTGACGAGGCAACAGCTAACGTTGATCAGGAGACAGATCAGCAGGTTCAAGAGGTAGGAGACAGGAGTATAACCACCACCACCCTTAAGGTGCCCCTGATTAAAAATCCCTGATGTGCGACACATTTGTTAGGAAGCTGAAATACAAAGTTTTAGCATTTTAAAATAATTTTCCTAAATGATCATTTTGCTGTTTTTTCCGCCATTTTCGCCTTTACTATACTCCGCTAAATAGGGTCAAATCTATTAATTTTAAAGGGATTAAACAAGCTAATAGAATTGTAATGCGGTTCGCGCCCCTTTCCTATTTACAATTTTACCTTATAACTGTTGATTTTCAAGTCGCCATTTTTTCATCGAAACATTTTCTGGTTTCTGGTGGATTTCTTAAAATTTGAAGGTACATTTTTTGAACTAACCTTTCCTAGGGTCCTGTGGGTTGCAAATTTGGGCCCGATCGGTTTAGCCGTTTTGCTGTTAGTTGGATATTGGATACTCAAAAATATCAAACAATTTATATATAGATAATAAACCAGTCATCTTTCTTATAATTTGATAAAAATTTTAGGAACAACACCTCCGTCCTTATTAGTGTTTGTGGAATTAAAAATTCCCTTACAGTCAGATTTCATTTGATTTGGCAAACTTTTCTAATTATGTTTAATTAAGGTTATTCAAAGATGTCTGGCTGACCGGACAATTCTAAGCATAGCACACAGGGTCGATACCGTCCTGGGTTGTGATAGGTCAGTATTTCTATAACTCTTGGATAGGTTTAAAGTGTAAGTAACCCTGAATGATATGTCTGAATGAGAACAATACTCGACATTAAGCCTTATTTTCCACTAAAACCAACAAAGATCGTTTTTTTTCAGTGGGTCTAACTCCTTAAGTCGAGCTTAAGATCTTGCAGCTGTCAATCACGTGACACAAACTGTCGTCAGAGTTGGGTCGAAGATTGGGTCTAAAAGTTGGGTTATGGAATTACGGCTCGAGCCGAAGTTTTTAAATCGCGGGTTCAGTTATTTGCGTAATCATAAAATGGAATTTATAATCTTTATTACAATAACATTTTTTGAAATAGATTTTTATATTCCGTGCATTTTTTAATGGGGCCACGTTTTCTGAGAAAGAAAATAAAATTGCTGATTTTCAAAACATACTTTTTTCTATAGAGATTAAGTATCGTTCAAACGTTAGTAATATCCTAGATATATATTATTTTTTTAGAGTTTTTGTAATGGAGAATGGTTGTGTGGTCGAGTCAGGTCATCCAAATTTACTTCTACAGGAATTTTATCTATTTATTTCGTTTCCATAATAATCATTATAATTAACGATAAGTACACAAAAGAATGATGGCAAGGAATTTATGATAAATGCATGGAAAATAATAGAAATATGGTGAAAATTTTATTTATAATCCATTCATTTATTTTCTGCATGGTATTAATCAGACAATCACTCGGTGGGTCTTTATAAGGTAATCCAAAATGAAGAGGGTTTAGAGTTCCTACACCTGGTTGCTTCATTCATTTATAATAAACAAAAAAAGGGAAAATAGAATGCATGAATTGACATTAAATATATTGAATAAAATGGAAGAATTTAATGATTATTTTTATTGTTAATGATATTGTTATTGTTATCATTATCACTATCACTATCACTACTATTGTTATGCTATTGCTGTTGCTGTTGCTGTTGCTGTTGCTATTGTTAATGCTATTGCTATATTGCTATTGCGTTTGCTATTGCCATTGCTATTGCCTTTGCTATTGCCTTTGCTATTGCCTTTGCTATTGCCTTTGCTTTTGCTTTTGCTATTGCTTTTGCTATTGCCTTTGCTACTGCCTTTGCTATTGCCTTTTCTATTGCCTTTGCTATTGCTATTGCTATTGCTATTGCTATTGCTTTTATTTTTGTTTTTGTTTTCATTACTGTTATTGTTAATATTAACAATTTAATATGAACAATAAATGTTTGGATTTAGTTAACTCAATGAATATATTTGACTAGCTCAATTGGAATGGAAGCAATGAGATAAAAAAAAAAAAAAATGGATAAAATTATTTAGGATTCTAATACCAGATTTAGCAAATTTGTCTCTGCAAGATAAAGACAGTATTCATTCGCCGACTCCAGTTCACCTTCAATTCAATAAAATTTTTAAATTTTTAAACATATTCTTTTATACAAGTAGCTTAAAATGTTTAACAATTTTGTTTAACTTTTCCAAAACTTTAGTTTACATGTTATGAAAGTTAATATTTTTATTTATACTTTTTAACTTTTCTTAAACTATTCTTAAATTTACCCTTTAGAATAATTTCAAAGAATCAATAGTGAAAAATTCTTTTGTCCCAAAAACCTTGAATATTTAAAAAAAATCACTTTTAAAAAATCCACGAGCAAACTTTAGGAAAGCCGTAAATGTGTGTTAACAATTTTCGAACAGAAAAGCTATGATATTCGTTACAGAAATTTCGTTATTTGGATTTATTTGCCATTCTCTTCCATTTGAAACTTTTACTGATCATGAACAATTAATGACAAGCACTGTATTCATTGTAAATAAAAAACTGGTTTCAAAAAGAATTCTTAAAAGTCGTGCTTTGGATCAGGATCCGTTGGATCTGCAACATTTTGGCTTCCTGGATCCTGATTTGGATCCAAGGTGGCAAAATATCAACAAAAAACTGTAAAAAAAACTTTGCTCTCAACCCCTAAATCTGAAAAAAGGCTCATGAAGTTTTAGTATAAAAATAAGCGAGAGAGAAAAAAATATTTGAAAGTTTTTCGATGAATCCGTAAATCTCTATGGATTCGGATTTATTTTTTTAGAATGAAATGAATCCTATGAGCACTGGTTTAAGTGTGATTATCAATTAAAGGAAATGTATTTCTTCTGATTAAGTATTATTTCAGCTTTCAGCATGCCACACTTGTAATTAATTAATGACAATTTTTTAATAAATTATTAAAATGTTTGATTTTCTTGAACGTTGTTAAGATGCAGGGTTACCCACAAAGGGTAAGACGACTGTACAGAATTCCTACAGTTTAAAGAGCACATTTGATTTGATTAAATAATAAAATTAAATATCTGCAAATAACATTATGTAGGTTTAGAAGACGACATTTTGTAAACTGTCTCGCGAAGTTCTGGATTAATCTTTATACTTATTCGTATTTGTGATCACACTCTACAGCTTTAAACTTTTTGCGTTTTATGTCAATTGTTTTAGATTGTTTCCTGAGTTTAAAACTGTTATGTTAGTGATTCTAATGAACTTTTTAAAATCTTTATCTTATACAAACAAAAGATAAAGACCGACGGAAATATCAATATTTTGAAACTCGAAACTGAAATTACTGAAGCTAATAAGAACTCCTCACATTTCCAGTCTTTTCTGAAAAAAAATCCTTTAAAACAGTAGTTAAAGTTTATTTATTTCTTAACTGACTTACATTTATGGCATCAATAAAAGTATAATCGAAAAAAAAGTATAATCAAATAAGATGGAATTAAAGCTACAGCTGGAGAGTTGCAGGTTACCACTCATTGGGTTTTGCATAGTTCTAACTAGGTAATTTTAGGCATAACCGAAAATTTAAAAAAAAAATTCAAGCAGAAATATAGGAATTTTCGCATATTTTGGCGTTTGAAGATTTTTTGTGCTCCGCATATACTATATAGTATATATTGTGTAAAAAATAATAGCGTGTACACTACAAAAGAAAAGAAAATCTCTTTATTCAGTTAAATTATTTATTGCGATTTTTATCACTATAAACTATAAAGGTTTCTTTTTTAAGTTCAATTAACATTTTCCCCCATATCTATAAGTTTTTTTGTAAAAATTTAATCCTGAATCCATACTTCTTGCAACTTTTGTTGCACAAGCACAGCGCGTGAAAATGCAAATTAAATTTTGGATGATTTTCCTTTTTAAGTTCGCATACCGAATTTTTATGTGATGGTGAAAATAACATGAATCTGCTGGTTTAAAACGTTAAAGGACAGAAAATGAATTGCAAAGTGCTACAGGAGCGGGGGAAGGCAGGCGGTCATGAGCCACCACTATTTCCCCTTCCGTGCCACATATTAGCTTTTTTCTCTTCCGGCAGCCATGAGCCACCACTATCTCCCCTTCTGTACCACCACATTTGACTCTTCCGGGCAAAACTACTTTTTTATGTGGTATATTTAGGGCCTTGAAAGTGTGGGTTTAAAAAAAGTCTAATGATTATTCAATTACTGACTCATTAAACTAAATCCATCTTAAAATCACTCATTAACCAACTTTGTGATATTTCAAGATGCAATACTCAGTCAAATTTGTCAAAAATTTCATTGTAAAACAGTTTAAGAATTCAACACACAAAATATTAATCTTAAGTAGAATTGAAAAAATGGTTTGAGTTGTGCTTTTTTGCGTGACGCGGCTGGATTTTTTGAAATCACACTTTAAAGGCCCTAAATATACCACTTAATAAAGAAGTTTTGCCCGGAAGAGTCAAATGTGGTGGTACGGAAGGGGAAATAGTGGTGGCTCGAGGCTGCCGGAAGAGAAAAAACTAATTTGTGGCACGGAAGGGGAAATAGTGGTGGCTCATGGCCGCCTGCCTTCCCCCACTCGCTACAGGGGTCAACGGAAAAGAATCGACTAAAAAATCTTTGGTTGAAAGTAAGTCAAATATTTTGTGGACCACTGCATGCAAGGCTATACAAATTTGGTTAAAAATATGTCAAGATTTATAAAATAACAGTTTTTTCTTCAAGAATTGTACACTTTGAGAAACAATAATGGAATGACGAGCATTTTATGGTGGCTCCGACGAACAAATATGAAGAGTGTGGCTCGTACGAGAAATTAATATAAAAACAGATAAATTGATAAGTAAATTTAATTACTTTCACATTAAAATAATATTTTCAATGATTTAAAATTTTCTTGGTGGCTTTTTCTCAGTCACTTTTTTCTAACTTGCATGAATTATATATTAAGTTTTTCACTGAAACTTCGCATTTCTTCTATTTCAAGAAGTCTACGTATTCTATCCATGGAAGATACTGCACTACCCGTCAAATCCCCTGCTTCGTCGAAACCGGTTTTCTGTACATGTATATTTAACTCTGGTTTTAGCGGATTTTTTACAGCTGAGCTCATGGATTTCTGGTGATTCATACTCCAGAAATCAGCTGATTTATGAACTTCCGCTCCACGTTTTACACTACAATGAATAAATTCGATTGAAAATTAAATATATAAATTTTTTGTAAAAATAAACATCTTGCATATTATTTTACCTGTTATATTGTTTTGTTTTTGTTTCTAGTCTTCTTGTCAAATCGTTGACTGATCAAAACCATTTCAAAAAAATGTATACCATCTATCTCTTCAGTCTTCATCAACCCAATTACTCTTCTCTAGTGAAAGAGAGTTATTGGGTTGCGAGAGTTGGGATTTAATAATTTATTTAAATAATTTTAAAAAGAAAAATTTTAATAAATAGAAATTTAAACCCCCAGAGATTTAATAATGATCTATACGGGTTTACTATCCCGACAAACCATATAACGTTTCTTACAAAATTTCGTTTTCTGTTTCGTTTCTGTACCGTTTCTGTAACGTTACAAAACCTTTTAGAACCGTATTTGAAACGTTTCTGAATACCAATCTAAATTGTATGTTAATGAACAATTTTTGTCAATTATAAATTTCTTATGTAATTCCTATATGTTAATTAATTCATGGGTCAAAATGTGTAAATTTTAATTGTTTAAAAAAAATTTTAAACTTTGTTTCTGAATCGTAATTGAACTTTAATTTGTTAACGTTTTTTTGCAATGAATTGGAAGGATTTCACAGTACTTAAATTAAAAATACATCTGGTACTTAGATCGAGTTTGAAATGTTCCTAAATTAGTTTGCTGAACCACTAAGTTCTCAATACCCTAAAATATTGTAGTAAGGTTTCCAATCCTCTAGATTGTTGGATACTGTGGTTCTACCAAATTCACCAATCAGAATTTGAGGCAAATCAGTAAAGGGGTTCATGAGTTATGATCGGACATACAAAAAACAAACAGAGATTACTACTTTATATCCATTTATTAATCAACACTGTATAAATATTATAAAAAAAATTGATCAATTCCGCATTCATAATATATGTTATTTATAAATTTTCTAAAATTGGTTTAAATTGGATATTTTTGCAAATTTTACAGGAGACTTTATATTTTAAGCAAAAATATAAGTAAATTTGAGTCCTTGCCACAAACTCCAATTTTCTAATCCCTATATCTTTACAACCAAAAATATTTCAAATTCTGTTATACCGAAAACTCTAAGTTTGAAGTATCAAAGGTTTACACTATCAGGTTGCAAATATATTAGAGAAAAATTTAGAGAATACAAAAATGATATTGGCAATACTAAATAAAACTGAGATTATTTATTCCAAAAATAGTAAAGAATAGAAACATCTATTGCGCATGTCTTCTTATCAATTTAATGCCCTTCCATCAAGCTAATGAAAAATTATTCATTTTTCAGTTTAAACTCAACGAGGGAGAGAAGGCAAACAACACCATTTTTTCGACCGACCATAAATGACGTCAAAATTGACCATTATTTCGTCCGACCACACCTTTTTAGTCCGGCATTGTTAAAATTTTTTTTAGCACTTTAAATTATTTTATTATAATTTTAAGCCCGTTCATGTTGTTTATAAATATTTAAATATTTTATCCTGATAATTTTTTAAAGAATAACATCTTCTGAAGGTGTAATCAGGGGGGGAGTGTAGAAGTCCTCAATGAGTAATCATCGCCACCCAAATGGGTTTTGCGGCATGCCCGCTCCTGAATTGGTAATCTCCACCACCTCAATTGGTAATCAGACAAATAAAGCGTAACATTAAATTTTTTATTTCTTAGAAATAAGTCCATATTGACCTCTGTCAATGGCCCGCCCTATGGTGTACAATATTCTTAAAGCTTTCTTAATTGCTCCTCAGTTTCGAAAATAATTCTTTAAATTTGCCACATGAAGCACTAGAAATATTTAGTGAACTACTTCATTTTCACTAGTGGGTGCGATGAGACTGGTGTTTCTAAATATTTTGTTCTTTCTATGCATGTAATTAGTTTTATTGTAGATGTTGAACTCCAGTAGGCGAATACAAAAATACAAAAATGCTATTATATATTTTATTGTGTCTATATGTTAATTCCACAATATTAAGAGAAAATATCTTACTTTATACTCAATAATTGATTTTTGATAATATTTATCTGTCTTACTTTGTTTAAGCTGATTGAGTAAAATGATTTGCACGAATTGCATGAAAATTAGTTTATATTTTTCCTCTTTTGGTAATCATGGACATGTAGATCAAATTTCTATACAGGGATATTTATGTCCCAAAGATTCTTGGGGGGGGGGGTGGATAATTACCCCCAAGATTCTAGGGGGAGGGTAATTGCCCCCAATAAACCCCCTATCTACGCCTATGTTCATACCTGCATGCTTTGTGTTAACTACGTATTATCAAATTTCTTGTTTGTCATTATCCCTGAGCTTTCTTTAACAAGAAATTAAATATATGAAATGGATGATTATCCTAATATCCATCAAATTAGAAATCTTTTCTCTTTTCAGAAAAATTCCACTGAATAGTTTTCTTCTCTCTGCCTTGCAGGAATAAGGTTGCCAGGCGACTTTGCTCTCTGCTCTCATCAAATCCTTTTTCATTATAACAGTAAAAATAAGCATTGTGGCAACTACGATGTTTAAAATTCTTTTAACATCTGCGTATATACTTATAGTTATATGCGTACCAAATTTACCTAGCTACTACAATTTCATCATCACTTCTCTGGCCTACATGATAACAACCGTGGTGTTCTGCCTTATGGTTGAATTTTTAAACAATCAACAGAAAACATTACTGAACAGACTTCTTATAATCTTTCTCTCAACTGGGATGCTTGCAACAACAAGGTGCTATGCTGTCTGCTTTACATCTTGCTGGTTTCATTCCGCTTTTGAAAATTTTGTCTACCACCACCAAACCCTATCCACTATCATACTTCCGTTGAATAGCTATTCAGTCATTGTTTCTGGGAGCTTTCTATTGATGTGTGCAGGCCGGTTACTTCTTTATGTGAGTCCGTCTCTTTATCATAGAGTAAATCCAAGTTTTGGATCATATTTGTCTGGAATAGTCCTACCTCTGATCTGTATACTGGACTCTTACTACAACTGGTTTAAATGTGGAAGCTATGAAGATCACACTAACATTCGACTACTCAAACTCCTTCGGGGAGAACTTGGCTTCCCACAAGATACAAATCCATGCAACAAAACAGCATCAGGCTGGGCTCATGTTGAGGAGTGCACTTTCTTTCCAACAATTCAAATACTTTCAATCAGTGCACTAGTCTTGGAATTCCTGAAAGTGTGTGTGTCCACATGGAAAGAAGTAAAAAAACAAAGAAGAAAATCCAAAGTCCTCCCTGCCAAACCACATACAGAAATGAAACGTAGGAGAGTGTTGCCCACAAGGAAATTTCAGCGCTCTGAATCCTACCCAAAAATCTCCCAATCCAAGATCAATGGCACTGTACGAAGAACATCAATCTCGGAGCCTACAAGTATCACTTTGGCTAATCTTGCTGACACAGCTGTTACATCGCAGATTCAACCACCTACAAAGGTTCAGATGAAAACAGGAACTGCTAAGATAGTGGTAAGAAGCATCCACAAGACTTGTATGAGATCCTCAACAATTCTCACAGTGTTTGCTTTAGTTTGTGCCATCTCAGCAACTGTCAATGCATTAAGCTCAGACCCAAAATCTACATGTTGGGTTTATTCAGATAAGCTTAATTCATCAAACAAAGCAATTCGCAGACTAGTATACTTCTGCTTCTCTGTATGCATATTTTTGTTTGACAAAGAATTTTTCATGTTTTTTTGTGAAAAATTCAATTTCATCTAAGCGCAAGTTGCAACTTGCAAGCCTCTGTTTCATCATAAAGGCATAATGTAAAAATGTAAAAAATACTGTCAAAATGTAGAAACATAATCAATTTAATATCTGTAGACTGTATTATAATTCTTTGGTAACAATAAAGATATTAGTGTAATGAAATTTGTGAAAACTTACATAAGTAATGAGAACACTTTAATTGGAGGGGAGAGGGGAGGTCGGGTAGAGGTGAGGAGAGAAGGGATAATAGGGGGAAATATGGAGAAAAAATACATTTTAATTAATATCTTTCTGTAAACTGTTAAGTTCAGTTTATTTGACATACAGGTCTGGTTCATAGAAGTTGATACGTCGTTGATTTGTTTGTACCAGCCCAACCACAGAAAACAGTACTGTCTTGGATCTTGTACCCAGCCAGACTTTTATTTGTACCATCTTGGACAATATATTGAAGGGTCATTTATGTACTGAAACTCATCAGTTATGGGACTGGATTTTTTTGTCGGGAATTTCGAACTGTTTGGTCTCTCTATTACGTACAGGGCTGCACAAACTAATCAAAAAAACTATGTAAAAAGCCCAGAATATAAATACTATAAAACAGCAGGTGGTAGCATTTGGTTTGGGAGGTGTTGGACTATGGAGGTGATGCGGTACAATACATAAATTTCCAGATGTTCAGTAATTTTGGGGGGAATTTGAAGATTCACTTTCCAAACTTTCTCCCTAAATGGTTTTTAATAAAACACTTGAGTATTTTCCATGAGTCAAGAAACTTGCCCTTTCATCTAATTTTTTTCAACTTTTCATCTTTTGGAAAAGGATGAAATCTTATCTTTTATGTTTGAGCAATTCCACAATTTAACACTGATCAGTACCTCTGTTACTATGTAGGTGTCGCTTGTTGACTAAGTTGACTAATTGACTTGTAGACCCATTGTTTAGATGACTCATTTACTCATTGTTAAGTTGACATTGACTTATTGACTTAGCTCCTTAACTTGAACACAGCAAGTAGCAAATAATCATGTAAATTGATACATTTCAAACCTGCAATAGAATGCAGGTATAGTAAAAATTAATGGCAATGTATAAATGTTCTTAAATGATTAACACTATAACTTACTATCTTATTGTGCCAGGGTAATAAGGAGTGATTAAGGGTTGGAGGGTTTGGTGGAATGGTTTAAAACATTTGTGAATACTTCTGAAAATATAAACCCGGTTGTTTAAGTGGAATTTACTATAAATTGCAAAGTTATTTAAGGATTTGATTTTCACTAGTAAATGTTTCACTGTTTCATTTTTCCTTTCTCTAGGTAGAGATGTATAATTGGAGAAATTGCTTGGTTTGGATTTGAGGCTGGTAAAGACGACATTGTGTGGGGGGGAGGGAGGTTTTAGAAGATATGTTTATGGTCAAGAACCTCATAGTTGAGTAAAATGTGAAATCAGAGCTGATCAAAACAAACCCCCCCAAAGAACATTGTACTTAATGTTCACAATGTCATACCAATTCATGTTCTGAATGTCATACCAATACAGGGTATTTCGCGAAACTTACCAATTCTGCCACCTACTGTTCTATAGTTGCATTCTGAGGTATAAATTCTGGCTGCATCATCATAGTCAAAACAAAGACAGGATGGCTGCATGATAGTGTTGGGCTATTACTTGCGTAGGGTTTCCATTTGCAAAACTTTTGCGCAATTTTTGCGAAAGAAAGCACAAATATTTGCATTCATTGTGCTACATTTTGCGCGAAAAAATAGCACTTTTTGCAATCATTTGAACATTTCGAAACATTTTGAAAAGCACATAAAACGTGCAATCTCGCATCAATCATACATGAAACAAATCAATGCATCAAATATACATGAACCTAATCAATGCATCAAATATAAATAAACATAAAAAATGCATCAAATATACATGAAGCTAATCAATGCATCAAAATGTACATTAACCTAATTAAGACAAGGCAATGTAATCGATTAAAAAATAAATCAATCACAAGTTTCTACCTGTGAGGTCCAGAGAAAATCTTCTTGAGGAGTTGCTCTTCTACACCAGACTACAGGTACAGCCTGGATACAACACGTACAGGGATATGAAATGTACAGGGATACAACATGTAAAAGGTAGTTTAAATTCAACCCAGTGACCACAACGGGTTTACCGACGCTCTAGCACCCTCGTACGTGAAGCGATCCGGCTGGCCAGCACATATTTAAAACAGCAGAGATACATTGTACAGGGATGTAACATGTACAGGGATACAACATGTACAGGGATGCAACATGTACAGGGATGCAACATGTACAGGGATATAACATGTACAGGGATGCAACATGTACAAGGATACATTATGTATAGGGATACAACATGTACATTGTACAGGGATATAACATGTACAGGGATACAACATGTATAATCAAATATAATGTAAGCAATAAATATGTAACTTTCCTTCCTTTTCCTTTTAATTTTAATTTTTATGTTTTTAGAATTGGGAGAAAATATTCCAAAAACCTCTATTTTTGGAAGTTTTTGAATATTTTCTCTTGAAACACTTAATTTGGCATGTTTTTTTGTTAGATTTCTTAAATAAATAATTTATTACTTATTTACTTACTTGCAACAGGTAAAGGGATAGAATATGTACACGGATACAACATATATATATACAACGTACTGTAGGTTTACAAAATATCATGTTACTCAATATTTGCTACATACAGGGATACAACATGTACGGGATACAACAGATAACAGCCTGGATACAACGTGTATTTGGGATATAACATGTACATGGATACAACATGTATAAGACATACAAGATGTACAGGGATACAACATGTACAAGGGATACAACATGCATGTGGGAACAGGGATACAACATGTACAAGGAATACAACATGTACAGGGATACAACATGTACAAGGGATACAACATGTACAGGGGATACAACATGTACAGGGGATACAACATGTACATGGTACAGGGATACAACAGGTTTACCCTTAAAGTATGTGACCCCTGCAATTGTAAACTTGTTATTTCTTTGCCAAATTATTAAATAAGTCATTATTTAAGACAGAAGCATTATTTTAACCTTAGGATCGTCATATCTTAAGAGTTTCAGGTCGTCTTTATACAGTCTCATCCTTTGTGGGTAACCCTGTATTTACACATTTTCTACACCCATTTAAATTTGTGTAAAAAAATACAGTGTGCAATTATGTTTTCCCTGAGTTTACTATTTTGGTTCTGGAAAATGATTTTACAGAAAAATGTTTCACCTCTATCCTGCATACAATTGTTAAATCAATAAATATAGAATGAGATCTGGGACCAGATTTAATGGATAGTGGGCAGTAGTGGGCAAGTTCAAGAGATGGGATTCATCTTCGTCAACATATGTCAACTACGTTTTGATATTCATTAACTCTGGTCCCTGCAGGAATAGATCATGTTTGTGAGAAGATAAGAAAGGAGGGTGTTGGGTAGTCTTTTCTTACAACACTATGTAAGAGAACTATACAGGGTGAGTCAAAAAAAGTGTGATTTGCGGCGCCTGGTGCAAAATTGTACCTTTTTTGTGCAACACTCCTGTACGGTGTCTTTTCAATATTTTTTGAAAATTTGTAATTTTTTTTCGGTACTCCAATGGCCCAAAAGAAAATCCGCGAATCTTTTTTCTCTCAAAATCAAAAGTTCAGAAAAGCTAAAATGTGCATTCATATTATTTCTCTCTAAATCTAAAATTTTATTAACATTGAATCACAGAATCAAAGAAAATTGGCAAAATTGTAATTAGAAAATTCGCAATTTTCAGTTCTGGGCTAATTTTTAAGGAAAAGTTATTTAAATGCTCAAGTTCCTTCTTAGTATATTCTAAAGTATTAAATAAACGCTGTTCAGTTGAAACCTTGAGAACCATTGAAAAACAATTTTTCCGTAAAAATTATACCAGATCTGAAAATTGCGAATTTTCTAATTACAATTTTGCAAATTTTTCTGTTTTTCTGTGATTCAATCTTTTAAAATTTTAGATTTCGATAGAAACAATTTATTTACACATTTTTGTTTTTCTGAACTTTTTATTTTGAAAGAAAAAAGGTTCGCGGATTTTTTTGGGGTCATTGAACCAAAAAAATACAAATTTTCAAAAAATATTAAAAAACACCTTACAGAAGAGTTGCACAAAAAAGGTACACTTTTGTACCAGGCGCCGCAAATCACACTTTTTTTTGACTCACCCTGTATATAGAAAAAGTAAAGCGGCACAGAAAAAAGTACCGAAAAATACAAATACAGAAAAACTGTTCATCTACTTTTATCCTCCCTCTCTCCCTCCCTCCCGGCACAACCCGGAAAGATCAAAATTATTGGCCCATCAACATCCTTTAATCCTTGTATTGATTATAAACGGATTAAACCCTATTAGTCTCAGATAGAAAACAATACAGATGCAGCCTTATACAAGGAGCCTACTGCACGAGGGAGGGAACTTCCGGACGCCATGAGCCTCCGCTATGCAGACACGAGCCTCCCAGAGTTTCAAGGCAGACCGAGCCTCAACTATGCAGACCAAGCCTCCGATATGCAGCCTCCACCATACATCACAGCTTCTTTTAAATCTTGGTTTTTATGTGTACTGAAAAATTTTAACAATTCTTTTTGACCTAGTGGCATACGAATTTTACTAAAGATTAGAATTATTTTTTTTTTGTCATGATTGGAAACATATATGGACTTATAAAGTGGTTTGTAAGCTTTATACTAAAACTTTAAACATTTCTTCCGCAGAAAATGATGATGACGACATTTTTAGATTTTAACACGGCATTAAAGATCTTATATTGATGGTGTATCTTTCGACCTACCCAAATCCGCTACTCCACTTCTGACCTACGCCAAATCCGCTATACTACACAACCGACATACTAGCACGTGGTTTTACAACTGCATAGGTGGACTTGTGGCCGCAGCGTCCGGTCCCCTAGCCTGTCCTACCTGCATCGCTTGGCCCCGTAACCTATCCGAGCCGCAGCGCTCGGCCCAGCAATTGTTTTAACCTAACCCTCAAATAGTACAAAAATAAACAGCTGGCGTAAGTCGGATATTGTAGTAGGTCGGAAAGTTAGTAGGTCAGAATTGTTCAGTATATAGGGGGGATGTTGCGTATAAACGATGTAACATTAGTAGTTACCCTTAAATTCAGGTCTACAGGCAAAATTACAAACAAATTTGTTAAGTAAGAAAGTAATAATTACTCAAATTTTTCTCCTTCTAGACTATAACGCATTTATTGAGTACTGTAGTTTGGGAACCCAGCTTTGCCCGGAAATCATAACTTTCATAAAGTAAAAACGGATGTTGAACGAAATTAAAAGATGATTTTCTCCGTTTTTACCCTAAATAAGAACATTCCCGTGGTTTAAACAAGTTTTAATCAATAGGTTAATAGGTGAATAGGTTCCTGGGTTCATGAGTTATGACTTTGTATATATGCTCTCAATATCATGGGCTGCTTCTTGAACAGTTCGATATATACTAACCCCTCACACCCTTCCCCCTATAAAATAAATCCCATCCTTTGCCCCCCTTTCTGGACTCCCCAGGCATCTGGCATTACCCCCTCTATGGTTTAACCTTCTGCATCACTTATCTAACAATAAGAACAATGAAAATTAGGTTCAGGATTCAGGAAGACAATGATTAAACAGTTTTCGGACAAACTGCCGAGTTCCACAATGAGCTACAGCCTAGGCTACAAGTGTGTGTATGGGGGGAGGGGGAGTGGGTTCTATTGTAAGCATCAGGGTGTCCCAATGTCCCCAAATAAACATGATATTTTATTTAGTAATAGTGTTGACTCAAAGTCCTCGAAGTCGTCATATGTTTATTAGGAAAGTCTGCGCAGTGTACAAAGCGGGCCTCTTTTCTCCTTGAGGCTTCAAGGGGGAGGGGTACTACAATAAACTACAAGGGGAGGGGTACTACAATAAGCTGCAAGGGGAGGGGTGATTCAAATAAGCCGCAAGGGGGGGGGGTGTCTACAATAAGTTACAAGGGGAGTGGGGGGGGAGGGGTGTTTACAATAAGCTACAAGGGGGGATGGTGTCTACGTACAATAAGCTACAAGAGGGGGGGGGTGTTCAATAAGCTAAAAGGGGGGACTACAATAAGTTACAAGGGGGGTCTACAACAAGCTACAAGGGGGAGGGTGTTTACAATAAGGTAAAACGGGGGACGGGGTCTGCAAACTATGAACATTGGTAGCATTTTAAGAAATCGAAAATTTGACCCGCGAAAAATGCAAAAAAATTACCATGTAAAAAGCAACGGGAGAAAATTGGATATTTTGTTGATTTTGTTCTCCCACGGGTTCTGCCTCTTTCTCTTCTAATAATTCAAAATAATCAAAATAACAAAATAACAAAAGAAAAGGATGAATTAATAGGTAAAGAAAAGGTTGAATGAAAAGGTTCATGCACATGTGAATGAAATGAATATGTGAATTGGCAAAAGAATGAATGAATAAATACATGAGTTGGTCAAAGAAAGAGTGAATGAATATGCGAATCGACAAAAGAATGAATGAATGAATAAATGAATTGACAAAAGAAAGATTAAATGAACAAATAAATTGGTAAAAGAAAGAATGAATGAATGCATGAATTGGCAAAAGAAAGAATGAATAAAAAATGAATTGGCAAAGAATTAATGAATTCATAAATTTGCAAATGAAAGAAAGGATGAATACATTAATTGATAAAAGAAAGAATGAATGAATGAATGAATACATTTATTGGCAAAAGAAAGAATGAATGAATACATTAATGATCAAAAGAAGGAATGAATAAAAACATGAATTGCCGAAGAATGAATGAATTCATGAATTTGGAAACGAAAAAAAAATGAATACCTTAATTAACAAAAGAAAGAATGAATAAAAACATGAATTGCCAAAGAATGAATGAATCCATGAATTTGCAAACGAAAGAATGCAGGAATACCTTAATTGACAAAAGAAAGAATGAATGAATACATTAATTGAAAAAAAAAGAATAAATGAATAAATAAAATAATAGGCAAAAGAAAAAATGAATAAATACAATACAATAATAGGCAAAAGAAAGAATGAATAAATGAATGAGTAAATGAATTAGGAAAGAAAGAATTAAAGGATGTGTGAAAGGATGAAATTTAATAGCAAAAGAATGAATAAATGAATAAGTATTCCTGGAATAGATTTTGATAAATCTGGTAACTCATAGAAACTCTCTCCACCAGTAAAATATCCTCCATCTAAAGTAAACATGTTTTAAATATCCATCATGGTTAGATATCAACCATGTTTAAATATACACTACGTTATATCCACCATGTTTATATACACACAATATAAAAAGTACCCGTCATGTTTAAAGATTAAAATACAGGGTTACCCACAAAGGATGAGACTTCAGAGACGACTGTAAGGAATGTATTCTGTATTATATTAACATGATTCCCTGCAACCAGGGGCGGATACAGGATTTAAGTGAGGGGGGGGGGGCAAGATTTTTTAGGAACAAAAAATCGCGCTGCAGGGGAAAATTTTTTTTTACTTAAAAGACTCAAAAAGAGTCAAAATTAATGACTAAAGACTAAAAAACTAGATTTTTAACTTTATTAAGTGTAATAAGACAGATATTTTCCTGTTTTGCACTAGGGTTTCTTTCCCTTAAGCATGCTATTGAGAAGCTATTCTGAAAATAGGAACAAAAAATTCCAAATTCAGGGGGGGGGGTGGCGAATGTCCCCTCGCCCCCCCTGTATCCGCCCCTGCCTGCAACTATAAATTTGTTTCTTTCTTTGCCATATCAATTAAAAGGCAAGAAAAGACTATATTTAAGGCAGAAGACTTAATTCGTCTTTGGAATCATCATATTTAAAGAATTTTAGGTCGTCTTTACGGCCTCAACCTTTGTGGGTAACCCTGTATTTTCAGAAATTTAACTTTTTCGTAGATTTTGATAATAGAATTATAGACAGTGGGCAGGCCGTTTAAAATTTAGCATTAAGCAATTATGCATGCATGATTCTCTGCTAAGCACGTATATGGGAGTGCTAACGCGCGTTGTGTGTTGATTAGTTGTGCGCTTGTTTGGAATTTTATCTGATTTTGAACCCCGTATTTATGCGCGGCTTATATGCGCTCGTGAGCTTTTAAAACTCTTCCTTGTTTGTTTAAAATGTTTGTTAAAGGTCTTTGTTAAAAATGTTTGTTTAGGATTCTTGTATTTGTGATGTTTACTACTTTTGTTTGCTCTATTATTCTATTTGTTACACGTTGATCAACAGCATTCCCATGGGGTAAGGGGCTAGGGGCCAGGGGCGTACGAGAGCATTTGTATAGGGAGCCTCGTACGCGCCCCGCCCTGCTATGGGGCCTGAGTGGCAAAATATGTCACAGTAAAATGTCGTACTCACCTTCCATCTATAACACACCTGCAAGGATCTCGTTGGCTTATACCCATCATGAACCACTATTTAAGGATGAGTATGGGGGGGGGTATAATCTACATTTCCCTGATGTTTACACGCCTTCTGGCATTTTAGAATAATATAGTCAAAAAAAATAATGTTCTTAAAATTCAGATTCTTAATTATCGTTACAAATGTCTTATCCTTATTGAGTTTTACTTTTGGATAACCTTGAATAAAAGTTAGCAAGAAAAATATATTTTAATATAATATAATATTTACCGTTCAGCGTACTGGATAGTTTCTCTCGGCTGAAAAGTTCTTTCCGAGTCTGAGACTTACGCACTTTTGCGTACAAATTCTCCTGTAAAAATGATATTAAGATTAAGCTGTACCTATCTCTTTAATTTTAAAAGCAGAAATGGTAGACCACTTTTCAAAAATCCCAGGACTAGGGCTATTTTTGTGATTATTACTCTAACAGCTTTGCTAGTATAAAACTAAGAATGCCAAAATTAGTTCAAAGAATTATAAAAACGAACTTTAAATCGTCTTTAACTGTCATGTTTTGTGGGGAACCCTGTACTCTCTAATATATATATTGGGGGGTCAAGAAGATATCCCCCCTTCAGTAGTCTGGTTGGAACTGCCCCCCTGGATATTAAAATTTAAAAAATGATGAATAAGAGTGTATGTGGACACAGACAGACAGTACAAGACCTAATAGTGGATATAGTGCCAAACCAAGCCCATAAACTTACATAGAAAGGCGGGGTAGGGCAGGAGTTCCAATAAATTTACACGTATAAATTCTAAATATTGAAAGTAGTAATCTCTGTTTGTTTGTTTGGATGCCCGATCATTACTCAGAACCCCCTGGACCGATTTGCCACAAATTTTGATTGGAAACGTTTTAGCTTAGTTTCGAGATTTTAAGTTGACACCAGTTTTTTAGGGATGAAGTAGCTAAAATCGTAATGAATGAGCCGTAGATATTAATATTTACATTTATCTTATGTATCTTGAATCCCACTGTATATTTAATAGTTCTGTGCACTGTGCATCCCAGTGCACCATTGTGGCCAAGAAAACAATTTATAAAGATTCGTGGAAGAAAGGGGAGGGGGGGATTAAAGATTTAAAACCATGCTAGCAATTCAATTCAAAGTGTACCAAGAAATAAGTTTAACAGATCGTTATTTTACAGATTTTAAACATTCAATTCAAGGTTTATTTTTTACATATTTCTGTTCGAATAAACAACTTGGTCTTCGAACAAACCATTCAGAATAAAAAAAAATATATGAAAGGTAATTTTAAAAAATGATCTAGTTCTTTTAGTTAAACTCCGAGAATGTTTAATAACGAACCCAAAATAAAAATATACAGATATTTAGTTTTAAAACTATAAAGAGACAAGAACGTTACTAAAATCTTCATAACCAGAGCTGAGAACTTTTGTGTTTAATACTCATACTCTCGATTGCTTTACCTCGATATCCACTGTGGACACTTTTAGAGGAGCAATGATTGATCTCATTATTTTCGATATTCCTTCGCCGATTAGAGCTCCCTTTTGTACCACTGACTGGGTACGATTACCATGCGGTTAAATTGAATAAAGATAGAATTAATCTGCAGATCAAGCATTGATCTAGATATCCACAATACAGCTCAGGATCCTAGGACATGACTGATAAGTTGACAGGGTCGGATAGGTTGGACCAATCAACAAAACCTAAAACTCCCGATTTGGGTCATATGGTTCATTTTACTGTCAAACGCAGATTTCTGCTACAGAAACAATGGAGAGAAAGCTAGAAACCGACAATGTATAATTAGGGTATTTTTGTGAATCGGTTATGCTGCCCCTCTTTATATTATATTAGTTCACATGTTTCCAAGATTGAAAAAAAAGTGCAAAAACAGAAAATAAAGAACTGAAAAATAAAATCTATTTGATAGTCTGTGAAATTCAGTATGATTTCACAAAGCCCGCTTTTCACCAATTTTAAGTATGTATTGTATAGATTGCGCAAAATCAAGGCCATAATGAAAGGCTTGCAATTTTAAGCTGATTTAGCAAAATTTATTTGCGTTTCTCTTTCTCTCTATGTTTAAATATGAAAATAAAAACGGGAAATTATAAATTTCTGAAAAAACACGTGTTTTTAAAAAGCAAATTTGTTTGATACTCTTTTTCATGAACTGGAGTTATAAACCCGAATTTATTTGCAATGTTGCAAATTTACATATTGCACAATACACATTATACATACAAATGTGCACACTTGGTTTGAATGAGTCAAGTGCAGAAATATATTAGAATTAGGTTCGCTAGACCCTTTAACCTCTACGCCCTGTACTCCCTTGGAGTAGGTAGAAATTGAAACAGAAACAGTTTAAAAGAGCAAGTTTTAACTCTGACCCTCGAGCAAAGAGAATAGAATATATATTAGAGGGGAATTTAGAGAATCTCTCGGTATGATTTTTTTCAGTCCCTTTCAGTCTGAAAGGGAGTTCAAAGTGTACAAATCATGTAAATGTTCACAAATTATATGCAGTAGAGTACATTAATACAGTATGTTCCCTAGACTATCCATTTCAATTTCGAATTTTGTAAAGCTGTTAAATAAACTTTATAATGAATTAGATGAATAAAAAACATCATTTGATTTATAGTTATAATGGAAAATCATCGTTTGTAATGTGAAATGCATAGAGTCTATGTGAAATGATTATTGGTCAATTATGAAACCAGCCTAATTCATAATTTGGTTTTCTTTTAATATTAATTTTAGATTTTCTATAAAATGATATTCCAGGGCCCAAAAGGTTATATAGCATAAATATGTGAAGTACACCTGCAGTATGGAAACAGTACAACAAAATGGCTGTTTTACACTTTTTTCTAGTAAATTCCCCTCTAATATATATATTCTATTTTCTTTGCCCTCGAGTCAGGGGGTGCAGGGCCACCATGACTACAGGGTTGTTAATTGCTTTTAAAAACGATCGAATAAACTATCGTTTTCGTTTTTTACAAGAACGATCGTTTAGTTTTAAAAAAATTTCGCAATTAATTTCAATTTTTTAGGAAGATTAGATTGTGAATATTGTCTTAATTTTTTTATCGAGAGACATTTAAATAAACTGAATTTTTTTTGTTTGACCTAAGGGAGAAAATATATTTTGTCTTAAAAAGGTTGTAAACGATCGTCAATGAAGGTTTTGTTGTTGACTCGTTAACGATCGTCAAAAGTTAAAAACAACCTACTTTCGTTAACAAAACGACGAACTTTTTAAAAACGACCATTTTTAAAAATTACTGTATCGTTTTTCGTTTTTTCTTCGTCGTTTTTAAAACGAAACGATCATTTTTCAATGGTCTCCAAGCCTCCGTATCCGCAGACGAGTATTTAAAATGGCCTAGCACTACCCTAAACGTTAGGATAAATATTTTAGAAGTTTTTATAAATCGTTCTTTAAAATATTTCTTATAACTCGTTTTTTAGTTGTTTTGGAAAAAATATCTATTGTAAAATTTGCGCACTTTTTGCATAACGTTATGAAAGCAAGCATATAGAACATACGATATAAAATAGGATAAACATCTTTTTGGAGCCTCTCAAAGTAAAAAAAAAACGTTGAATAGTTCGAAACGAATAAAAAACGATATGAAAGCAAGAATATAGAACATACGATATAAAATAGGATAAACATCTTTTGGAGCCTCTCAAAGTAAAAAAAAAACGTTATATAATTCGAAACGAATAAAAAACGATGCCTCTAGGCATGTTTTTAAATACGCCAGGTTTAGCCTTTACTCTCTTTACACAGAAAAGGTTAATAGTTTAAAACCCTGACGGGGCTCAAGGGGTATAAACCATACAATAATACTTTATGTTAAATACAGGATAAAGCTTGTTAAAAAAGGGTTGGTAAAGGGAGTGTTCGCGAAAAATGAAATGGGATATAGGCTGCCATCGAATTGAATTCGATGTTGATCGCTACTAATTTCCTATATCTGTTAAGTTTATATTGAGAAAATGGGTAAACTCAAACTGCAATAATTCAATTAAATTTAAAACTAATTTTCAGAGATTAAAAGTTATATATGTTGAATTTAATTCGATGCATTTCTATGTAGTTTAAATATCATAATCTTGTGCAACTTTTATAAAACTAGGCTTTCAGAACACTTCGCGCCCATCGTATATTTTAATTGTGAAGTTAAATTGTAATTGTGTATACGTAGTAAAAAATGACATGCAAAAAAATGCGTATTTAGATTTTTTATGAAAATCAAATTTTCTTGGAGGCTAATTTTTAAATTTTGATCCTCCAAAATCCTTACACGAAGCCATGTGATGTCCCACACAAAATTAGGGCCCGATCGGTTCAGCCGTTTTGACATTTATTGGATACAAAACAAACAGACAAGCAAAGTTTATACATACTAGGCTTTTAGAGCGCTTCGTGCCCATCTTTTATTTCATTTGTGAAAATGTTCTGTTTGTGTACATTGTAAAACAAAACAAAACAAAAGTTCGCGGATCTCACAAAAAAAATTGTGGATTTTCAAAAATTTTCAAAATTTGATGAAAATCTAATTTTGTTGGAGGCAAATTTTTGAAATTTTGATCATTCATAAACCTTCCTTGGGGCCAAGAGAGGTTCCACACCAAATTGGGCCTGATCGGTTCAGCCGTTTTGACATTTATTGGATACGAACGGACAGATAGACACCCCAACGAGCAAAGTATATAAACTGATAATAGTATATAAGCTGATAAAAAATGCAAAAAATGAGATATGAATAGCCTAACATAATAGTTTGTTTTTTGAATTTATGTTTCAATTGATTTCAATGCTATTAGGAAGAATGCATATATTTGCATAGTAATAAAACAATAATTGTTTCAAATATTATGAATGGGCTAATCCCTCTGTCTGATATACAGCAGGCAATGTATTTGTCCAATTTGTACAAGGAGTGTGGTCAATGTTTTCATGTTGCTTATAATCTCCATCAAGATTGCGCATTTTTTAAAATCATTCTTACGGATTTGCTTGAATTAATACAAGCTAAAAAATACAAAATAACAAAATCTGTTTTTCATGAACAAAATTCTTCTTAAAACTAAACATCAAAAAAAAACTCTTTCTTAGAATGTGTTAAGGTTAAAAACTTACAATTTAACTTAAAGGGACTGTCAGTGTAATTTCAATTGACCCTCCATGCAAAGCTGACAATGCCCGATTTACAACGGTACCCTTGAAATCTTAATCTGGTCAAAAATGTTGAAGATACCGTCGTTTTTCTGGCTCGAAAAGTGATTATTTCCTTGAGTTTCTTCTTTGCTTCTTATAAACAAAGAATGTGCAAGTCACCTTTGCAGTAAAAACGCAAATGATAGCAAACATGGCATATCTAATTCATACTTGATAAGACAAAGTTTTTAAGGGTAACGTTGTAAATCGTGCATTGTCATCTTTGCATGGAGGGTCACTTAAACATTACACTATAGTCTCTTTAATAGGTTTGTCAAAGAATAGGTGTCATTAGCTAAAAAATATAATAGATATTGATTCTTTTACAAAATGTAGCCTTCTAAACACACTTATAACATATTTATTTAAGAGATCGGTAGAACTATTTTAAGTATCATATCCAATTCACAACAGTACCCTTCAAGGATAGCGGAGATATTCTTATTTTGCCAGCTGAAAATTGAGGGCTGTGAAGCTTGACATATATATTCGTTAGGGCCGAAGATTGTATAAACTTACAAATTTACCAAATTATTTCTAAAACTAACTTTATAAAGGTCGTCTTTTGTATGAAATACCAGTTAACTGACCTTAGAGTTACTCTTTTTTTTCTCCGCGTTTTTTCTCCCGAATGTTATTTTTTCCGTCGTCTTCTTCAGTTTGTGTTTCAACATTGTATCACGCAGGATTCACTTGAATTCAATTTTAAGTATTTTTTTGCTAAGTTTCAGCGAACAAACTTGCTTAAGCATGAAATTGCATATATTTGCATTTTAGAATCTGAATTGTAGATGAGTTAACGAAAAGTTTAAGTCTCTTCACACTATATGTACAATGTACAGGGTTACCTACAAAGGATGAGACTGTAAAGACGACCTGATACTCATGAAATATGACGATTTCAAGGTTAAATTAGGTGTTTTGCCTTGAATATTGTATTTAATTGTCTATTTATTGATATGGCAACGAAAGAAACCAGTTTAAAGTTGCAGAGAACCCCTTAATATAAGGAAATAGACAGTCTAAATTATGTAAAGTCGTCTCTGAAGTCTCATCCTTTGTGGGTAACCCTATATCTGAAATAGGTTTAATTTAACGGTCAAATTGGGTAATTTCTAAATACTATCTGTACAGCAAAGCAGTACACTCTTGTGCACTACAGTGTGCCCACATAAAAATGAAAATTTAAATAAGACAAGGCATTTATTTGGATATACAGGAGAATTCAAAGACGACCGAAGAGAATTACTTATTTTTAACTTGCATTCATGGTTTAATGCTGATGTAAACTTTTTTGTATTTAAGTTTAGATAAGTTAAGAGTTCTGATCTACATCACTACTCGGAGCTAGCAGATAATTTTAGAGTTCTGATCTACAGCACTACCCGGAGCTAACTGATAAGTTTAGAGTTCTGATCTACAGCACTACCCGGAGCTAACTAATCAGTTTAGAGTTCTGATCTACAGCACTACCCAGAGCTAACTAATCAGTTTAGAGTTCTAATCTACACCACTACCCGGAGCTAACTAATAAGTTTAGAGCTCTGATCTACACCACTACCCGGAGCTAACTGATAAGTTTAGATGTCTGATCTACAGCACTACCCGGAGCTAACTTATAAGTTTAGAGCTCTGATCTACAGCACTACCCGGAGCTAACTAATAATTTTAGAGTTCTGATATACTCCACTAACCGGAGCTAACTAATAAGTTTAGAGCTCTGATCTACAGCACTCCCCGGAGCTAACTAATAAGTTTAGAGTTCTGATCTATAGCACTACCAGGAGCTAACAGATAAGTTTAGAGTTCTAATCTACAGCACTACCTGGAGCTAACTAATAAGTTTAGAGTTTTGATCTACACCACTACCCGGAGCTAACAGATAAGTTTAGAGTTCTGATCTACAGCACTCCCCGGAGCTAACTGATAAGTTTAGAGTTCTGATCTACAGCACTACCCGGAGCTAACTGATAAGTTTAGAATTCTGATCTACACCACTACCCGGAGCTAACTGATAAGTTTAGAGTTCTGATCTGTAGCACTACCCGGAGCTAACTGATGAGTTTAAACCTCGCGGTTCAACGCTAGACGAGGAGAAAAGGGATTGGTTCTACTTTAAGGGATAGGTATTTGATAGATAGATAATGAATGGATAGACGTATAAACACCAAATACATGAATAAAGAAATGACGTAAAAAAATTTGGATGTTTTCACATTCAAGATATGTATATCGCGAGTTATTCTAAATAAATATAGATCTAGAAGAATAGAAAGACACTCGTCATGAAAATACGAAAGATATCAATTTGAATAAATGATTGATTACATATTTAAATAAATTATACTTCTGGCCAGAGAGAAAGATAGACAAATAGATAGATAGATAGATAGATAGATAGATAGATAGATAGATAGATAGATAGATAGATAGATAGATAGATAGATAGATAAATAGA